TTGCCATTTTCCTTCACCTTGATGTCTCAGTACACAAGCTGAACCTGCCTGCTCAAGATACATGGCATCTTTGCAGAAACAATCAGTATGTGGCTAACATGATCCAGTGAAGTTGAAAGAAACAAAAAAGGGGCGAGGGGGTTAAGTGAAAATGGGACAGGCATGTCTTGGGTGCTTTGGCTCCATCAATGTCATAGATGCGTACCATCCCATGGGAAAAAATTACCCAGCTTTAGTCTGTTCCTCCATAGTGTCTCTTAATGTGAATCTTCACACAAAGGCAGTCAGAATGCAGCCAACACTGAATTTGAAGCGCTGAATTTTCCTTAGAAACCCGGCCCACTGAGCAGCATTTTCCCCATTTTAAATAAACAAGATGAAGCTTCTACAAGTACCCATCTAAAGGCATTTAAGATGTTTCCAAAGAGGGATGAAATTCACATCCAACTCAATTCACTAAGCTAATCACTCGGACATTACATCTGCCTGGAGCAGATTTAGGTTCCGAGAAAATCAGGAATTCCTTAATATCATACAAGCAAAAAAAATTGCTAAGATAACATCAGGTAAGTAGAGCTAGCAATCGACAAGGAAGAAATGTATTCTTTTTTTGTGGAATGCCAAAACTGCTTATTTGACGCAATAAAGGTGAATCAATTAGTGAATAAGTGGTGAAACAAGGTGTATGATTACCTACGATAAACTAGGCGTGCGCCGTTTTGCAACTGGCTGTAGCCAAGGTTATGAAAGTGTCATCCACCACACATCTTCATCTCGCAAAATACTGACAAAAGCTACGCTCCTGAATGGGTAAGTAACGATAGCTAGACTAGACGTCATTAGCTTACAAAGCAACAAAATCATTTTGCCTTTCGGGAAAATGAAATACCCCACCCATTCCTGGCCAGTATTCTTTCCACGGCATTCAATGTTGGCAGCTACGCCGTGTGCGGCACCTCATTCTGCAGTTGCGCGAAACCACGATTTCACGAGTGATGTCACTTGGGTATGGCTAGTCTTATGCGTAAGGATGGCTTCTGGTTTCAACTCGCTTCTTTAGAATATCCACAATGCATTTCTGCAAACCAACAGTAACACAGCACTTGATTGCTTCAATAATGTATACACAAAAAAAAGATGCCAAAGTGTGCACAGTCTTTCACAACAGCTCTATAGGAGTTCCAACTTCCAAGAATAGATGCTCTCTTCACTGTACACTGCTCCTCATAATACCATTACACTCATACAATGCAGCTTGCTTGGATTAAGGTAAAATCTGGAGCCACAAGGATTCACGCACTTCCCCAAACATCTGCATGAGGCAAGCCAGTGGTGGACTGTTGTTACTAAAGAAGCTATTGTGACACAGCCTAACTTGGACCTTCACTACCTGAATCTGTAGCCACAAGTTTATGAAATCACTTTTTCAACAACAACTGTAGTCATGAGTGACAAAAATTGTGCAAGATAAAAAAAAAAAGCTTTCAGTGATTGAAACATGGAAGTGTCAAAATACTAGAAAAACGCATCTATCAGAAGAAAAAAAATGGTGGTGATGCCACGATACCTCAAACTGGCAACTGAATGTAAGCTAACGTATAATAGGCACGTTCGAAGAACAATTTCGAAAGATTTGGTACACTTTCTAATGTCAATTTTCAGTTTTCTCTAAGACAAATCATTTGGCTCAGGGAAAACAGTTGGTTTGTGATCCAGAGTGTGATGCAAGAACTGCGTTACTGGCATTATTCCTTACTAATACTGTGCCCTTTATAAAGTGGTATCACAGAGCAACGTTTATTGCAAACTACATTCTCAATACAGAACATGAAAGCACTCCCCAGGCATATTTTGAAGCTTAATTTCGTTAGCACACTTTACTACGACAAATAACCAAAACGTGGTGCAGAATACGAAATATAAACTGCAGAGCCCAACAAAATTCCATAGTAGGTGCTGGTATGTGAGAAAAAGGATGCTTTTAAGTTATCTTTAGAAGGCCGTCATTTGTTCCCACTACTGAGGCAAGGACCAGTGTCACAAACATGGTTGCGCTAGCACAGATTAGCTCAGAATGTCAGTAGTGACTGAAGTTCATCTGCAGTAGTGCCATAAATGAATAATTTGACTAGTAACTATGACAAGGCATCAATACAGATTGTGCCACAAACAAGACAGATAAGCACATCGCAAGTGCTCACATGCACACACTATGGTGTACTGCTGTACCTCTCTCCTTTTTGTCCTCCTTCCCCTATTCCTGATCAATCCTTACCAATTAACCCAAATGTAAACCTTGCAAAACATGACCAATGAAATAGCAAATCACATCTATTATGCCAGTGCTCAATGTACAATGCGAACAAGTACTAGTAGAATTGTACTAGAACGTTTCGTACATTCGTGGATGCGTGATTTGCTGCAGTAATGTGTGCAACTCAGCAGGATAACCTCCACAAAGGTCTGAGCTGCGAAGGCACTCAGTGTGGCAGGGTATCATTCGTTGCACTACAAAGTAATCAGACCACAATGAGATGTGGTGTGTCGACGAACGTGGCATGTGCGCATGAGTCGCAAAGCTGCATTGCTCAGTTGCCCGGCCACTAAGCTTGCGTCGATTTGAAGCATTTTCAAGCTATCAATGAGGGTGAAAGAAAACATTCCTGCATGGAAGCAGGCTTGCGATTTTTTATGGACGAAGTGGCCCACACAAATTCTACTGGTGACTGGAAATTGTACACTGCAATCACCGTTTATGGAAATGCGAGACGTGTACAACTTAATGCCTTGACGACCCTTAGGGATGACTAGCATAAGTGGTACAAAGCAACCTTAGACCCAGGCATTCGCGTTCCAGAGTTATAGAAATATAACGTGGCAAAAATGCGTGATGCAGTTTTTGTGCATTATTGACCAGATGTCATCACGTGCTGGCATAATGCTGGAATGACTCAATGATTACAGTGACAGAAACACATGCCACTGAGCAGCATTTCCTTGGACTTGCAACAAAGTGAACCACACTACATCTACAGTTTTGTGCTGTCACCACTCAATGCAAAATGAGCACATTGAAACCTGGTCATGCTTATGTCTCGTTAAGCGCATTACGTGTTGTTACTGTATCATAACGTGAAAAGAAAGCACAGAGGGTATGCATCAATTTTCTACTGCATCAAAATGTGGCTGAACACTAGTAACCAATGGAGTACTGTGGGTATGTCATTGTTAAAGTGTCTAGGTAATTTCTGCCCATAAGTGTAACATTTGTATCAGGGGTGTAGCCAGAGAGTGATGCACCGAACCTGTGCCCCCCCCCCCCCCCCGCAATTTTTTCTCACCATGGCATACAGAGAGAAAAATGACCATTTAAAGGGGGCATCCCCCCTGAACTCAAGGGGGTGCTTTCCCTCCCCTCCCCCAAAAATTTGTGGCTGTGCCACTGATTCGTATTGGCTTTTTGTGATTAGTGTTTTACTTGTAATCTTTCCGTTGGCATACTGCACATTCATGCAGCATGATGCCACCTCCCAAACTGCAGTACCACAGTGCTGAAGCCTGTGACGGCAGTGGAAATATTAAATCATCTCTTTAACCTGATCAGCGTCAACACAACCAACTCGCTTACATGGTGATGGCCGGGAGGATCTGCATATAGTACCCCTGGCTGATTTTATGGTCATACTTAATGGCATATCAAAGAATGTCACAAATAGCCTATACAGTTGCATTAGCAGCCATGAACACCATAGTCTGGAAATTATAGATATACCAGAGCAGCCCTTTCAAGTCCAAAGCATTGATCAGCTCATAACACTTGAATATTAAATTTTTAAAGAAATTAAAAAAGAGGTAATTAACGGTTTCAAGCGATTAATGGCGAAGGAGGAAAATCCAACAGGGTGAACGAAAGCATCCCTGTTGCTGTGCTGTTGTCATAGCTTTTGAACACATTTCCTCCAAGGCCGCCTACACAGCACGGCAGCACTATAGCTTTAAGCACTTGGAGTCGTGCATCAAACGATAGTGAAACAGTAGTCTCTATAAATATTGCACTACAACTGCATACCACAGCAGGTAGACAAATAACTCGCACTCTTTCATATGATTCTTCGACTTTTAAGAGCGAGCATTTGCAACCTTAACTGAAACCTTTATCTCCAGAAAGTTGTAGCAACAAAGACGATTGACTGCATCCGTCAGCAAGCTATCGTTTCGCAGCGCCTGCTCCCACAGCCAGCTCAGGTTTAGGTGGGAGGCGACAGTCTGTGCAGGACATACACGGCTTAAAGCAAGGGAATAACATACTTCACAGAGTTTCGTCACGGATAAGATACGGCCCACAGGTTGCCCGTTTCAAACCACGGCGTTAAAGTGACAATGGGTGAGATGCATCATGTCCACGTAACATTGCCTTTCATGATGTGGCACGACTGCTAGAAGTTTCCAAGGTTGGGAAAGGGGGCTGCTTTGTACTGCTTAGTTGTAGCAGTTAACCTGAGGCTGCGTCGCCGACACACACCGAATCGATGTGCTAGAGCCATCGCCAGAAGTTTGTGAATGTGCTTGGTAAAAAATGCAGTCACTTGATGTGTGACAGGCAAAATCGGTTGCGAAGGATAATCAGCATTACATCAAAGAAATGAAGCTGGAGAATATTCAGAGCGAGAACTGGATTAATTGTCCCAGTCTGCTCTCTGGTCACGCCTCCATTATCCACAACATTGCAAGAATGCTATGCCATAGTTTACACGAAATGGCTGCTGCACCTTCACTTTGTAACAAGTAAGGAAATATATAACAGAAAATTACTTTTCTACTACTAACAAACAATAGTAAGTCTACACACATGAATACAAGTAGCAGTGCAAGCTCTGGACAATGAGAAACTAGCCCAGCTGCTCTCTTTCCTACCTCTCTGTTGCAGCATGCCTATTTTATGCTGACAAATTTACTTGGTCCGCAGTCACAGGTGACAGCCATTGTTCACCCTCAGCCCACAAGAAAAGTTCTGTATGTCAGCACTCATCAATCAGACTTGCCGATAATCCACTTGTTTCTGCTTGCAATAAAAACACACACAAAAACCCTGCCAATCTGCAGCATAGTGAGAGCCATCACAAGAAAAAAAAAAGTCTTCACTTGCCCGTTAGGAAAGGTTCTCTGGAGTCCCAACTTTATTTGGTTGCCATAGGTGCCTCCTTCAGCCTTGATGTGCAAGTTATGGGGCAGAACGCTTTTGTACAGTGCCTCCATTACAATGCACGAATGTGGCTTGTGCTCAGTGCTGTACATTATGTAGAATTATAAATATGTTACAATCTGCTAGGCGATTCCCGAGGCAAGTTGGTTTGGCTGCAACGAACAAACTTCTGTAGCTTGCTAAAATGCAGCTGGCTTTGAAGCTACCTCTCACTCGTTCAAAAATCTCGGCGTGCACCTAACTACCTTACGTTCATAATATAGAAATTTTATTAAAACAGCGAAAGCAAGCGAAACAGCATCCAACGGACTGCCCTTGGCATCAGCTCCTCCACTTATGCCCCGATTTCTTTGGGCTGTCATCTAACAAACAAAATGAGGCATTTTTTAAATTTATCTCGGCACACATTCGAGAACAGACTTGCACACGATGCGTAAAATCAGTGAAAGAGAAGGATAAAAAGGCAGGGAGGGCCGATAGGAAAGGGAAGGATGGATGCCTGCACTGCCAACGAAGCAGGGCAGAGTTCCAACACAGCTCAGCTTCGAGCGTGGATGAAAGGTGACGGATGCCGCTTCCCTACTTCTCGGTCATGGAAAGCTGAAGAATGCGCTCGAGCATCTCGTCTTCTTCTCGCCGGCGTCGGTCCTCTTCTTCCTTGACCTGTTGTGACAGGCGCAGTGCCATGGCCAATTCTGTGCCTCCGCTGGCACCCAAGGCCCACTCGTTGCTCTCTTGCTGCTGCTGCTGTTGCTCCTGTGGCTGTGGCTGCTGTTGGATCACAGCACCTACAGTGATCCCTCCATCCGCAACACCAACTGACTTCTGGTAACTGGCCAGGCTCTCCTGGATGGCCCTGAGGATAACAGAGCATACAACCATGCAGAATTTGACCTAGACATCGGGTAAGCCGCCTGTGGGTCATGCTGCAATGTGTACAGCTGCGGCAGCTTGCGTAGGGCTTCCACAAATTAGAAGGAGCCCAAAATTTTAAAGGTCCTCCCGTCTTGCATACTCAGGTATGCCTCGGATTCATGGGTCAAAACCAATTCTAGACCTCTGCCTTGAAGTGACAATGAAGATCTACCTACAGCCTTCAATGGTGCCTTAAATAACGATCTATCATAACCTTCAATGATGTGGAAAGGGTTTGCAAGTTTTTGACAGTGCCAGGAAAACCAGGCAGCTGTACACTTTTAGCCACAATTAGACTAGCATTCATGTCCTGTTCACAGGAACCATTACGAGAAAAAGTTAGTAAAAGTAGTTAATTACTAGCTTAGGAAAGCCTTTTGCTATCACTCAAGGGCATACAGCTAAAACTACAGTAAAATATGATTACTGAAGTCCATGTTTAACTATAAATGAATCATGCACTTTGATCAAGTGATGAAAGTAATCAGCAATATACCTACATTCCTGGTGCTTGATTTGGGATTAGACAAGGCAACATAATTGTACTACATGTTATGTTTTGAGTGCGAATTGAATTGAATATTCTTCTAATACTTCAAAGCATTGCCGTAAAGATCTTTACACGTGAAAGGTTAAGATACTATATTCTCAGTCTCTCCTCTTCTAAAGTCGGTGGAGGGCCAACTTCTGTGGCAGACAAGGATGTGCTCCATTCGAGTCCCCAGTTCTAAATCTGCCTCGTAGACATCAAAATATGAGAACACATTAAATTTTGGATGCTAAAAACCTACAGCACCCGATCTTTTTTTCGAACTTCCTGCCCCAATTTCTGGTTCAAAACAGCATTAACTGAGTGCCCACTTTAGCCACAACTATCTATAATCTCCATTTTGAGACCAGCGTTTTTTCGATTCCGCACACTTGTGACCATAGCAGCACATGAAGGGCAGCTTTGCTGCAACAAAAGAGTGTGATGGGGTGAAGCATATTCAAAATCAGAAGTGACCACTTTCACTTTGACTGACTGTACAGTCAAACCTGAATATAACGAAATGGATGAATTCCAAAGGAAATTTGTTATAAAGAGGATTTCTTTATATACAGGTTCAGTACGAAAATTAGCAAAATAAACGCGCAAATTAAACAAAAGGGGCTGAAGGCAGAGCTAACCCAAAACATCTGATTTACAGTAAAAAACTGCGTTATTATTGCAATAGACCCTTGGCAGTTTTTTGCCATTGCCGCCATGTCTCATAACAAGTCCAAATTGATAACATGCCCTTTAGCATCGTAATTTCATGATTGATTGATTGATTGATTGATATGTGGGGTTTAACGTCCCAAAACAACCATATGATTATGAGAGACATCGTAGTGGAGGGCTCCGGAAATTTAGACCACCTGGGGTTTTTTAAGTGCACCCACATCTGAGCACACGGGCCTCAGCATTTTTGCCTCCATCGAAAATGCAGCTGCCGCAGCCGGGATTCAATCCCGCGACCTGCAGGTCAGCAGCCGAGTACCTTAGCCACTAGACCACCGTGGCAGGGCCTATAATTTCACAAGCAGGTAAAAGCATGCGAGCGCTGCTGAAGCAGAGATCAAATGAGTTGGCCCATCCATACCACCTAGAAAGTGCATAAGATGCAATCTCCTGCGTGTCAAAGCTGCCGTCGAATGCTTAAACAGACAGTAATCCACCCGTCTTGAATGAGCATAAAAGAACACGGGGAGTGGGGGAGGGGCGGGGCTTGCTCGAGTAGCAATAATAAACTTGGATTTTAAGGGCTGTCGCGATCACTGGCGTGCTTGCTATCTCAGCGAGTATCAGTGCGGTTTCAACATTATGAGACTGCATGAAAAGAGCAACTCCTCCCTGTAGCAATGTTTTGTAGGAACTCCTACAATGTTTTGTAGAAGTTCCGCGATATTGGATACAAAAGAGTTGGCTGCCAGCCTTACTTCTTGAAACATTACAGTTTTTCGCTATCACGTTCATTGCATTGCATTCAATGCGCCGTCGTGTTGCCAGAACTAATCAGCTAAACATGAAAGCTACCAGCCTGCGATCTAGCAGCGCGGCGCAAGACGTAAGCGCATGATGAGTCGACCTCCAAAGGTCTGTCGTCATCGTGGTCTCGGAGGGTGTGCATAAGTGCCTAATCTGACATCAGATTAGGCGCTTATGGTGACGACACGGTTGTCCTCGTGGTGACGACACGGTTGTCCGAAATTAAGAAAAGCCACAGTTTCGTCGCAAGGACGAAGCAATGAATGCGATAGGAACAACTTGACATGTAACGCTGAGAACGGCAAGCAGATTGAAACGTGTAGCGCGCTGCTCACGCACACATGACACACAAAAACAACATGCACAGGACGAGAGCGAACCAACAATGTTTACCGCTCGACACTTAACATGTTGTTTAAACAAAAAAATGAGGCATGAAACATAATCACAGGCACAGTTATGAGTGCCCCAATTTTCTTCGCTGTTCAAAAAGTGCACTATTTTCGCAAGCAGTGCCTGTCCAGCGAGTGAAGTGATCTTTGTGCGCCCTGCAACTAAACATAATCGTTCCGGTCAAAGTTAAAGGCACGCGGTTCTCTCCACCGAAGGATAAGCACGTGCGCAAGCATCTACCCCCCCCCCCCCCCCCCCCCCCCCCCCCCATTCGCAGGGCAAAGTACAGGTGGGAGATAAGCGTGCTTCGGCGCATGGTGACGAGCTGGGCGCTGAGCGCGGGCAGCTTTTTTTTTTTTTTTTTTTACTTATGCGGGAGCGGCCTGCGATCCTACCCATATAAAATGGGGTGGAATTCTTTAGGACCCCAATAAAGTTTTTCATCCATCCATCTTGAATTTTCATATATACAGATACATATACATATACGGCGAATGACGGCGGTGGCGGTGATGGCAAAAAAACAACCGAGGCTGTCCATATAATTAATGTCGCAATAAAAAAACAAAGATGAACGTCGTCGAGGGCGAAGAGCAAAGGACACGGACACATACACGGATATCGGATTGAAAACGAAGAGCGAAGGACACGGACACATACACGTATATCGCGGAAAACTATTCGGGTAAAGCGCACTCCATAGCAGCACAGCCCTACGTATGTGATGCTAACTAAAAGCGTGGCAGTGTGAACGTGCCATCGTAGTTTTCTTTTTTTTTTAATTATTATTTTGGGTCTGAGTGGGGGGGCACACACCCACGTAGGATCCCGCGGCGGCGAGAACGGCAGCAGCGCTGGCTCGTAGGGTGCAGGCTCGCCTGCCCGCCTCATGCTCATCCGCGTGCAATAATGAGCGCTTGCTCTCGCCTGGTGCGCTGTGCCCGCTGCTGCCCCTTTGCGCTTTGTTGGCGGCAGGGAAGCAGTGGAAGGAGCATGCTCGTATCAAAATGTCAAAATGTGGAGTAAAATTTTTAGATTGTTCGTGGGAAAAATTCGTTATATCAAGGTTGTCTCCCACTGTTACTTTGTTACATAGAGGTCGCAAATACATGTGCTTCTATGGAGCAACAGCGGGGAATAGAAAAACTTTGTTATGTCCAGGAATTCGTTATATGGAGGTTCGTTATAAGCAGGTTTAACTGTATTTGTTTTTGGGAAGTATGAATAGTGAAATTCTGGTGTGAATCAAATCAAATAGCAAACACATTTGAAAAATATTCAAAATTTCAGATATTCACGCACCCCTACTAACAACAAATTACATCCATGGTGGACATAGACATAGGTTATCTTTAATATTTTTACGTTGCTGCATAATTGCTGCACTGCCATGCTGCCCATGATCAGCCCCCCTTTTTGTTTTCCTCCTGCACTTGCCATTCACTAGTACTCTCCCTGAATTTCTCCTTTGCAAGGCAAATAAACCTTCTCAGTCACTGCTCTATCTACACTACATAAAACTAGGCTTTTTATGTGGTCTATTGTTTCATTATATTTATCATTTAAACTCAATATCTTACCTCTGCAAGGCGTGGTCCTCTTCCAGCTCCGGTGCAATGCCCGTCTGGTCAGTCGTCAGAGCTTCCCAAACAGTGACCTGAAACAGCAGAGGTGGTGTGAAAACTTGCAGCCACCATAACCATTTCTAAACTTTGCAACAGTACCTGCTGTGTACAGATTATTAAATGCAATACATGTTCAGGTTGAGCACTTAAGACTGACGACTGCAGGGCATGATGTGGTGTCAGTATGGACACTCAGTTCTGATCACCTGACGATCTTCGACATGTGCCTTATGGGGGAGCACGTGCGCCCAATCACTCTTTCCCCTTTTGCGGCAGCACGACAGCCTAGTTGCGAGGACATGACTGTTCCTTCGAGACAAGTCAATAAAGCATCTCGCGGAGAGATAGAGCACCCCGCGGCCGGCACTCACGATTCCGCTTTCCTGGTGCACGGAACGGGTTTCCCCTCTCTCAGCGAGGAAACGTATTCTCGTCAGGGAAGGGAAACCGGGACGGTGAAGAAAACTAGCGTGCGAACGACGAAGCGTTCTCTCTGGCACCAGCGGCTAAAGAAGAAGGACGAACCTGGAAACCCCTGCGAGCCAAGTACGACAACGACCGAGGTGTAAGCATCTACACCTTTGTTATCTGAAGTTTCTCTATGGGACATTTACGCAGTATTGCTAGCATACAGTAATAAAGTGTAGTTTGTTGACCTAGCCTGTTGTCTTATTCGCCCTAACCCATGTAGCTGCGATGACTCAAGCTGCAGAAAGGGGACGTTAATCGTGCACGGTATGACTGTGTGCGGTTGAAACCTTAGCTAGGCTTCTGCATCAGCCGTACATAGGACGGACCCCCTATAGCCTACACATACATGCATCGTTTAGATTTCACTTAAATGTAAGTACCAAAGCTAGTGTATGCAATACGTAGCATTGATTCGTAGCCCCCATATAAGAAGTGATGTCATCAAAGTAATAATGAACCACTGATAGAGTTTTACGAGCCAGGACATTGACAACCTGTTGGCATACAACCAGGCACACCTGCAAAGTGACACACTAAAGTCGGAAAAGGGTGTAAGGTCCTTCAAGCAGTCTCACGTTATGTCAAATGGTAATGGAAATTAACATAACTATACCATGCAATCTTCTCACCAACATGTCTTGATCTGGTAGCATAAACTCGATAGATTATTCAACTTATATGCTCTGGCTGTACGCAACAGGAAAATGCATTCTTGACCGAATCTCATTGCACTGACTGCAGGAACAACTTAGAGAAGCTGTCAAATACTATAGTTCATGTAAGTTTCAGAAAAATATTCTGTTCGATCGTCTTATAGGTATCCCATAATATAGTGCATAGTTAACAAGCAAGATAGATAGATTGACTTGTGGCTTGATTGATATGTGGGGTTTAACGTCCCAAAACCACTATATGATTATGAGAGACGCCGTAGTGGAGGGCTCCGGAAATTTAGACCACCTGGGGTTCTTTAACGTGCACCCAAATCTGAGCACACGGGCCTACAACATTTCCGCCTCCATCGGAAATGCAGCCGCCGCAGCCGGGATTCGAACCCGCGCCTTGACTTGTGGCTTTGCACTACAAATAGATAGTTGTACATTTTTCCTTTTATAAATTCAAACATGTTCAGAGAAATTTAGTACAGTAGACTACCATTAAATGGAACCTAAAAGGACCGTGAAAATATGTTTTATTTAACCGGAGTTCTGTTTACTCAATCATAAACAGGGGTGCAAAGTATAAGTACAAAACCGATAGGCAGTTGTTCCATTTAGGAAGCAGTACTGTTTTAGCAGATTTCTATTTTCTGAGCATTGTGGGGTCTCGAATTGGCGAGCCACGCCACGCTCTTGGAGTGAAAGGAAACCGTTGACACGGTCGGTGCAAACCAAACAAGTACACACACATTTATTCAACTAATTTAGACAACGATATCGTCCGCCGAATCGATACATCAACGGTAATTAACATGCTAGGACATTGTTACACAATAACACGACAAACACACAACATGAGAGCACACAAAAGGTGGCGTCGCCAGCGCTTCACCCTTACCACGTTGGCCTACCTGCAGGCGGCCCGCGGTGCCGTCCACTGGCAGACCCACCGCGAGAGACAACCGTTCGCGGCAACTACCACACGCAGAAGAGGCTCGCTCAACCCTCGCCCGCCACCAAGGCCTGCCTTCCGCCAGGGGTCACTTCCGGCACTACTACTCTACCAACAGTGGTACTCAACGCGAACACAACGCCATCTATCGCCCGGCGACTTGTCACCACCAAAATACGGCTTCTGTGCGAAACACATGCGCCACGCGAGGCAAACAACTTTACAGGGACTGTCAGCACTCTTACAGCGTCTACTATATATAACTAACATCAATATATTTGTAAATGAGCTCATTGAAGCAGACAAAGTCTATATTACAGCAAAACACATCATTCACAAAAAAAAAATTCTCCAGCTATTATCCATGATGAGCATTCTAAGCATTCCTGAGCTACGAATCCATGATTGTTTTGATGAAAAATTCTGGCACGTGGAGCGTAGCCGGAATCAATGTTCCAACTAGCGAACTTGTCTTCTTCAGTGCTGCAACTCGAAGACAAGTGCACTCATTGAAATGTTGGCTCCAGCTACACTCCACGCTCAAGAATTTTTCATCTCAGTCAAGCTTCCCTCTGAACTTCTGCCTTCCTAAAAATTTTTTTAATGAATGCACACTACAATCCCCCTAGCGCAAAAATAAGGCATATAGAAAACTACTTAAGATGAATTTAAGAGTATTATACAAAAAGAGTTTCTTTTTTTGACCAAGCTATAACATAAGCGTTCTTCATTTATGCAAACAATGCAAGAAAACAATGTAGATTTAAAAAAATTTAGTTTCGAAGTGTGAAGGCGAATCGTACCTAGGTCAAGAGTTCCAGATTACGCAACTAAGAGCTCGTAGCAAACAGTGTTTTGGGTTTAGATGTTTTCTGAGATTCGCTTATGGTTATTACGTTCACTAATGCATCAGTTTCAATGGGTTCCACAGATGCACCCAAGGGTCCGATATGCAGTAGCACGAGCGTATGCCTGACGAGCCAATCATTTTTAATTTGAAGTTCGCGCACCTGATTCTCCTCTCCGCTTGCCTCCACGAACGACTGCTCGATGGCGTATTGGAGGAGTTCGTCGTCCTCGTCGTTGATGTTGAATTGTCGCATTTTGTTTGCGCCTGCGCCAAGAAAAGCAGAGAGAAAATTGTGCTCCCACTGGACACTTCGACAACGTTTTGCAATACAGACAATGAGTTTCTTTAAATATGTCAGTACGACCACCTATGTTCTCACAAAACGTCAGGGTGACTGCCACTGACACATCTGTCTCAAAATAAAGCCAGATTGATAGAAAGAGAGAGAGGGAGAAGTGGGGAATATACATAAATATATAATATAGATAATTTTTTAGGAGTACTTAAAAAAAAAAGACAATGTATGAGCTGTATGTTTTAAAATGGATGACTGCCAAATGTGTGTTGAATCAGTTGCAAAAGAAACGCTTGCCACGTTAAAGGAAGTTACTAATTGCATAACTAATGACACGTTCGAATGAAAATAGCAGAATGATGCAAAACAGTGAAAAAAAGAAAGTTATTATGCAATTTCGTGTGAACTTAAAAGCCGCAATAATATGTACCCACCTAGGTGAAGCACATTCATAAAAAGATTAGTTTTTTTGCCACTTGAAGATTACATAAAAAAAAAAAATTCAATAGGATGAACCAACCAATCATGCTATTTCAACAAAGTGAACTTCTGCATGCAAGATGTTCACCACAAAAGCTTCACCTCTTCAGTTACTTTTGTTTTTATTTGAAAAGGAAAACAATTTACCAAGCTAAAATCGGTGATCTAACCTTCACAAACAGGACTATTGTGAAAGGACTGGAGTGTCCTATTCATTAATGTGTTATCCTTGCATTTTTATTCTTGTGTGTCTCAGTAGCATGCTGAAATCAATAGCTGTGCAGAACCAACCAGCGCCTGCCTCAGGCTCCGATTGAAAAAATGACAGATATGCATTTATAGCATCAGCAATAGAAGTGACCACCACGCACATAATCACAGTAGCACTAAACATGAATAAAATAAAAACAAGATTATTAAACAATATTTATGCAAAATGCATGTAATATAATGGTATGCACGATGACTAAGACGTATGCGTACATGTTCGCGGAATGTGCTAAAAAAACAGACTTCTTGAAATACGAGAAAGGAAAAGCTCAGACAACATGAAAGATGGAACTTTTGCTGAAAACATGATAGTGTAGACACAGTGAAATGGCATCAGCCATGGCGACACGATCATCGCAATGTCATTCGACCTTAGGTGAAGTATTGAGACACCTAAAGCTTTTATGAGGTTCTTGGAGTAAATTTACAATAAATTTGATATTTTGTATCGGCCTCCTGCATTGATCAGAGTTATCAACTATTTGAATATTATTAATATAATAAACAGGGAAAGTGAACTTTGTGGGTCATCAGTTGAAGTACTATATACGACTGCATTGAGAATTTTTTTTTTTTTGCAGATTTTCACTACTGAGAGTTTAAATCTCATACTACAATTGAATACCAAAATGATATATCTTCCTGGATGTAATTAAAAGTCACCCCTCATTATACAATCATATTCATGTCACAATCTAGTAAGTACAAGTGTTCTGAGTATTTCAGTTCAAATGACAATTTACTGAATATAAACCGAGCAAGTCATGGCATAGCCCTGGCATGTTAGTCTTCAAATATTGTCTATACAAATGAGTGGTAACCCTAGCTTTTGATGATTGGCAGCTAATGCTTCAATTTCAGAAACTTAATGGTAAACAAAAAGTTACACAGTAAAGCTTCCTGCAGAGTGCACACACAGAAAAGTACTAGTTTTATTTGCTAATGTACATGGAAGCAACCCAATATGAAAACACAAGATTAGGCAAGCCAAGGAATAGACAAAAAAAAATATGTTCACGCAAATCAGCCTGCAAGACTTACTAAGCTCATGCAAATCAGCCTGCAAGACTTACTAAAAGTGAAAAAAATATATATACACTCAGCTGCATCCACTGCTTCAAATAGTAGTGCATCAGATTTGTGGAAAGGCTTGCGATTGGTTTTCTATCTCCTCACCTTCCACTGCTGCACATGCTTTATAAACCTATCATAGTGATAAAAATATGCAGTGTTACACTTTACCTACATTTCCAATTTCATGATACAATAAAAGATTGACAAAAATGTTATGTAGATTTCTGTGCTCTTTGAAGCTGCCAAAGTAACAACAATACGACTTCAGGAATCGCAGATAGCCCAGTCAAGTGTGCGTGCATTTCGACGTCGGGAATAATGGCACTAATTTAAACTTCTGGAATGCTGGCAGAATATGTGGTACAGGAAACACGTATACGCTGTTTATAGAGAGTTTGGATCAAACAGATTTGCTCTAGATATCTGCGCTGCTAGAGTGGAGAATTTATTTAGTCAGCTGTGCTCCGTTAGGAAGCTTCCTGGAATTCCTAATGAAACAGCAACAAGCACATGCATGCATAAAGAGTGGTATTAGCTTAGTAATATTTTCTTTTCCCCATTAAAGAGCTGTTCATTATTGACTGCTTCACTTTTGGTATTTTTAACCAAGACATCATTCATTCCAATTGCATGATTTCAGGTGTCTCAAAAGGGGGCACAGCTGTATAAGAAAATCACTTAACTGACAAAAGGCAAACTAAGCACAAGAGAGAACAGCAATGTTTCAAGCTTCGCTGAATAGCAACCACTATCAGGTGCAGTCTCAGGCCCCCATCCTGTCTCACTTGAAACGAACACACCTTGACAAAGGACACGATAGTGGTTAGAGAGCAACAGTTTGAGAAACACTGTTATTCCCCAGCAGCCAATCCAGCAAGATCTTCCTGCGTGCCTGTAGCTCGCACTTGCAAAAACAGGGACAGCTAAACCTAACGGTTCAATCCGTAAAGGCTTCCAGTGCAAGCAGCAGCATCAGCCAGTGCCACGAGTCTCAACAAAACATTGAAAACTGCCGTCATGCTTTTGGTGTGCAACATTTGTTTGTCCGGATCAGCTGCTTCTGCCGTAAAGCACTCCTTGTGGCCTGCCATGCTTTGCCTGTGTCATGCATGTGCGCAGCTAGTATGCCAGTGCTGCTGCATGGCATGGCACGGACCTATGCTGCCAGCGTACGTCAACGCACCTGCAGAGGGACACCCTCGCACTTCACCAACCTTGCTGTGTGGGCCGTGCAGATTTGTTTTCTACACTGTTGGAAAGGTGGGGCAAGAGAAGAACCAATTAATGTTTGCAACTTCTGGGGTTGGAGAATGAGTTCTGAGACACCTGAAGTGAAATGCAGCTATTGGTTCTATCAAACATTTTCAATAAAGACCAATGTGCCATGACAAGAGCGGCAATCAAGGGTAACAGCAGTTCGCCATGCAGATAGAAATGACTGCTTAAGAACAGTGAGAAGGCACTGCATGAAGCTCCGAATAAATGCCATAGCCTGCAGATTCAGCGAATAATGCTTGCAACCCATTTCAGTGGCACTGGATTGCAAACGAAGTGAATCTGTGAGGTCACTAAACTCTGTTTGGGGCAAGGCCATAAAGATATATAACGCATTGTAAGTGCAGTGATAGGATGAGACTTCTCAGTAAGCTGAAGGCATTTGTTTACTTCTGACTTAAGTCAAAAGTAATGATAGATAATTGACAACTGCAAATGCAGTTGGTGATAATAGATAATTGACAACTGCAAATGCAGCTTGTGCATGTTCAAATTATGATGAAATTCTTAGCAGCTACAATGTTACCAACAGTGCTCTTAAACTTGCATAAATACCAAGCACAAGGAAAACAAGAGAACGAAGACTGCAGTGAAAAGAGAACTACAGTATCGAACCGAAAAGGATGAATCCATAAACTAAACAAAAAAAGGGCATATCCATGGTCTGACTCGGAGCATCCCGTCTTGCAGCCCTTGCAACAGTGATTCAACACAATGGAAACAAATTACGAGAAGAAAACTGTAATACTCGAGCCATACGGGCAGAGGAAATAGCTTTTAACTCCTAATGCCTTCAGGTTCAATGTCGTTCGTCACCTAATGCCATCACCAGAACTCCTTCGACTGAGCAATGCATACTCTCGACTGTGCAGCTGATGAAGTAATTATATCTAACAACATTTCATTCAGCTTAAAGAAAACTTTTTGCCTCTTTTATTTACACTTATCACTTAAACAAGTGCTTAAAACTTATCTTCAGTTGGTAGATGCTGTAACATAAGTGCGACCGATGCCATTTTCCTTTTACGCTGTGGGTCTGACTAGCTTTGGCTTAAATTTCTACATGGTCAATTGCAACATTGCGAAACAAAGTAACAAACTATATCTAACAGCCGTTAATAAAATTTAATTATTCTCGGAGGTATATGTAGGTTGTCAACACACGGTTCTTTTTCTATTACTACTCTACAATTGTATACTAAAGAAGATGGTGAGATTGACATCACACGAGTCAAATGCCATTCATTTTGGAAGTGTAGCAAGCAAAGCTCCACCTGCAAGCAAGCTCCCAGTCGTGTTCATAGGTCTTTCATGAAAAAAGAAATAAACAGTGCATGAGCAAGGAAAGCCTTGCACGCCATGTGATGAGCATTTATGAGGACACAGCGGTTTCGAAATGAAAAGTTGTAGCTCTTTTCATTCAATGCCTGAATGAGATGTTTTATTGAGATGATATTGATTGTTTTATTTCTTGTTCTCGAACAACAATGCTGCTCTTTCAGCTCCTCCATGCACGCTGTCCAATAAGTACTGGCCAAAATGATAGGGAAGATTACAAAGAATACGACGCTACAGGTGTTGTATTCGCAGTAGCTGCTGCAGGAGGAAAGCTAGTTAGTCCATAGCATATCATATATTTATGCAGTAAACTCCGAGTTCCTCACAGATCATTCCTCGCAGAGCCAGTAACTTTGCAGTACCATCATGTACAAAAACCAGCATAAGGTGCCAAGACATCTCTACTGCCACAGCACTCAGTAAAAAGTAACTAGTGGCACCATAACGATGCTGTTCAGCATGCTATGAACAAGATGGGGCCCTTGAGGCACTGTCAAGTCTTATGCAATATGCAAGTTGAACAAAAGCTGGTTGTGTCTTGCCAAGAATTTATGACACAAATTGGAAGACAGCACAGAAATAATGGTGCCCTAAAGAATCTGCCAAATTCCTTGGACCTTTCTATTGCCTGCTCCTATATGTTGCATATTACAGCAATGCATCAGAATGGAAGCACAATGAAACGTTTTAGGCACTAAAAGCTGTGCATTTAAGAGAAATATAACAAAGGGATAAGCTTGCTTAGCAACGTCAATACATCGTCTCACTTGAGAGTATGTAGGAGCTAGTGTGATTTATGTACACAAGTTAATGTGTAGTAAATCAGCTTACAGTATTAGGAAAAACAAACAGGATCAAAGTGGCTGTGGTTTCTCCATTTAACAGCATCATTCTTACTTTGAACCAAATCTAGAGAATATAAAGCTACAGTTTACGCAACAGCATGCAAGTAAAGATATTCTATTTTTACGCCTGAGCTCATCTGACATTCCCCGTAAGACGAAGTGAGCACTCTTAGACGACAAGAGTTAGAAAAAACCTAAGGAACTCCATTAAGGCTCGAGCCATCTCTCATGAAATAATTTTGCTAACAGGTATCCTTAGCTCTTGGTCAGTTCTTTTTCATCCGAGACTCTAGTGTCTCCTACTTTTTTTTTCATGTGCATTCAAACTGTAGTAAGCACAGTTTTAACTACAGTTGTTTACGCATATTTCCATATGTTCCCTTATGTTTACGCATGGCACCCACAGTGTCACACGTGAAACCAAAGAAGTCGGAGAGGCAGAAAGCTGGTCACAGGAAAACTGGCGTGCTGTGTGCACATTGCCAATAAAAACAATAGGTCTGCAAGAGAACGACATAGTGTAGCTGCCACTGCTATGATAACCAAATGCTGCTGTTATAAATTATTGTCTGCTATTTACCAGCGACTGTTGGCCCTTTGGAATGGCCAGGGGTTGCTGCAACCCTCCTTGAGTGTATTTTGCGCACACCTCCTGCCGGCGCTTCTCCCTACGTTTGCGTCTACTCTCGGGGCTCAGCGGTGCACGGCGGCGGGAAGCGCGGCGGGCACTCAGGCCGTCTGCCGGCAGAGCGGGAGGAAAGAAAAACAAAAAACACGCACACAACAGAGTTGATAGAGCCAAGATGACCTGGCTTTTTCACAATCCAACCCAAGATCACAGTCTGCAGCTACCTCAAGCTTGTGCAGGGTCACAATTCCGCTTTGAGTAGCACCCGATTCAAACAAAATGCCTCAAGTCTCGCTGCATTATTTCATTAGTTCAGAATATGATGTACTATTACGCTCAATTTAGGGTAAGATGTATGAGCAGTGAAGGCCGCGCCGCTTTTGAGAAAAAAAAACTGAAAGAAAGCTGCCACTCCAATACTTGGGATTATCTTTACCCCTAGCGCAGCTTGTTTCACCAAAAACACCATTGTCCTAACTCTGAAACTTGTTTTTTATTTTTATTTTATTTTTATTTGTGATGGAGTGATTGATAACTGCTCAGTTGTCCAGTGTTGACATGTGTAACAAAAAGAAAAAGGTGAGCACATTGCTGGCGAGGCAAAACGCTCTGCACTTTTCGTTTGGGCATGCTGCTCAAGACACAGCTCACGCAGTTAAATTCATATTGCAAGCAATCATGGCCATACTGCAACTACTTCATCAACGTCCCAAAACCACCATATGATTATGAGAGATGCCGTAGTGGAGGGCTCCGGAAATTTCGACCACCTGGGGTTCTTTAATGTGCACCCAAATCTGAGCACACGGGCCTACAGCATTTCTGCCTCCATCGAAAATGCAGCCACCGGAGCCGGGATTTGATCCCGCAACCTGCGGGTCAGCCGCCGAGTACCTTAGCCACTAGACCACCGCGGCGGGGCAGATACGCTCAGACTTGCTCTAGCATAATACCATATATGCAACCAATCTTGCGTCATTTTTTATGACTATTGTAAAATTCAATAAGTAATTTTCTTTTTACAAGCTACAGCTCATTCATTAAGGAAACCCGTAGTAAAGCTGTGCATAGTTTAGCAGATTTAAGCTTCTCCCTGCAGGCATACAGGTATTGGTCCTAAAGGGTGATAGACATAGGAAGTGCCTTAGGTTTGCACAAAGTTAATCAGATATAAAGCATTAAGGTCAGGTCATCGAAGGCTTCCTTTAGCAAACATTTGACAGGCTGCCGCAACAAAAGAACAAGATGAAAGAAACTTTGCAAAAAAAAAAACAAAAAAGAGAAAAGGTAGTCTGCAGCTTTCGATAACAGCAGACGAAAATGCACTGAAGTAAATAAAGGCCCACTATTTGTTTTCAGCCACCCAAATGTGACTGCCGACAAAAAAGTTTTAGAAACAGCATATATGCAAAATGCTTGCTGGCTCCAGAGGTAGCGTCAGCAGCGCTGCGCATGCATGATATGCGAATTCACCATACATGCAGCTGATAGCAGTTGCTAAATACAGGGTCTACTGAGAAATTATCATGAGTATGGTGTGCAACGACTCACCATGAAGCAAGAAAAAACCTGACTGATGACCACATATAAAAAAGGTTTTTTTGCTTCATGTGAAGGAGCAATGCTCATAGGGACAATTAGACATATTCAAGTACAAGATCGGGTAAGCTGGCACAAAATTTGAAACAAATGGAGATCGCATGGGGTAGGCCCACATCGTGCAGCGCATGTAAATAGGCGATGTTAGCGAGTTTATTCAAATATGTTATTAGGGTGTAATAAACCAGGATGACACTACAATTAATTTAGCCTACAAGCCATAAAAGGGGTCCTTGAACGTGGTTCACCATAAGCTTCAAGTGCTAGCTACAAGTGAGCGAGTAATGCCTGAGAGCTCGTTAGTTGCAGTGAATGAAGTGCTCAGGCAAGCAGATTTATGGCAAGTGCGGGGCACATCAAAGAAAACAGTGCTTTTGTTTGGTGCTTCACCAGTCTGCTGAAGGCAAGCACCTTAAAATTTGCGCCACTTAGCATGACAGGAAAATTTCAGCACCACCTTGGGTCGCAATGGCTGTATTGGCCAGTTGTTCAGTCGATATTTGCTTGTCAGCATCATCCAAGTGTACTGAAGTTGCCAACACAGCAAGTCCAACCTGAGCCACGAAAGCTCAGTAGACCATTGCACTGCTACATTAAAGCCACATGGGAGTGTGCGATATTCAGCAGGAGTTCAGTTATAAGGATTGAGGGTACGTCTTACTGCATCCACCTGGCATGGGAATAACGTGTGTTGCCGGACCTGTTCTTTGTCCTGACCTGCCACGAGTGACTCACCGAGCCGTGCGTAGCTGCTGGGGGCCTCAAAGCAGCTCTCGTCAATCTTGCACATGACTGTTCCCTGCTCCCGCATCGTGGTCACCCCTGGGACGGGCTCGTCAAAGGCGTTGATGTTGCCAAAGGTGATTCGGGCGTTGAGCACATGGAACAGGGGAATCTCTGCCAGAAGGGACAAAGAGGAAAGAGACGAAGAAAAAAGGAGGGCACGAAATCACAAACTTCGTGAATCTACTACAAAAAGCAAGCAAAGAAAGAATGTCTTGGAGACATTTCCTTGAGAAGCGAAAAAATCGACACGTCAGAAACAAGGTAAGGACTATAGGCCCATTGCGAAACGTGGGCCCTAGTTTTGAGAGCTGCGTTTCTCATCTTGAACAGATGAATAGTTCTTTAACACGGAATGTCAGTGGAGCCAACGTTTTTATAAGTCAACATTTTTATAAGCCTTGGAGAAGACATGTCTGCTAGTCGAAACAGTGGCTCAAGCGACAACCTGTGTTCATTATTTTTTTTTTTAACACTTCAAGCTGCTATGTTCCTCTGAACATCTACCTTTCTTTCTTTTTTTTAATTTCTCATTTTGATAATATCTGCACAAGCTGTAATGAGTGCTGACCAGCAAAAGAGATGTTGCTGCTTCCTGTGAAGAGTGTCAGCTGCAAGGGCGACCCCATGCATTGCCATGAAGTGGCAATAGAAAGAAAGGCAAGGTGTGTCGGAGGACCACATTCAAAAATTTTTTTTTCTTATAACAAGAAATGACTTGACTTGACCTCCTTCATTACTTAGCAGTTAAGTGTTTTATCAAATGCCACATTATGAGAATTTTTACTTGGACCACAACCGTACGAAATATACGGTCAAATACGAGACAAATGGCACATTGAAGAACTTTTTTTCGAGAAAACTGTTTTGCCACAATGCTCCGTGTGGTATATTAAAATGGTATAAATTTTTTCAGTTAAAATCTGTGATGGGCAAGTGCCACATTTGGGACACTTGGCATAGGTTGACTTATAATATTAATGTTCTTAAAGCTAAGAATGCAAGCCTGAGGCATCACACTGTAAATATACTAAAAAAATATGCATATATCTTGAGACTCCAAGAACTTTGGATTCTAGGAACTGCTCCTGCAGGGTTCTGCAGCAAAGAATAGCTTGCAACTAAATAAAAAAGGAGAGAGAAAGAAGCAATAGGGGAGGGGCACTCAATTAGTGATTGGCACATATTTCAAGTCTCCCAAAAAAAGGGGAAGCGGAGAGGGGCACTTGCTCAGGATTTCACGGTATGCCTGTGTAAGTATATATATGTAAAACCCTGAAAAGTAAAATAGATGAAAAGAAATTTTTTTCTCAAGCACGCGACTGAGGATCTAAAGTTGCGACGCTCGTTCAACGGCATGACACGTTAAACTGTTTGACCAAGCATGCATACGTTCTCCAGCATACTAAATAGCTTTTAAGGTAGTCTCCCTGCTCATCTTTCACTGGAGTCGGGTTGCGCATCTTGCTGCCCTGTACTATGACCTATAGGGGGTAGACACTTATCTCTTGAGGAGGGTTCAACAGACGGCTCACAGCTTTGAACATGTTGACTTTATTGCAAAGTTTCGTTGAAGTCATAGTTCTCTTGGAGGTCGCTTCACTGGCTGCAGCTGCCATGCGGGCGAAAGAAGTGAGCTGCAAGCCTTTCTTTGTATGACGTTCCAAACAGTCGCTATCACATTTATTACTTTGCTCTGGTGACGAAACTGAGACTTTATTATTTTTTTTTTTCGGCTCTCCATCTGTCACTCCTATTCTTCTGCACTAGACCATCTTGGTACACAGAGTAGGTCGCTGCCTCCTCTTCAAAACTATTGCTCGCTGCTGATAAATGCTCACACTTGAAATGCAGCACGCCCTTCTCTATCTTACACATGATCTTTTTACTACTAGCTCTATCACAATATTGCAGCATGTTGTGACTGCCAAAGACCAATGCAACGAACAATAAACGAAACACTATCTTGTTGCCTTTCAAGTTCCTATAAGTTGCCTTTCAAGTTCATGCAAAACGAGGCACTGCAGAATATCAACTAAATCTTAAGAAACTGTGAAAATATTGTCCATTTGACGGGCCCTTCGTTAACTGAGAAAGATGTATAGGGGTGCAGCACCAAAACCTAAAATCAAACAAATGAGATGCATTAGCTCCGTTCATGCTGCGATGCCATTTAAGCAATTTTATGAGATTTTGGTGCTTTGGCAAACACTTTCCATTCTTTCTTTTTTTACTTAGTTTGCCCATTTATTGAAATGTAGACTAACAAAAAAGTTATTGTTCTACTGCCTACTTTATCTCCTCAACCTTCGGTCTTACAGAGGAGACAGCTTTGGCTATAAAGCTTTGAAAATGTACCACTATCAATCAACTTGTTACTAGCTCAGACAGATCTAGCAATGAGTAATTAAATGCATGATCCTTCTACTGGTGTTTCCTGTACGCACAACAAAAGAGCCACAAACTGAGCTGGTTGCTTCAGCTTGAGGTTAAACATTTCTTTAGCAGAGAAATGGAGACACTTGAAGGCATGATCACAAAACACCTTGTAGGCTATCCAAGGGTGGTATATTCTCTGAACCTTGCAGATGAGCTTAGAGCATCCACACATGTTGCACCCCCCACTACTGTGGAGCTCAGGAAAAGGCTCAGAGTGAATGCTAGCTCTTAAAAATGTTTGCCCCGTGCAAAATACTGGACACTTAGCAGGAAATGTACATTACGGCTAGTAGGCTTTTCTTTGCTACTTGCCTTTTTTTTTTTTCTAGAACCATGTTTTATCACATCTGAAAGATGCTTCAAGTTATAGTTGCTCACATAAGCATTTGAGACCTCTGACAGCTCATCTACCATACCACTGGTAACTTTCAACAACGCAGTCACATCCCACTTCCACGAAATTGAAAGTGGGCGGGGGGGAGTGGCAAAAAGTTTGCTGTTGCAGAACTTTGCTGCAGTGCGATTTCATGTATTGACCACAAAGGTTAAGAAGACCTGATGATTATCACTCGTCCATTGGTCCTGACAATGATCATCTATTATAGTGCATTAGCACCAACTCGGACGAACTTCGCCGCACACCGAGTGAGCGTATTTTCTCACACATAACACACACTAAATATATGAAAAGTTTGGAGCTAAGGTTGAGGTGTGGGTTATTCAGGAATTTCAGTGCATAAGTTGGCATATTGGCCACCTACCAAAACACTTACCTAAATTTATGTTAAGTAATCTGTGTGTAACCTCCTGTAAAGGTAGTTTCACTGCACTGAGAAGTGCTGAGCCATCAAAACACCTATTCAGGGAAAATCTGCCCTGATGCGAAGCATGCACCCCCCCCCCTCCCCTCCCTTCAAGGTTAAAGGGCCAGTCAACAGGCTCAGACTTCTTTTTACACCTCCCGAACAACCTTGGTAATTCGTAGAGTAGACCACAGCGATCACATTATCTGAATATTACAGAGCTGCGCAGAGCCTCCATTTCAAAAAACGATTTCCGCGCTTTTTTTCCTACGCCTGACCAATGCTCCTTGACCGCGCAATGACGATAACTCAGCGATCGGCGACGTGATGCAGCACGCAGCTCGTCGACTGGTCTAAACCAAGTCTGAATAAACCTTAGTGAAGCCAACGACAGTTCCTGTTCCCACCCACAGCTACAACAGAGCTATTCCATTATACGACTTGCGAAACTCCCCATATGCTCCATGTTTCAAAATCCAGACACTTGGCCCAGTTTATGCGGGTGAGCAGATTGTCGCGCCACCTATTTTAATAAGCACACTCACTATTAAACGCATTATTTGTGTTTTGTGTTGCTGCTCCCAGATGGCATGACAGTCTGCTTTAAAAAAATTGAACTCCCGAACAATTGGGCCAACTTCTCATCCTTGTTTTGGAATGCAGTTTTGCTGCAAATTGTTGTCGACTGCGAATCGAGCGACCGAGCTGCGGAGAAGCATCAGCACCAGGTAAACAGTAAACAACCAGGCATCGCAGCAAGCGGAAGCGCGTTGAGATTGATCGAGCTCGCTGATGACGCCAATTGCTGACGTCTTGTCACGTTGCCGAAGTGAGCGGAGTCATGATGGGCTACACCTTCCCCTCCTTCTGAAGGAGAACAGCTGAAAGTGACGTTTTATCTCTTGTAAATAGCTTAATATAAGGTGTACTCACAAAATTCTTGCGGCTGTATTTTCACAAAGTAAAGTGCACAAATTTCTCTTAATAAGAATTTTTGGACCTGGGCATTGTTTACTGGCCCTTTAAATGAACATATTACACACACATCAATTCATCATTAAAAAAAAATTTTAAAAGCTTGTTATACCGGCTCATACGCTCAATGTACAGAATATTTTAAAATGCAACACATTTTACAGCTTCCCCACTTGAATTTTACTGAAAGTGAAATCCTGCTACTATTCCCAATGTTTCTACTTCCCTTGAACCAAAAAGAAAGGCATTTATTTGCACAGGCCTTCTTTCAAATTGGAAAAAATATTGTGCACGTTAGTTGGGTCATTAAAAATATGCCCATTTTTCTTTATGTGATATATACTGTACGACTTCGATTCAAAATCATTCAACCAAATCACTATTCACTTCAAACCTAAAATTCATTATTTGCACAAGGTTGCAAATGACAAACATTTGAGCAAACATCTTAAACATGTCGAGGCAGTGACAACACACATGCAAGAGTACCTCTACCGGAACTTTCGACAATACGTAAATGATCATGCATCAAAAACAAACAAAGCATTCGTACCAATTTTGACTGGGAAGCCCGCTGGCAGTTGCAGCGTGATGAAGTCCCGTAGTCTGGCAAAGTGGTTGCTGTTGATTGACATGAGGTCTACAATTGGAAGAATCTAGGGGGGGGGGGGGGGGCCAAAAACAGAGCAACCACCGATAAGCTTTTAAGAGGTGGCTGGGTGCATCTTCAGCACCTACGCCAATCCCTGGACAAAGGCCAGTACTGCTGCACAGTACTGGCATGGCGTTATTGATAATGGTGAGTCTTATGAAAGGTTAAATAATCGGGCAATAGTCCCAGCCGACCAATGTAAAGGATGCCATCCCTTATGCAGACACTAAACATCAAATGCATAGGCATCCACACAAATGTTAGCGCTGCTCCTTGCACTGTTGCCTGCAGATGAACATCCTGTAACACTTGAAACATTAACTGGGGGTTCACGTGTACCAAACAATGCTACACAGGTGAAATCTCATCAAGGTAATTTCATCCCTTAACGCAGTGGTACTCAAATGGGGGTCCGCGAAGCCATTTCTATGATCTGCAAAACCCTCACCTGAATTTTTCTTTAAGCGTGACTGTGCCAGGTATTGATGAACTGTGCAATATGAAGTGATGTGGCACACTTGTTTGATGTTTTTGGTAGCAAGAAAAGGCACCTGTTTCACACTCCAGTTGCGTTAATTTATCTACGTACCCCACCTCCCTCCCCTCCGCTGCAAGAGGTCCCCCATCACTTCCACTAGTCTACAAGGGGTCCTCAAATATCCATGGCTGAGAACCACTGCCTTGAAGTGATTAATCAAGTATGCGTCCATGGTGATATTTGCTCATCAAATTTGTGCAAATGAAAATGTGCATTGCTTTTCCTTCCAACCACTGACAAGTCCAACTTATGAGGACACACATGAAAGGCATGCTTATCACCACACAGAACGAAAGAATAATGGAACACGATATCAAGTGTTTTGTCTGACAAGCATTCTGTATGTCATTTATCTAGCACGACATCCCCAACGATGACTAAGAAAATCTTCTAAACACGTTGAAATGCGATGTGAAGGAGAGGCACTGATCACATAGGCACCGATCACAGGCAAAATAAGCGAAAGACAAAATTTTTAATATAATATGAGAGGCAGTGTGGTGGACGGCTCCGGAAACCTTGACCACATGGGGTTCTTTCGCATGCACCCGAATGCAAGTACATAGGCCTCGAGCATTACAGACTCGGTCAAAAAGCGGCTACCGTGGCCGGGATTCGATCTCGTAACCTGCAGGCCAGCAGCCATGCAGCATAACCACTAGAACACAGTGGGTGAGGGAGATTTCTTTTTTTATAGGTGAAATCCTTCACCGAATGTAGCTCAGGCAAACATGGCTTCCCTCTTCCGCTCAAAAGAGTAAAAAAAAAAAGATGCATGTTCTACAAGCATAGGCAAACTGCACAGGAGCAACACAAACTATGCCAAGCGAAGCAAGAAGAAAGCTGACCTGCTGAGGTAAGGACAGCGGATAGTCCTCGCAGAGCCATAGATTGGCACGAAACTTTTGGGTGCGTACTGTTGCCTCTCTCGGTCGCCCGATATCTCGGCCTCCCAAGTCCACTTTGGCGTTAAAATATTCTTCTGGACGAATGTGGCAAGGGTTGCCCCGCCACTCCGTCACATCCTGCGAGAGAGATTAAAGGAATGGACTGACATATCAATGCTTTTAAAACAAAGAATACAATTAAATGAAGTGCTTCACACTGCACGACAGTTCTAGCTTTGTGCATGAATGCTGGCTTTTACACGAGAATAAAGCATTAGCACCTCTCCCATTCAAGATCCGGTATTCACTGTACAGCACTCAATGACTACTCAGCTTATAAATTAGGGGTGTGCAAATATTCGAAAGTATCGAATATTCGGCGAATATTGCATTAATAATATTCGTAGTCAACTTGATAACCACATACTCGGAAATTTCGTATACTCGAACCGACTCTAATATTCTTCGAATTTTCGATGTTCACGGATATTCGTTTGTAGGCCTGTGCGATTATTCGTATGCTTCGTATATTCAAACAAATATTAGGGTATTTGAATTTAAATTATTGAAAATTTCGAAGTATTTGCAAGGAATGAAAAAATGCATACTAATCCAAATGTATTGCCTGTAAAAGTGGTTTCACTTCAGTGTAGGAATGCTGAACCGTGAAAGCACCTTTCCAAAAAAAAACCTATTCTGCCGCGAAGCACCCCTTCAAATTTAAAGGGGCCCTGCAATTCTTTTTCAGCACTGTCTGAAAACGCTGCCGATCGGCAGTGGAGGCTACCGGGGACACGCAAGTCAAATATTATAGCGCAGCATGCGATTCACAACAAATTCTCAAAGTCAGCTAAAAATTGCTCTCCTCTCTCGGCAAATGACTCCACAAGCTCAAAAAGCACATGGGACGTATTTTCTTTTCCCGTGGCATCCCTTTCTGCTTAGCTTCCAGTGCTTCGGTCAGGATGAGGAGAGAGAACGTGCTTGCACCGCGCGAGAAATTTCTGCAACTCCGCGTGTACTCGACGGATTGGAAAAATAGTTGCGGCGGTGAATTCATGAGGCAATAAATAAGCTTGAGTCTTCAGTGAATGCACTCCATGGCTACGTGAAAAAGTGTCACACGGCCCCTTTAAGTGAAAATATTCTCAAATCAATTCATTTTATTAAGCTTAAAAGCTAGTTATGACAGCTTATATGCTCTAGGAATCATAAATCTTAAAATGTTACGTATTTTAAGGGTTATGACTCGCATCCTGCTGAAAGTAAAATCCTGCTGCTACTCAAAGTTCTTTCAACTTGTTTTGAACAAAAAAAAAAGGAAATTTGCGTGGAGGCTCTGTTTCATTTTTAAAAAAATATTGTGCAGGTTAGTAAGGTCACTATAAATATGCCCGTTTTTCTTTATATTGCATATATACTATTCCAATTCGATACGAAATTCGAAAAATCACTATTCGCTTCAAACTTAAAATTCACTATTCGCACAGGCCTATTCGTTTGCATATGCTATTGTGAAGAACTTACGATTTTTTGCATTTTCCATAAGAGTCTCAGTAGATCACACAGTGATTACTATGACTTCGGCGCAAGTGCGGTGATCATGCTAGCATGGAAATTCATGGGAGCGTGATCATGGCTACCAACGAATGCGGCGACAAGTCATCGCGACAAACCTACCAATGATAAATATCTCAATCAATCTAAATCATGTACTGCCTGCATGGCAGTACGTGTGGCATAGCAGTTTAGCACTGTTATGGTTTAGCGCTGTTACGGTTCTTGTAAGCGTACTGACCACGCCGTGTGCTGCCGCGCCCTTGTGCAAGGGACCGCAAGTGCGTATCACTCGTGGAAACGAAGGCAACTCGTCGCCGCCGCCGCATTGGCTCGACAAAATAGTCTTCCCACATTTGCTTGGTCCCGTGCTGAGCAAGCACGAAGAAAAAAAATCTCTACGCAAGGGCAAATGCTCGTGTATACGTAACAGGACGCGGAGCTGATAAAGTGAGCTTAGTAGGCGATGCACTGCATGCAATTAGCTAGGGGCACACTCAGTTTGACGTACGATGGTAATGCGTTTCATGTATAGTCACGCCAGTTTTGGCCAGTGGATCACCGTAGAAACGTATGCGCACATGTTGAAGCCTGACGAGTCGTCTGTCAGCTGTGCTGCTACGTCAGCATGTATACCCTGTTCTTAGTTGCAGAATGATTTCATGATAGCGGATATCGTCATGCGAATGAGCTGAAGTGTTTTTCCACACAATGGCAAACATAAAAAAGGCCATGCACTTTCAGTAATGTTACAATGCCGTCATCGCATACAATTTTTCGTTGCTAATTGGGACGCATGTAAGGTGACTGACGGATTACTGCGTAGTTCCGCTGTGTTCCTGAAAGCGCCTTTGAAAATCCATCGTACGCACATCACGCTCATGCAGCGTCTCCTGCAATCAACCCTCCTTTCTCCCTTGTCATCATGGAACGTACAAACGCTCTTCTTTTTTGTTTTGTAATAAATCCTACCACATAAAAAAAAATACAAAAGGTTTGTTCTACATGTGGATTGAACCCAAGACATCAGTCACAAACTCAACTATTAAAGTCTTATGCTTTCTGGGAAGTACAGATGGTGACATTTAAAAAAAAATATTGTGTGCAATAACTGAGTATAATAACAATTGTATTGTTTCCAACCTAAGTATATGATTGAGTAAAAGATTACTGGTGGAAAAAAATTATACCTCTTCATTATTCGATATTCGATTTGTATTCGAAGCTTTGCATTCGTATTCGATTCGTATTAGAAAATTTTGATATTCGCACACCCCTATTATAAATATCCTATAATCATGTGTCAGTGCCCCTTGTACGACAGCCTTCATTTCAAAAGATTTACGAGTACAATAAGTCCAAACCTGGGCTTTCTTTTATTACTTAAGTGCGTCAGCACTAAAATACACTTGGGGTCATGCAGCCACGTCTTGTACTTTAGCACAAAATACGGAAAGCCCGCAAAAGTGCACAACACACTTGCTGACATAAACGGAATACGCCTGCGGACTTGCACAATTTCTTCGTACAATGCCGAGTTGGTGCTGCTGAGAAAACAGGCAAGAGTTTTGTTTTTCTGGCAGTGCAAACACGGAGAGCAGCAACGCGCGCTTTAATACATACTATAATGTCGCAGCAACGGTGAAGAAATTAATGCGCTGTGAAATCCGAGAGTCAACCATCTAACAACTCTTTAATGAGCCATACTATGCCCAGTCTTAGAAAGGCAAGCAAAGCACTAAAATTGCAATAACCAAGTAAGCCCAATAGTCAAATATAGTCCCTTAAATCAAGTCACTCCACCATTTATACCGGTTTCACAGTACATCCCAGCATAATGAACTGCACTTTTGTACAACTGAAGAAGACTGATGCTGACATATACACCAACTTAACATGTTATTTATTGCTAGTATAGGTTTAGCAACAAGTGCAGAACTTTTATAAAGAATAGGCACATTTCGCACCTTATGCTGATATAAACTAAGTACCTGACAACCTCTTCAGCAATAATGCAGCTAAAAATGCTACCTGCAAATATTTTACAGAGGTACAAGGGTTATTTAAAGCCAGGGAACCTCGTTTTAAACATTAGCACGACTGGTTGGTGATAGGAAGAAAACTGCCAGCTCTGATTGAAGCTGTAAGTACTGGTGAGAACAAGTGACATATAGGACTGTCATTCTCGAATATTAGCAAGTCAAGGTCGTACAGAAAGAGGAAAAAAAAAAACACCGACCCCGTTTGGCATTTCCAGAGCGGCACCTTCTTCCACCTCGACAGTGCCCAAGAAAGACTGCAATGGCGACCGTGCAGCCTTGTGACGTGCCTTGTCTGCTTCAGAAAGGTGCTCCACCCTGGTCTTGGTTACGAGTTCCACATTTGTTGCACTGAACACCTGCGTTAATGGCAAGCCTATGCATGAAATTTGCCCCCTTTGCGAATAAGCGGCCCAGAATACTCTTAGCATACATGTAAACCTGAAAAACAGAAGCGGGAGGTCTCAATTTTAATTCGACGCCATCCCTTCCAATGATCGCAAGAAAAGGTGATCTTAGCTTTTGTTAACTATGAAGAGGAGCGCTTAAAACATTGCCCGAGGAGATTTTTCCATGAGTGCTAACACAGAAGCCTTTATTTCCGCTTTGATTTGCCATTCCTTCATTATTAGTTATAGATAAATTGCAATTACTCTCTCTATGCCTTCCTTGGGCTACAAAGTATGCTGCTTCCTGTGGTCACTGCACAAGCAGGGCAAGGTGCAAACCATGTGACAGAATTCTATGCAGATTAAAAGGCCATAACTCGTGCCACACATTGACAAGGTCTCCGGCAACGTTAACAAAACAGTAACCGGGTATGTGATATTGCCATCACTTTCTTTGCGTCTAATTATAGTCTTGTGAGATACATTAATATCTCTATTCTCATAATGTCACAGAGCTGCAAGTTCTATTAACGTTGCCTGCGTGTCTTCTGGAACACATCAAATTTGTTTTTTGCTCCAAAACCACAGAGTGTTACAAGCTGCTCTGCAGTACAGGGCTCAAGATTTGTTTTGCCAACATGGGTTTATCTAACCTGCACCCAAAGCAGCGTACAGAACATTTTCCTGCATTCCTACCCCTCTGTAATGTTGCTACCAGGCCTGTGGATCAAACCCACAATATTGTGCACAGTTTGCACAACTTGTGCAAGCAACTGCGGGTAGCCACAGTCGGTATTTAGGCTACAGTAAATAGTTGACCAATTAAGCAGTCCTAAATGGCCGGTCACAATTCAATCTCGGGATGAGCTTGCTCACTTTGCAGTTGTGGCCATTGATCGTTTCGCTCTTGTCACTCTTCCAGCCGAGTATTCCAGACTTGTTCCTGCGTGCAAGTGAAGCAAACGAAAATTTGCTGAAAACATAAAGCGAAAGAATGCCTCGCAACTGGCTAGAACTACTTGAATTTGACAAACGCACGCACTCGTGTCCACAAACGCATTCACGCATGCACAACATACACACAGGAATTTCTCACAGCTCTCATGTGTAGCACAATCCCTAGAGTATGTGCTACTTTTGCACTTGTGCCAACAAGATTTTTAACTCACAGTATCAGAAAGAGCAGTTGTGAAACGTGCAGAATATTAGTCCTCATACCAAGTGTTGTTACATAATGCTTTGAGGTCTAGTTTTTCCATGGTAATGACATTTCGTGGTCAAGCTTAACACAATCAATCAACGAGAGACAGTGGGAGAAAATATATATACTTCAGGAACTTCCACACTCAGCATGACGCTCAAAAGAGACAAAAAAAGAAATTTTTCAGAATGTCAGAGGTGTTAAACTAATGCTGCAGTAAAAGAAACCATTTTAGCAAATCAAGCAAACAAAAGAGTCTGCCAGTACAAAGCAGCCCTGTCCATTTCACCTTTCAAAGCTGATCTTGTCGGTGTCTATGTAGGTGGCCACGACGGGAGAGGTGAGGCGTGCCGAGATGGCCTCCTGCGAAGGCCGCAAGCTCCCCGTGAGGTCGACGTACTCGGGCGGCAACACCTGCATTTGCTCCACATGAACCTGGCAGCTGTCGTGGTCCACCTCCATCATCAGTGCGAGATCCTCTGCACATCCACAGGTGGGAGAAGAAAAAAAAAATAAAGGTGAGCTTTATGCTAACACTGCACAGAGGAAATGCATCCAGCGTTGGATAGCTCAGTTAAGGGGAGAGAGAATATGAGCCAAAACGAAAAACATTCTTTTATTCCTGATTTTGTTTGAGTCAAAGAAATCATGTGCCAATTAAAACTTGATTTGCACAAAAATACCCGTTAAACTGTAACCAATGACAACTGCATTACAACCAGAGCAGAGCTCAACACACATCAACACAATATTTCAAACTTGTATTAGGAAACCCAGTCAGCTGAAATCAATCAGAATCTTTCTTCCTATTTTGACATGCCTTAAGGCCAAGCAGTGCCTTTGAAACACTTCATCAATTCATATTTGAGTGCAAGATGATCCAATTAGGTATCCCAAGATCCAGATCCTATTTACGGCTTTGTGGTAGAGACCTCGGAGATCAAAGGGACCTCTCGGGGATGTCGCGTAGATCGAAGACTGACCTTGCCCCTTGAATATGTAGCTCCTGCGGCCACGCTGCCAGTTGGACTGGTCAAATCCAAGCAGAGTGGTGTCTATCCGTACATTAGCTCCTAGAACAAATTAAAAAAAAATTATAATCATTGTGTGAGACAGTATACAGTTTGATACCTGTTAATACCTGGTAATAAACTGTTAATAAAAAAAAAGTGTGGATGTTAAAAGAAATCAAACCATGAAGCTGAAAGAAATCGATTACAACAGGCTGCTCCCCTTTACGGTGAAATTGGTCGTGCATTAATGACATTCTCAATAATCAGATGCTGAGCTCTCCCACATTTGAACTAAAATGATTGCCATGTTTTCAAGCTTTAAAATTTTTATGTGGCTAGTGCTCCAAGTGACTTGCATGAATAATAATAATAATAATAATAATAATAATAATAATAATAATAATAATAATAATAATAATAATAATAATAATAATAATAATAATAACAAATGAGGCATGGGCTCACCGCTCTTGTAGACCTTGTAGGTGTCACTTGGACACATTCTAGACAGAAGAGGTACTGAAAGAAAGAAAAGTACAAGTAACGCAAAAACTACACACAGAATCAACAGTGCACTTGAAACAAAATATGCAAAACCTACAAAGCTTCAGCAATGGCAAAATAGAGCACCTCTTGTTGGGCAAACTGTGCCACATCTTGTGCAAACAGCATGCATAATCTTAACCCACAGGTCGATCACCTTATTATCCCTCACCATGGGTCATGTCACGAATAGCCATAATTATCATAGGTAAGCATAACAATTCAAGAAATTTTTTCAGGATTGTGTATAGCCCAAGTCACAAATTATTTTGATCACTCTTCAGAGCAATGCATTTAAAGGCTGCAAATTGGGAAATGATTATAAATTGTCATTTATGAAACAGCATTTGGATGAATCTAAGACACAAAGCAGTCTTCTGTCATAATCCTATCATGCCATTAGCAGAGACCAAAGGGTAGTTGGGCCCGGTCGGCTGTACATTATTCGGGCCACACCACATAAAAATGCCATGGTCACGTGATCTTCAAGTGACACAATGTTAATTCATCTAGTGTTTGCTTGACATCTATTGCATAATGTGGACTACAGTTTTCCATCTACAACACTTTTTGCACAAGAACTACAAAAATCAGCATGATTCAAATGGAGGTTTCAATGTAACCTACATGATGCCGTGTTGGCACAAGATGCCCAAGCCAGAGAAAAGAAAGATTTCTACAGTTAATTGCACAATGATGTTTAGGGTTGATACCATATTTTCTCGTGTTCTACCTCCCCTCCCCCTCGTTATACAACTCACATCCCTCAACTAAAATCTGCAAAAAAGTAAAAAAGAAACATTCCTGTGTACTGCAGCAGTCATCTTCTGTGCACTGCGGTGAAGCATTGTTATGAAGCCACCTTGCACATTAAATCCGCATATCACGTGCACCAAGACGTTAGCTCTGAATCCTCTGCAGGTTTTTTTATGTGGCTTATACTCAAGAAAATATAGAATTCGTGTACATGATATCATGGTAACCTTTACGCATCAAACATATTTGCATAAACAGCTTACAGTGTCAGAGGTGGTTTTGGCCACTCATCAAAGCTGAAAATGGCCTACAGATACCTCTGCTATCCAACAAGCGTTGCTCACAGTCTTTGTGCAGTTGGTGCAAGGATGCCATGCTTCAAGCCAGCATGCTAAGGTCTTTCTATGATGCCCGTAAGTTCTTACATCCTAACACAATGAATGCAAGACATTAAAGATACACATGCACCACTTTTCCGACCGCCCAGCTTGTGGCTGTCAAAATAAGTGACGCCGCATCTTTTTCTTTGTACTGGGTGAGTACGCAACACAAGAAAATTTTTGCATAAGCACTGACAGATACACTACAACATCATCCAGTGCAATGTGTTGTCAGTAGGTAATCATTCAAAGCTTCACATTCTTAAGAACACTTACACCTACCGTATTTGCAGCAAGTCGCATCCAATTCTGATCATGTAACAACAGGTTCAGCAGCATTAAAAGCAGGTAAGAGTATTATCAGTTTAGAATGCAATCATTTTTTACCTTAAATGTATGTTTGCATGACTGAGGAATCTGCTACTGTAGATGTGCATGTAAAATTTTTCACCACTGCAGAAAGAGAAGGCTATAGTTATATCTGCAAACTACAGTAACTTTCTTGGACAATTGGTTCAAGAGTACCTCATGCAAATTGGACGGCCCAAAAAATCAGGGTACTCTATAGATGGAGCCACAGCTTTGAAGTTCGAAGAAAGTACAGAAATGCCATTCAGTAGATGCTTGTATGGCTTACCCCAGCTTGTAAACTCCCACTTCATCTCCACATAGAAGTCTGGGGTCTGCAGAAGAAGAAAAAAAAAAGGAGGGTGGGGTCAAGCCCAGTTTGGCACAATAGCCTACAGGCTAGTCACTGTTGCAAGAAACACTACTAACATCTACTGCTCATTTATTCATTTATTTTAATTTTTAATGTACTCATTTTAAGACAGCAGAGTACCAGTGATGTTTACCAGGGGTAGCACCGTACTCATTTTTGAGTTTGTTTATTTGCATATACAAGTGCACAGTAAGTAGTTGAGATGATGGACAGAATATCCACTTGGAACAGCTTGATCAGCCCTACATTTACCAGTTCGCTGTGGCAAACAAAGCATTCCAAAACAAAAATGTCATAAACAGAGGTGAGTAATGATACTTTCAATTACAAGAATAGACCAGCAAATTCAAATATTTATAGTACTGGCTAGATTTACTGCTAAGTTTTTTTTATCTTTTTTTTTTATTTTGTGTTCATACTGCAATATTGAGTAAAGGTACGATTTACCTGCTAAAGTCAAATATATGATTGAGGAACATGAGTTAAATTAATATTAAATAAATTAAATACTGTAGTTTCAGAAAATGCCATATGATTGTGAAGCAAGCTGTAATGCAGGGCTTGGATTAATTCTGGTTGCCTGCAGTTTTCTAATGTACACCTAAATCTAAGCCTGCAAGCATGTTCACATTTCACATCCACTGCAACACGGCCACTGCTGGCTCAGAATTAAAACCATGGCCTCTGCACTAAGCATGAAAGCACAATACTCACCGTAGTAAGCCACCACGGTGAGTATGAGTCTGATTGCATTGTTATCAAGACATGCACTGTTGAATTTCTTTCTAGCTTTATTTATTTTTATTATTTCAGGCCCAGAGAGTTACCTAATGTTTTACAATTGTGGTAATGTTGTACTTAGAACAATGCAGTATTCAATTCAAATTCCTGGGGCATTCTCTCGTTTGATGTGCACACAACCAAAGAACAACACTAAAGAATTCTTAAAGGGGTAGACAAGAACAGGAAGTGGTGAAAGCCAACACTCACGTCCCGGATGCGCTTCAAAAGATCAGGGATACCCCCGACTGACGTGCTGTAGCGTTGTAGGTCTCGCTGGGTCAGAACTTCCGCCAGAAGCTCAGGGTCGCCCGTGCTCACTGCTTCATGCACCACTGTGAACGGAAATCGATATATTAATTAAGAAGAAAAAGACAGGCATCCTTCTAGCAGCATCCAGAGCACTCTGCATGCACTGTTGGTTAGGGGTGTTTTCAGAGACAGTGCGCTATACTGCTATATCATTGCGAATTGCAACTTACTTGCAGCTTCCGGGCTCAAAGAACAGCTAGGCACAGTACCACGACCCCAAAACGCAGCAGCAAGACTTCACATTTCGGTTTCAATGTGGAAGCAGCCCATTACATGCTAGAGCTTATTCCAAAGGACTTCCAAAAGCTTTTTCCAGCCATCTATCCATCAATCCTTATTGAACCACAGTGTGGCCAATGATAAGTATTCATACCTGCTGCTCATCTAAATTTTTTTGTACAAGTATGATACAGAAAGGTTAGCTACAACTAGAAAAGAATAAACAATATTCACCTTCACCCCCCCCGCCCAAAGTGCACTGCTGTTATCTTTGACGTGACACTACAGGCATGACTGTACAATTCTCGGCACTGCAGAATGCTTTCTGCAAAAGGAAACTGCTCTGCTTGGCTACTTCTATCTCTGCTTCAAAGTGAGTCTGTTTGCCAACCACATATTCATCTAATAATCAGTTTGCTTCCTGTCACAGCCTTCCCCCTCCCCCATATTCCTCCCTTTTGCTACAGCTATGGGACAACGTTCAATATACATAACTGTGGCAAGCAGCTGTTTGCAATGTACTTATTCACTAATATGTCTAATCTGTTCGTGGAGGAATTGAATGTTCGCATTAAACAAAGTCGTTGAGATTTTGCTCTTTGCCTTTAAACACCCAAAACATTCGTTAGAATGTCAAAAGGACCCTTTACTAGTTTCTTAACAAAAAAAAAAAATGTTTTAGTTAAGTGTCACCCAGGAAACATTTTGCTATAACAAAATATACACAAAACAAAATATTGCAAGGCTATTGCATAAGTAGGTGAAATGCTACTCCCCTGACACATGCGTGTACAAACATACACACATATGTATGGGCAAAAGCGAGCACAATGTGCTTTCTCCCACAATCTTAGCAGCCAGAAGCAACACGCATGCAGTAACAATGCAAGTAATAATTCTGGCTTCTTTATTGAAAGCGCTTGTAGCACACTTCTTGTCCATCTCCTTTAGCTATTAGTCTTCCCCCTCTATTAGGTGTGCACCGAGAAGCAAAGCGAGACTAGCGATTGAGAGGCGATGCAGACGGGAGCCCTAGTTATGCTCAAGCAACCTTGAAGTTCTTTTTTTCTTGTTGACATTTTTAACTACACATCACCATAACGTACCCCAGAGATTCCTGCATTATCTGTGCAGTTCTGTCAGCAGTTCCCACACCCGGCAAAAAGCCCTTCAGGCACAAAACTACAAGAGCAAGGTGAACAGAACCTGTGTAGCCGTCGTTGTTCTCCACATTGACATTGGCGCCATGGTTGAGAAGTATCTTCGACGCTTCGAGATGTCCCAGGGTGACGGCCAGCATCAGGGCTGTCCGACCCCGGCAGTCACGCTGTTCAATGTTTTCCTGCAAGCAGCACAGAGCAAAACTTGACTTTTAGAAACCATTACTCAGGCAAAGAAGATTTGTCGCGGTGCATTATGTCAAGTAATGATGCTGAAAATTGTACTTGCCGCACTGCCCTTCGGTTTTCCTACAGAGGGACCCTAAAACAATGGTGTAAAGAGGAGAAGGTACAGTGGTGTAAGCAATGTGCACACCTAGCAATGGATATCCAAGGAGGTTAGTGTAAACAGAAGTGTGCTGATTTTGCAGACTTTTGAGATGAGCAACTCAAAGGCTGAAATTAAAGTTTACTTTTTGAAAGGGCAGCGCAACTACATGAGGAAAGAAATACAGAGAGGCAAAGAGCGCTGTTTAATTTTTACCTCTTCAGGCACTCTATGCATAGTTCTATGCATTGTAACTCAAAGCCATATCGCCCTGAATGTTAAGGTTGCTGCCAACGGTGCAATTCCAGGTGCATTCCGCAATGTTTGTCTTCCAACTGTGAACTTTATAGTGTCATGTAGCCAATGCCGATAAAATGAATTTGTAAAATGCTGTAATGTGGTGCAATATGTGGGGGCGCTAACACCCCCTGTAAAGTAGTTTGTGCCTCGTGATGCATGTATTTCGCTCATAAGCCGCATTTCCGGTTAACAACTACCGAGCAGTAAGTGGCGTTGTGCTCGCGAGCATTTGTAGCGCGAGCGTTTCGTCACGTGAGTGCTTGTTCGCGAGCGTTTTGTCACGTGAGTGCTTGTTCGCGAGCGTTTGTGCCTGGTGGCACTACCGGCCATCTGCTGGGGCTCTTGTGGTGAGTCAAGTGTCGGCGAAGCCGCCTTGCGTATGTTTTTGTGTTTGTCATGTTGTTGATTGCTGTGTAATATTGTGTAAGGTTGTTTAGCATGTTGATCACAATTGATGTATAATAATTCGGCTGATGATATCATTGTTCTAAAAGCAGTTAAATAAAAGTGAGTTCTTTTGGTTCATTTCAACCGTGTCTACTGTGACCGTTCACTACAACAGCGTGGCGCTCTCGCCACGTCGAGACCCCGCAGATGTTACCACATAAGCTCTTCTTCTAAACTAAAGTCTAAGTCAGATAGCCCTTTGTGTGTTTACCTTCGTTGTCCTTGTACCAGTATGCCAACAGTTTTCAATATCTCTCTCCTACCAATTCTTTTTCTTGTACTTTCAACACTGTCTAAAACTTTACTGAATTCGTCTGCCGAACAGAACAACTATGAAATTATCCCTAACCACATTCCGAGAGCTGCAAGCATTGAGTGTTTTCTCTGCACTGGGATTAGTATATGTTTATCAACGTCCCCCGAATGTTATCGAGGATGTGCCTTGGAATACTTCAAGCAAACTGACGGGTAGGAGGGCTCTACTCCGCTGACTAACTGAGCGACCCAATACATAACTACAGACTTTGCTGCCTCACCTTTCCTTTTGCATTATAAAAATATCGGCAACATGCACAAATATTCTGGACTAGAAGAAAATGAATTGAGAAATCATCTGGAAGTCAAGTGATACTGAGCAGGACATAGTCGCTACACTTGATTTTGTCAGCTTCATTTGCATTGATCACACGATGAAGTGCAATTAGGCAATCTTACACGTATCTACATGATTGCCTAATAACAAATTGTAAAACGAAGTTTATAATGAGACAAACACCGTTGTACCCCCCTCTTCCTTGGATCTGCCCCACTCGCCACCTTGAACGCTGCGTAGAGCAAGAAAGCCGTTCGATTATAGACACCACTTCAGTGCCACGTGCTTCTTGTGACACAGACATGGGTTCATCTTCAATGTTAATTTTGAAATGAAAAATGCCTACAACGTACAACCAAAATGCTTGTAGATGAACAGGACTTCTGAAAAAAGGGATGGAGGGGATTCATCATCAAGACCTCTCGCCCCTGCCAAGGCGTAGCCGACTTGTTGTCACGTCAGAGGGCTGCAGAGGCCCATGGACAAAGTGCCACAGTGTCTAACCAAATATCACAACTGCTTTTACAGTTTCACTGTGTGTGAACCACACCTAAATTTTGTGACCACTGTGACACTTTAAACACAAGTTTGCACATAAAAAATAATAATAATCATAAATAAAAACTAATGTCAATTTCATGTTTAATCTTTGCCTTATACAGTTTCTCAAGTCCTATTATGATGGCCTATTTTGCAAGATCATTTTCTTTACACAAGCTGAGCTACTCCAGAAGGGCTTAAAATATTTCAGCACCCTTATATTTTTTCTCTGGGAAACCTTTAGCAGGAGTAAGCAGTGCTTGTAGCTATAGTTGAGAACTCCGAATTCAGTTTGATCCAGTCAGGTGCTTCCCCAAAATTTTGTTGGCTTCTTGTAAAGGCTGAACTGGTCTTCAGTGCATAAGGGCACCTTTACGAGCTCATTTTAAGTGATTGATGAAAAGTTAACAGTTGGTGCATGCTCAAATGAACATTTCAACGTCTCAAGCTAAATGGGTGTGGCTACGAGTTTCTCTATTTCATTCAAGGTACTACATTCAGGGACAAATTTTCTACTGCAGCTTTAATTTCCAATAGAGAAAATGGCTGCGTATGCATACACTGGAACTGTCATTTCTCTAATTTTGCAAAGTTTCATTAAAAGACAGACAATATTAAAGTTATCCCAGCCAGACAAATATCTATTGAAGATGTTCACCTTTAAAGAAAGACAATTAAGATTGGCATTTTCAGCTGCCACTTGCCAAGCTACAGAGAAATTAGGTTCGACTATGCATGGCTTGTTACCAAGCAAATACTTTTCCGTTTCCCTTACCCTTCCCTGAAAGAAGTGGTTTGAACAACTCTCCAAGTTCACTTTAAAGGTCAATGCCAGCCATGTACAGTACTTTTATTTTGAAACATGATAATTTAGTGCTAAAGAATGTACATGTGTTTGTATCCACCATCTTCAGTTTGGGTCATATTGTCGTAATTTTGATTTGAATGCGTACATCAGAGCCAACATAATCTTTAAAGACCAGAATCGTTACGACATGATGTAGCTATCTTGAGCTTCTGCGCACACTAGACATCCAACTAAAGAAAATTGATGTCCCGTTTGAATCCGTGAGTACTGAACACATATAACAATATCATAGGCCATCATTTACTATTGTGTGGAAGTGTAATATGGTAAAAAAAAGGGACGCCTTAAATGAATAACTATTTTACAGACGCAAATGTAAAGTTCTATTACAAGAGTGGTAACAATAACAAATTCATAAGTAATGATCGAGAACTGAGCACAGACACATATATTGAAGTAACATTACTCATCAGAACACAGCACTGTAGCCCAGAGTAAAGAAATGAACTTGAAATGAATATGCACGCTACCATATAACACACCACTGATAAATTAAAGTGATAAAAGCTGCATTTAAATGTGCCAGTGCATGAGTAAAAATGTCTCAGGTTAAAGCTTTTAGAAGCCCTTCGGGAAATGTAAAGTGCTTACAGGTTGATAATAGGAATAACACGTAAAATTATTTCAAGCTTTTGGAAACTCTATACCATGTTATGAGTGGCATTCATTTTAAGAATGATAAAGCAGCAGAGCAAAAAGTAGCCATCACATCAGTGGCTCACAGTTGTAAACCACACAAGCTTTTTCAACAAAGAAATGAATTTATTAACAACATGCATTTTCAAGGCACACAAAACGGTAAAGAAACATGCTCTATTAGTAGAGGTAAGATGATCATTATCTACAGTAGAGGAGTCCATTTCTTGGTTTTAAACATTTAAACGAAGTGCACTACGGTGAAGAATCGCACTATATTCGATGAAAAAAAAAAAGTTACATCCTGCCATTTAAGAATGCACCGAATTGTGGCAACACGTTCATTCCAAAACTGAAGAACTAATTTTGGTTTTTTTTACTAGCAGTACTACTAAGAAAGTCACTATAAAACGCTATTTATACTTTGACCAATTCGCAAAATGACAAACAAAGCTGACAGAATCATAACTTGTTGCTGGACAAGTTCAAGGATACTTTACATGTTCATCTAAGTGCTAGAAATGGACAAACACATGAGATGACAGGAAGCAATGGTATTTTTGTCCCTTGTGTGTATTTTTAGGGCCAAAATGTAGAAAGACATTAAAGATGCCACAGAAGCACATAATTTGCTACAATATCACAGATGTTAGTTTCCAACATCACTCACCTCTGGTAACAACAAGGCACGACTACTGCCTAAATTTTATAAAAAAAAAAGTATGAAAGCCTTATATACAAATTAAATAAAGTAACAGTCTCTTCCAAACCTGCATCTCCTACTAGTTTGCACCTGAAACTTTGAGGTAGTGACAGTGTGCAGGTAGTAGGAAATATCATTAGGCAGTAGAGCATCACATGTTTAATGATCCTTGTATTCATCTTTGATAGATATGTGTGGTTTAACGTCCCAAAACCACCATATGATTATGAAAGACGCCGTAGTGGAGGGCTCCGGAAATTGTATTATTCTTTAATTGAACATATATCGTCTTCCACATATAGCAAAAACACAAACTACGGGACCTGAATGTGGTCAACATGTTTAAAATGATTACCTTCATGCAACTATCACAGAGATTCATCTATAATCAATTGGAATTCTATAATCAATAGCTTGTCTACAGCGGGGATAAATAGCACAAGTCGCGAGAAAAACAATCTCAGAGCCTTCTGCACTGCTTCTTGACCTCCGACTTTTATCTTGGAAAGCTGCCTTTCACTGACAACAATGTTTGCCTATTCGTTTAGAGTTCTGACAGCTCTTTAAAATGCGAATTTAGGGCAGCTGGTTCTATAAAACTCTTTCAGCGTTATTAATCTTCGAGATTTGAAAATATTCGTGGGAGAGAATGAGTGGCTTCGCTAGCGGGGAGTTAGCTTCGAATGAGACTTCAAGAAGGGAAACGTACGTAGTTTCTTACACCCCTGACTGTCGAGGCACTCTGGAGCAAGACGTAGAAAGTTTAAAGTTCAACTTGTTATGCTTAATCTGCGCAAACGAGGTGTTATCGAGGGCCCGGCATATAGATAACACCTTCGGAGTTTGCAGAAAAATCAGTTTACCAAAACTCCAAGAAAGGTTAATGCAGGGCGCATTAAACTTCCATGGGAAGTTGTGCGGCCATCCTGCGACGAAGTAGATTGCACCGAAGGGCGCTTACGTAATAGGCAAGCCAGAGCTAACGAAGCTCCTTACTCCGAAAGTAATTTGACAGCTGTTTCTCACGGCAGGTAAGCGAGGTTTTGAACCACAAAAACACGAACGGTAAACGCACGGAGCGCTAAGTTCAGCACACGGCAGCGCTAACTAACGCCGTAGGCGAAATAACTTTAGAACTTATTTTAATGTGTCAGTCACTTGGGCGGACTTCCGAAACTGCGACGCCCAAGAAAATTTCTGGAGAGCGACTAAGTCAATACACGGCGAGACTCATGACGCACGTGACCATTTGCAGCGATGCGGCAGATCTCGGCGGCTCGATTGCTCTGAAAGAGCTCGTCGCAGTGTTTGACGAGTCTAAGGCCAGGACCACTTACTGTGCTCTTTTCGAGGAGTGCTTTTAGGGCTTCGTAGTCGTTGTGCCAAGCGAGCCAATGGAGCGGGTACTCCTCTTGCAACGCCGCTTTCAGTTTGTCCGACATACTTGCGTTATGTAGAGTTTCGGTGACTAGGTACGATATTAAGGCGATACGTCATTGCATCCGCTACGAAGCAACCACGAAGTGTTCTCTCTCACCGGCACAGCATCCTCACATCAGAGACAAACCTCCATGATGGCGTTCAATGAAATAAACAAGAAATAATTTATAGCTCCGTATCGTGTGGACAAATGCAAGGCCCTGCACAACAGAACAGACAGCTAGCGCCACGAGTGTATAAATAGATAGATGTCATGAACATCTCTTTTGTCCTCATGTTAGGTCCCCCTTCATCTCATGTAAAAATCTGCATACAAACTGTTACCAAAACAATTGAAAAAGGTCTAACACTTTTATGCCTTACTTTTTCAGAAAAAAAATTATGCTTGGTTTGTCACAGTCTGCATCAAAGTATGTGTGCTCTAGCATAGCCTCCTCTATAACTTTGTGCCTGAGCGGTCTAGGGTTCCTCGATGCGCGAGCGCATCGGAGCGGTCGGTCCCTCAGCGCCGTCCCCCGATTCTCTCGTTTTGCGCCTCGGCGCTCCGCCAGGAGCGCTCGCATCCCATAATAGTAAATGGCAGAGAACTTAAGCTGAAAATTTACCTTTTTTCCATTAAGATAGAATTTATCGAAGTAGAGGCATTAGGCCAACATAAAAAAAAGGAAAAAAGATTTTTTTTTTTGTCGAGCCTGGTGGCATACTTGTCACCACCCCGTTATAAAGGGGACGCTCATAGCATCCATCCATCCATCCATCCATCCAGCTCGATTGCTCACAGGAGGTTGGAAGACAATCTGTTCTCACTGACGCAGTGCATCGAAATAGCAGAAAAGGAACACAGGCCTCTGTGGCTAGCATTTTTGGATATCAAGGGAGCGTATGATAGCGTGGTTCAAGAGGAATTGTGGGGAATACTGGACACACTAGGCGTGGAACATGTAGTCACTAATCTTTTAAAGGGTATCTATAAAGGTAACAAGGTAGTTATAAAGTGGGAAAAACAGGTATCCAAGCCTGCAGAGGTAAAACGGGGGCTTAGGCAGGGGTGCCCCCTGTCACCCTTATTATTCATGATGTACCTACAAGGATTAGAAGCAAAATTAGAGGGAAGTGGGCTGGGCTTCAACCTCTCTTTAGTCAAACAAGGAAAACTTATTGATCAGGCACTACCAGCATTAATGTACGCAGATGATATAGTGCTAATGGCCAACAACAAGGAAGATTTGCAGAGATTGATGGACATCTGCGGTAATGAGGGAGATAGGTTAGATTTTAGATTCAGTAAGGAAAAATCAGCGGTCATGATTTTCAATGACAACGAAGGTAGTGAGCTTAGAATACAGGAGGTCACGCTAGAGATTACACATAAATACAAATATCTGGGCGTATGGATAAGCAATGGGACCGAGTATCTGAGGGAACACGAAATATACGTGACGACTAAAGGTAACAGGAATGCAGCAGTCATGAAAGATAGGGCCCTGTGGAATTACAATAGGTATGATGTTGTGAGAGGAATATGGAAAGGGGTCATGGTTCCTGGGCTGACGTTCGGCAATGCGGTCTTGTGCATGAGATCAGAAGTTCAAGCAAGATTAGAAATTAAGCAACGGGGAATAGGTAGGCTTGCTTTAGGAGCTCACGGGAATACACCAAATCAGGGAGTACAAGGTGATATGGGCTGGACATCATTTGAGGGCAGGGAAGCTAGCAGCAAGATAAAATTTGAGAAACGATTGAGAGAAATGGGGGAAGAGCGTTGGGCTAGGAAGGTTTTCAGCTACTTATACTTAAAGAATGTCGATACGAAATGGAGGAAGCGAACCAGGAAGTTGACTGGTAAATACTTAGAAAACAGCAGGTGGCCAAACCAAAAAGAACTATCGGTTAAGAAGAAAGTGAAGGAAACTGAGACTGACATGTGGAGAATGGGCATGATTAAGAAGTCCGCACTAGAGACCTATCGAACCTTTAAGCAGGAAATTGCCAGGGAAAGGATCTATGATAATACTCGGGGTAGTTCTCTACTGTTTGAGGCCCGGACGGGAGTACTGCGAACAAAGACATATCGGGCCAAATACGAAGGGGTAGACACAGTATGCAGTGCGTGTGGAGAGGAAGAAGAAACTGCCGAACACTTGATAATGTTCTGTAAAGGGCTTCACCCTATAGTTCAGGATGATGGCGCTGCGTTTTTCAAAGCACTGGGGTTTAGGGACCGGGAGGGCAAAATAGACTTTAAGCGGGTAGACGTAACCAGAAGGAGGTTATCTGATTGGTGGCTAAAGTCGAGGCACGAGTGAAAATTAAACTCTTCACTGCAAAGTACGAATCCTCAAACTCACTTTTTAAGAAAAAAAATAAATATAGTTTTTGGTTCATTAGGTATTACGGCTTGGTGGCGCTAGCCACCGCCCGATCTAAAGGGTACAGCCATATCCATCCATCCATCCAGCTTTTTTGTAGTAGAGCTTAGACTTTTTTTTTTCTCGTAGTGCAGGGCTCGAGTTTAGTAATTATCGAGTATAGGGACAATTGGTGTCAGAAAGGCATGGTTAAAAAGACTGTAAAGTGTTCAGGATGTGGAGTGGGTTTGAAAATGAACCCAAGCGTAGAAGCGGATGGAGAAGAGGCTGACGCGAAGTGTAGGCAATGTGAGGTCGAGGAAAAAATGGAGAAAATGATGGTTGCCCAGAGTGAACTGCTGATGAGAATCGCCAAGCTCGAGACTGAGTTGGCGACAGAGCAAGAGAAAACGAGGGCAATGGGAGAAAGACTGGAGTCCGCCGAGGAAGCGCTAGCGAAGCTGAACAAAGAAGCGACCTACCGAGAGAACAGTAGGGAACCGGCAACCAGAACGGTGGAGAAGGAAAAGCAAGCAAGTTTGGAAAAAACAGGTTTAGCCGGTTCAACTGTCGCAAGGCCCAGCTTCAGCGAGGTAGTGGTGGGGCAGGGAGGGAACAAAGCAGCCGGCGTCACAGGTGCAAGTAGCCCCCAGCTGCAGAATGCTCCAGCTGAAAAGTCGCAGCATGTGATAATCGCCGGGGACTCGAATTTAAATCGATGCACAGAAGCCATCAAAGAGAGGCCTGGTAAGAGGTGACAAGAGGGTTGCAGTAGGGGCGTTCCCAGGACGCAAGCTGGAAGCAGTCATGAGGCAAGCGAGCGCAAAGCTCAAAACGACAGCTGATAGACGAAACCTAGTGATAATTTCAGGCGGTTTAAACGATGTCCTAAATGGAGATGCAGCAGGACTAGCAGCCACACTGGCGAAAGGCATCGATGACACGCTCGCCACTTCTCCTAAGGTACAGGTAGTGATATGCACGATACCGGAGGTACCGGTGCGTGATAGCAACCTGCAAAGAGCGGTGGTCAACGCAAACCAAGAGATATGGCGGATGAGTCGAGAGAAAGGCTTTGAGGTGGTGGAAATAAACAGAGAGGTGCATAGGTGGGGGGTTTTCAACGAGACAGAATTCACTTCGATGGGCGGCTAGGTCATGAGGTGGGTTGGCGACTTGCAGGACGCGCAGTAGCTTTTTTGGGGGGCAAGCGAGCCCTTCGGGGTGCAGGATAGCTAGTAACGAGGAAAACAACCAGGGAGACTCTTCGACAGGTGGTATGGACAGATACGATTCCAAAGTGGCACCAATATCTAAGATAGGTAGAGTCCGGGGCATAAATAGACGTAGCCACGAGCGCCGAGCCTATTCAGACATAGGGTATATTAACATGCAGGGTGGTAGGAACAGGCTGAAGTGGGAAGAGATAGAAGAACAGCTAAGGGAAGAGAGGCCGATGGTATACGGTTTTGTAGAAACACATCTCAGGGACATGAAACAACCTCCGAACAATCCGGACTACGCGTGGGAATATTGTAATAGAACAGAAGGCAGCAGAAAGGGGGTGGTATTGGGGCATTCATTCATAAAAGTACAGACTGGCAAAGGGTCAAGCAGGAGTGCAAGGAACATTTATGGCTAAAAGGGAAAGTGGCAGGTCCAATGACACTCCTTGGTTTCGTGTACTTGTGGACGGGAGCAAAGGCCAGAGAGGAAAACCAGACAATGGTAGAGTGTATATCAAAGGACATTCAGGAGTTAGGAAGGGAGTGCGAGATAATTATACTAGGAGACATGAATGCGCACATAGAAGATATAGATGGGTATACCGACCCGACAGGCAAAATGATCATGGATATGTGTGAAAGGCTTGATTTGATCATTTGCAACAGTACCGAGCAGTGTGAAGGGCAAATAACATGGGAGGTAGGAAGGCTTCAGTCGATGACAGATTATGATGTCACATAGGATCTATGATAAGCTCAGGGGAATGCACATAGATGAAGGTGGCTCCAGAAGTCTGGGTAGCGATCACAAACGTATCAAGCTAAGTTTTAGAAGAGCAGTGAAAGTGGAAAGGAGACAAGATGAGCAACTACAGGAAAATTTTTATCCAGAAAGGCAAATTGAAGTAGCCACTAAAGAAATTGAGAAAGTAATCACGGAGGATAATAAGACAGTGTGGACATACATGAATCTAATTAGACTCTTTGAGCTAGAGCTTGCTAAGACGCGTGACAAGTCACCCCGGAAAAGAAGACACAAACCCAAAAGTTGGTGGGATGAGGAAGTTAAGAGAGGCATAGCAAAACGTCAGGAAGCCTCTAGGGAACACAGACATGCTAAGCAGCGGGGTGAACCGACAGATGATGTTGAAAGAAAATGGGCAACCTTTCTAAGCTGTAGAAAGGATGCATCCCTTCTGATCAATGAAAAGATTAGAAGGAAGGGAGCTCAGTGGCTGGCAGAAGTACATAAAAAAGATAGAAAGGCAGCTGTGAAATTTTGGAACCATCTGAACTCCCTAAGAAATGAGACGAGCCTAGAGCAGAGATTTATAACTACAGCCCAAGGTGCTAGGCTAGAAGGGGACGAAGCTATTGAATATATAAGAACAAAAGTGACAGAAAAATTTCAACAAAGAAGTACTTTATGCACCACAATAGACAAGGACGAATCAAGTGGTGCGATGGCTCACTTTTCACAACAAGAGTTGGAAAGGGCTGAGAAAAGGGTTCCTAGTAGTACATCAACAGGCCCAGATGGCATTCCAATTAGGCTGATAAAGACATTAGGTCCGAAGTCTAAGCAGGCTTTGAGAGAGGCAGTGAGCACAATAATAATCGATGGTGAAGTTCCCGATGGATGGAAACTTAACAGGATGAACATGATCTATAAAGGAAAGGGGGACAAAGCTGACATAAACAACTACCGTCCTATAACAGTGACATCAGTGGTCTACAGGCTGGCGATGCAGATTATAAAGGAAAGACTGCAGGCGTGGATAGAGGATGAGGGGGTGCTGGGGCAACTGCAGAATGGGTTTCGGAAACACAGGAGGTTGGAAGACAATCTGTTCTCACTGACGCAGTGCATCGAAATAGCAGAAAAGGAACACAGGCCCCTGTGGCTAGCATTTTTGGATATCAAGGGAGCGTACGATAGTGTGGTTCAAGAGGAATTGTGGGGAATACTGGACACACTAGGCGTGGAACATGTAGTCACTAATCTTTTAAAGGGTATCTATAAAGAAGGTAACAAGGTAGTTATAAAGTGGGAAAAACAGGTATCCAAGCCTGCAGAGGTAAAACGGGGGCTTAGGCAGGGGTGCCCCCTGTCACCCTTATTATTCATGTAGTACCTACATTGATTAGAGGCAAAATTAGAGGGAAGTGGACTGGGCTTCAACCTCTCTTTAGTCAAACAAGGAAAACTTATTGATCAGGCACTACCAGCATTAATGTACGCAGATGATATAGTGCTAATGGCCAACAACAAGGAAGATTCGCAGAGATTGATGGACATCTGCGGTAATGAGGGAGATAGGTTAGATTTTAGATTCAGTAAGGAAAAATCAGCAGTCATGATTTTCAATGACAACGAATGTAGTGAGCTTAGAATACAGGAGGTCACGCTCGAGATAACAGATAAATACAAATATCTGGGCGTATGGATAAGCAATGGGACCGAGTATCTGAGGGAACACGAAATATACGTGACGACTAAAGGTAACAGGAATGCAGCAGTCATGAAAAATAGGGCACTGTGGAATTACAATAGGTATGATGTTGTGAGAGGAATATGGAAAGAGGTCATGGTTCCTGGGCTGACGCTCGGCAATGCGGCCTTGTGCATGAGATCAGAAGTTCAAGCAAGATTGGAAATTAAGCAACGTGGAATAGGTAGGCTTGCTTTAGGAGCTCACGGGAATACACAAAATCAGGGAGTACAAGGTGATATGGGATGGACATCATTTGAGGGCAGGGAAGCTAGCAGCAAGATAAAATTTGAGAAGCGATTGAGAGAAATGGGGCAAGAGCGTTGGGCTAGGAAGGTTTTCAGCTACTTGTACATGAAGAATGTCGATACAAAATGGAGGAAGCGAACCAGGAAGTTGACTGGCAAATACTTAGAAAACAGCACGTGGCCAAACCAAAAAGAACTATCGGTTAAGAAGAAAGTGAAGGAAACGGAGACTGACATGTGGAGAATGGGCATGATTAAGAAGTCCGCACTAGAGATCTATCGAACGTTTAAGCAGGAAATTGCCAAGGAAAGGATCTATGATAATACTCGGGGTAGTTCTCTACTGTTTGAGGCGAGACTGGGAGTACTGCGAACCAAGACATATCGTGCCAAATACGAAGGGGTAGACACAGTATGCAGTGCGTGTGGAGAGGAAGAAGAAACTGCCGAATACTTGATAATGTTCTGTAAAGGGCTTCACCCTATAGTTCAGGATGATGGCGCAGAGTTTTTCAAAGCACTGGGGTTTAGGGACCGGGAGGGCAAAATAAACTTTAAGCGGGTAGACTTAACTAGAAGGAGGTTATCTGATTGGTAGCTAAAGTCAAAGCACGAGTGAAAATTAAACTCTTCACTGCAAAGTACGAATCCTCAAACTCACTTTTTAAGGAAAAAAAATAAATATAGATTTGAGTTCATTAAGTATTACGGCTTGGTGGCGCTAGCCACCGCCCGATCTAAAGGGTACAGCCATATTCATCCATCCATCCATCCATCCATCCATCCAGCTCGCGCCGCGCTTGCTGCAGCAGCAGGCGCACACCGCTACGCCGCGGTTTTCCCGTCGCGCGCAAATTTGGTTTGCCGTGCTCGATGTAAAACTCTGCTTGGCCCATTGTGTTTTCTGCTTGCCCTTGATCTTTTTTCTGGCACAATAGTCTCCCCCAAGAGCTTCGTTAACTGCCGCGCTCGCTGAGACAACCGTGACTGTATCAAGTGCGATTCGGGTAAGTTCTTTGTTAAAAGTGTTACATCGTTAAGAAATCCGCTTGCTGCAAGGAATCGTGCCCAAACGCCGTATTTTTGTTATCTGCAGCACTACCGTAAAAAGAAAGGCGACTGCCCATGCATGGTCAGAAGTTTGGCTGCGCCCCGAACGCTCCACAATGCCGTACTGCTGCGTACCACGCTGCGAATCATGGAGTGGCCGGAAAGAAACCGGAGTATTTTTTCACGAAATTCCGAGCGACCAAGAACTTCGCGAAAAGTGGCTTAAGGTAATCTCGAGAGACAACTGGACCCCGAACAGCACATCTTGCTATTCTACCGTTTGCAGCCGGCACTTCGTCCCGTCCGATTTTAAAGAAGGGTGCACGACGCGAAGACAAGAAAGGCTCTGTGCCCGGCGTCTTCTACGAGTACCCGTCGTATTTACAACCTTGCAAACAAACCGAAAGAAGCGATGCGGTCCTCAGGAAGCGTGCTGCGGCTGTATTAACTGACGAACCAGCAAGAAAAAAAAAAGAGCAGTCGGTGGTGGTGCACCACATGTGTTTACGGACTTACGACATGACCGGTCGTGCACTTCGGATGCCTAACTTGTTGAAGAAGTGCCCAACTCCAGCAGCAGGACTGACCAAAGCTTCGTACCGGGAACGGTGCAGGTGGATAGAGCAGTGCAAGTAGCCTCACGCATTTCGTTGCCAACAATCGAAAGACGGAAGTGGAAGCGTAAGGAACGCGAACTGAGGGAGCAGGTTGAAAGGCTCAAAGGAACTGTTGAAAAATATAAAAGGGAGCTTCAGAAACTTAAAGAAGACTGCTATGTCCCAGCGTTTTTGCAGGTTGTCGAGCAGGCAAGTGAAAATGAGTTGGCTGCCTCAATACTGCTGGAGCAGGTCAAAAATTTTCAGAAGGTGAAATCGACGTGGTCCGAAGTTGCAGTCCGCCACGCAGTGGTCCTTCGTAACCTCTCAGCGATGGCATACGAACACATAAGGAGCTCAGGGCTACTCCGCCTACCCAGTCGAAGCACGCTGGAGCGCTTCCTCGGTTCGTCACGCAATGAAGTAGGTGTCACAGACTTGATTAAGCAGAGGCTGTCAGCTGAGCTCGCTTCACACACGAGTGCTCAGTCACAGACGTGCTCACTCATTGTGGACGAAATGAGGGTCAAGCAGCGCTTACTCTATCTCAAGCAGAGAGATGCCTTCGTTGGCGAAGTAGACTACGGCGACTGCTTGCCGCAGAAGCAACCGGGCAAGCCAGAAGAGCCAGTTCTTGCAAACTCGCTGCTTTGCTTCATTTTAAGTGGCTTGTCAACGAGATATAAGATTCCCGTAGCCTATTTTTTTACTAGAAATTGCACCGGTGAAAACCACCAGATCATGATGAACGTACTCAAAGAAGTTGAGAGTGTAGGCTTTAGAATCGTGCGGATCGTTACCGACAACCATCGGATTAACGTGAAGGCGTTCCAACTGCTATGTGGGGGTAACCTCAAGCACTGCATACCACATCCGACAAATCAAGATGGCAAACTTTTTCTCGCTTTCGATCAGTGCTATTTAATTAAAAACGTACGGTCACAGTTTCTTTCACGCGATATCGGAAAGGATGGCGAAATAACCGCCCAGTACCTGAAAGACCTCTACAAAATGCAACAGCGCAGTATTGTCAAGCCAGTGCGGTTCTTGACAAGAAAGCATACACATCCGACTAGCATGGAAAAAATGAACGTCAGGAGGGCAGTGCAAGTCGTTTCGCCACCTGTGACCGCGGCCCTAAAGCTCTTGAAAGAGCAGACAGGTCATACATGTGACGCAAGCTTCGCCCACGTTGGTCCAACCGTCGTATTCATGAACACCATATACCGGTGGTTCACCCTCATGGATGTAAGCAACTGCACCCAGCATGTCCACCAGAACAACCCGGACTGCAAGCAGTACGAATCCGAAGACGACGAACGGCTAGGTTGGCTTGAAACATCATTTCTTGACTACCTGGCCGAAATCAAGCGGCAGAGCCCGGCTAAGAATTTTCTGACGAAGGAAACGTACGAGGGCTTGCTGATAACAACCATCTCAAACGTGAAGTGCGTTCGGTACCTTCTCACGGCCACACGCTTCCGTTTCGTTCTGACTAGGAAGATGTCCTCTGACCCAATAGAGGCCTTCTTTGGGTGGTTGAGGAAATCTGCAGGCTCGAACGACCAGACAGACGTGAGGGCAGTTTTGTCTGGGATTGAGAAAGCACTGGAGACTGGCATAGCCTGCACGTCCAGCAGCAGCAACGTGATTATTGCAGACAGCAGCAGCTGCTCCTCATCAGCACTCCTACAGCGATCGGCAAGAGCAGCGCAGAATGACGGTGAAGCATTTCCAGCAGAAACAACCACGACCCTCGAGGAGAGCCTCGACAGGAGGAAGACGTTGCTCCCAACGCCAGATGTTGCTGCACTAGCAATGGTTGGTGGCTATATTTCAAGAACAGTCCACGAAACCATTTCCTGTGATGAATGCTTCACTCTGGTGACTAAACCAAACACCTCTGCGCCATCGGATGCCTTAATTAAGCACCAGGACAGAGGTGGACTCCTCTATCCGTCAACTGAGCTCGTAATGGTCCTCAATTCTCTAAAGAATTACGCGGAAGTTTTCCTCGCAAGAGCGAGAAAGATGAACCAGCCACTGAAGGCTGCCGTTGACAACGCCGCGGAAATACTACAGAAACGTGACAAACTCAAGTGCTCGACCCCGGGACACCATGAAAAACTTTTGGAGGTTGTGCTCGTGAAGTTTCTCCGCCCACTTTTTCTGAACTTCACGACGAGTGTGACTGACAAACACGACTTGGCGAAAGATTTTCATGTCAAACCATTGTCTCGAAAAGTGCTCAAACTTTGAGCGCGAAATCAAATAAAAAAGCTCGCATTGCATTCTGCATACAGTGCTTGTGTTAAAATTTTTATATGTGCGCACTTCTTAACGTATATGCATAATCCAATGCAATGTAGACGGTTTCTAGACCGTCATAAACGCAAGCGTGCATAGGCCGCGTCGTCTGCTGTTATTATGAGATCGGTGCGGCTTCTGGCGGCAAGCGCCAAAACTATGAGGAACGGATGGCGCGTATGTATTTAGCGCTAATGCGCGGGCACAAAAGTTATATAGGAGGCTATGGCTCTGGCGATGTGCCCGTTATTTAGACTCGCCTCCGATTGGTTGAACGTTTGAACTCCACGCGAGGCGTTTGTTTCGAAAATGGTCAGTTCAGTTCAGCTGCTGCAGCCGCTTCAAAGCGCAGAAAAACAAACCTTAAAAGCACCGAAGGGTAAGTTTGGCAGCTTTGATGGACAAAGTTTGTCCCGCTTGAGATTTCACATAGCTGTTGCAGCAGTGTCTTGCTTTCCGCCCAAACGGAACGATAATAAAGGTCAGTACAGTGCAGAGTGCTGCTGGTAATGTTCCGTCTAAACAGAATCGAAATGCGAACTTCGCATTCCGTATACACAGAACAATAAGCACTGCTGAATTCACTGGTTATACGGAACAATTCGTTGCCCGTTCTGACTTTTTCCCAGAGACCATCGTGTTTTTTTTTTTTTTTTTAGTTTCTCTTCGTGTGCTAAGTCGGACTCGTGATTCCGACAGCCGGGCTGACCTTAATTCAATTCAAAGGATCTCCCAAAAAAAATTTTTGTGCGGTCCCTGCTGCATAATACTGCTGGCTCCAGCTGTGGAAGGTGACCAAGCATACCGAGCTTTTTTAGCTTCAAACAAAAATATCTGGAGACCGAACAAGCACGTCTTCGTAGTGGGTCATGTAGTGGGTTGTTGTAGTTTCTGAGAGGTGGCTACACAAGTTCTACAGGTGCCTGTTGCTCTCGAGCAACAAGTCATTATTTAGTTATAAATTTCTCTTCTGAGAGTACACCAGTAATGTAGCCAGAAATGTTTTTTGAGGGGGGGGGGGGGAATATGAGTACACTAGGTGGCAAAGTAAGTTTCATAGGTGCGGCGCCCAATATTGCCCCGGAGCATCAATTCACTATTAAGAAACAATTTATTTTGTTATTAGTCAAGCATATCTGCCTTTTTTCAAACATCCAGTGATAGAAGTGCTGCTCCAATTTCGCTAAACTGCTCCAAAAAGAAATTCTGCTCCAGGCTGCTCCAAAGGCAATATTTGTTAGTAACTGCTACATATCCAGTTCCGAAATGACATTGGGGAAACTTAAAACAATCAAGTTAAACCACGTGACCATTCAGCAAGCCTAAACGAACACAAAAACAAGCTGTATACTGTCATCTAGCCTTGTATAATAGCTGTATACTACAATATAGCCAATGCTACAAGTATTCACATTTTTCATAGATATGCCTGATATATTTGTATATTTGTATCTTAGAAGCAGACTATTTTGGTGAGATGTGTGCTAGACTTCTTAGTCCTACCAGCCGCTGCTGTGACAACTTTGATATGTGACTGATTACATTTAGCACTTTCATCAGCTTTGACCTGTTTATGTCCCAAGAATAAGCATTTTAAATGTTAATTAATTTAGCTTATTTTAATGTGACTGCTTTGTCAAAATATGAAAACGGCACTTAGCGTTCAAAGACCATCCATCTGCCTAATTATTATTATTGAAATTTGCACTGATTATTGTACGTGTAATATGTTTATTAATAATAATATATATAAAAGGCCTGAATGGTACAATAAATTCAGCTTTCGTTTGGAATATTTTGTTATTTGCTCCAAAAGCAACAATAGCTGCTCCAGCATAGCATTTCTTCTGCTCCAAAAATAATCAAGGCTACTCCAAAGCACCATTTTTTCTGCTCCAGAATCTGCTCTAAAAATCAAAATGTTGGTTCCATCACTGTATTTACACGCCTGACAAACATTTGTAATTGGCAGTACCACTTCTTTGTTGTGCACTGATGAATATTCCGAGATGTGGCAACAGAAATGTTACAGGTGCCCACAGGGGCCCAAATGCTCAATGTTGCTCTAGAGCAACATTCTATCATTCAGTTTTGAATATACAAATTTTTTTTTTTCCTGACAGTATAATTGGCATATTTTGTTCATCCTTTATGCATGGCAGAGTTTCCTCAATTCTGTACGCTGAATTCAAATTTTGGGCATCATATGCAGTTAAAGTTTGTTGAAATATAATTAATGGTGGAAATACTCAGACATTATCAAAAAAAATGCAGCACACATTTCTGCGTCTGTGTTTCCTTGTCCCTCTCCTAGTATCTGTGCGGCATCAATTCCACTTTAGCCATGTACCAATTAGCCTGACAGCAAACACTACTAGGTTGAGGTTGGCTTTGCCCTAAATAAATGAGTTTGTGTCACTGGTTTTCAGTAAATGTTCTGACAAATTTTGTCAGAGATTAAGATTTGTACTCAGATGCATGAAATATTTTGGACATAAGTGAGGAACTTTCATTTTTCAGTACGTCTATTGTTTACATTAGCAGAGAGGAACCACTTTAGCTTCGAATGAAAAGCAGCTGGCGCTATATATAGTGTCAGCTGAAGAAAAGGCTCACTATGATTCCATGGTAGAGCCTGATTATTTGTCTCAGGTTGTGACAAACCATGGTATGTTTAGCATCCAACAGAGACCACTGTTTTTCCTCATTCATATAAGTAGATATAATTTACCAATATGCAGCAGCAGTACACGTCAAAAAGAAAAAAAAAAAAAAAACTTCAACAGATCCCACGTACCTGGGAATCGAGGTTCTGCGAAGCATGCGGTGTTGTAACTTTTTGTTGAGCGACACGTCATGAAATGACGCTAAATATATGTACAAATTTCGCTCTCACAGATATATGTTGAACAGTTGCAGATGTTTATATAACCAGTTGTTTGCACTTGCGCAATGATGCCGAATGAAACATGCATATTAGCAATACCAGAAGCTGATATGAAGCGCTAATGCTCGTGAGGTGCTGGCCCTGAACACTGCTACATAAATCAACTTCAGCGCATGGCAACTAGCCACAATTGACGTTAACCCGATGTGACGGCTGTGTCAAAGGAGTACATATGTAAAGTTTAGCGTCTATACGAAGTTTAGTGTCTATTTGAAAAGTAGTTCCGAGACCTGGCTTAGCTCTGTGGTAAAATACTTCATTGCCCCGCAAAATGCTTGGCTTCGATTCCAACTGGGACCCTGACATTTATTAATTGCATGCGTCGGGTCGACGCTACCAATGTTGGGTATTTCCTAACGCTCGTGCGTTAATATTGCCCATGTGTGTTCTCGTCGTTCTTGAGTAGATACTAAGTGTCAATCACCTGTGGCACATACCCGCATACTAGCAGCACATACCCGCCGGTGGGTATGTGCCACTGTCTGGCGGGAAGTGTTTGACGACGTACGCGACGAAGTTGTGACATTATTCATGTCTTGATCAGTGCGTCATATTCGTCAAATCATCTTACCCTCCCATGCTAATTTTGGTTCACGCCAAGTTAAGGGGGTGACCACAAGGGCACCCACACGTAAGTGGCTAGATAGATAGATGAACAGACAAACAGACACGCTCAAAGTCGCCGAAGTTCGCTATAGAATGCTTCGCATTTAAAAAATGTTATCAAATGGCCCTTTACTGCAATGACGGACCTGATTCATTGGCAGCAGCACACCACAAGGCCAGAGGTAAACCGCAATACTTTGAAGGAGAATTTAGCGCAGTTGAGCAGACTGCTTCACATGAAGCGTTATTATAAATGGCCTATAGTTACATCTTGCTATGGTTACTCACTGTACAGTTCAGTTTTGTTTGGCACTCACTGTTGTTTCTGTAAATGTTAGAGAACATGGAAGTTTGTGCAGACAATGTACCCTGTTGTCTATGCCATTTGCACATTTGACTGGCAGGGTTTCTTCTCTGTAGGACGGAATTTCGGGCCATTTGATAAATTGATGCTTGTTTTTGACGATAGAAATGAGACAGTAAAGTATGTAAATACAAAGTGGGAAATGCATATCATTAGTGATTGTAAGTATACTTATTCTGTAGAAAAGACTTCAGTGAGAAACAGGGGCACAGCAGGAAGTTGCATGCTGTGCAATGCCCCTTCAGTGATTTATGTCTCTGCATAGCAAAATGGCTGGAAGGGTAGTCGTAGGATGCCTTGTTTATCTACACCTGGGAGTACATGCCTGTCCAATGTCCTCTTTACAATAAATATTGCATCCACCCCCCTCCTCATAGTAATAACAATATAATAATAATGCTGCTGTGAACTAGAAATTATGGATGTGTGAGGGTGAAAAAAAAAATTTTCTCGTGCGTGTTTGCATATGAGTGTGGGTACAGAGTACGGGTATTGTAAGGGATGGAATGCTTCCTCCTACATAATTTGTCAATTTCCTTGAGCACATTGTTATCTTTCGGGCACCTGAATACCTGATATAGGGGCCAGACTGAAACTTATGAAATTTTTACCTGTTTCTCACAGCAACTGAAGGAACGTTGGAGGAGCCAGTGAAGGTTGCCATCAGGGTGCGACCACCATTCCCAGAACAGAGTCGTGAATTTTTGAGCCCTATTGAGGTGGTGCCGGAAAGCGCACAACTCATTGTGGCCGGTGAACATGGTTTCACCTTTGATTATGTGTTTGACGCAAGCACCTCTCAAGAGGAGCTGTACACACGATGTGTTGCAGACCTTATTAGCAAGGTCACCACTGGTAAGTTACTTAATCCCATCAATGAGGTAATGTTTCTCCTGTTTTCATCTTGAATTTGATATCAGCAAAGCATTTGGTCATTGTGTAAATGAGAAAAATGGGTGTCACTACTAACGAGCATGTTTAGGCCGCCCGGCAAAGCGAACATTTAAGAATTGTAATTCCGCTGTGTGTAGCGACCAGACAATGTCACTCTGCTACCAAGCCACTTTGTGCTAGTGCCATCTGGTGTTAAATGAGCGAAATGCTGTTTCATTTGCCAAAAAACTGGTCGCTTGTGTTGCTCCCAATCGGTGACAGGCACTGAGTGGTGTGATGGGGTGCGTTCAACTGTGCACGTTCCTGGCACGGAGACTGTATGCTTGACAACTTCTATTGGGGCACTGGCATCAACTTTTTCAGGGCTGGTATAGCCCATACTGGTGGAGGTCTAAAACAAGAGAGTGCATAACGTGTTGTGGTCACTTGGCTGTTCCCTCTCTCCCGTTTTTTTTAGTTCAGTTGTGGTTCTTTTTTTATTATTATTATTATTATTATTATTATTATTAATTTATTAATTTTTTATTTTTTTACCGTGGCTTTGGATCATCACTGCAAGGTACGACCACTACATGTTTCTCTGTCAACATCGTGCCATTTCCGTGTCAATATCTGGTCGCCTGCGCACACCCATAGCATTGAGAGTTTTGCCTTGATGCACCTATTGCCCGACACCTAGGGGTGTCACGCACGTATGACCACATTCGTCGATGACTATTTTGGCCTGTTCTCTATGGTTCTGTGCGACATTACATTGGGGTGTGCAACCCATGTCAGCAGCGTGAGACGCCTGTACTATTGCCTGCTGGCACCCTTCAGCCCATTAAAATACCAGACGAGCTATTTTTCCGAGTCTGCCTCGATCTTCTAGGACTTTTTTCCTAGTCGGCCACCAGTTATAGGTGAATAGCCATCGCTACCAACTACACAGCACGGTTTGCTTTTACACGAGCACTAAGCGCCAGCTAGGCTACTTATGTAGCCAATTTCATTCTTTGTGGCATCATTCTGCATCATGGTGCACCTTGGCACGATAACAGACCATGGCTGCTGTTTCCTATCTAAATTAGGCAACTACCCACTGCAGGTCCTGCTGGACCCACCACAAGTTCACTACTGCGTACAAACCACAAACAAACAGTCTCACCAAATGCCTAAACCGTACCCTCACAGATATGCTTGCAATGTACCATGTCTCTGAGGACCACTGAGATTGGGTCATTCACTAACCTTTTGTGACCTTTGCGTATATCTCTTCGCATCACAGCTAGATTTTCACCTCTTTGCCTACTGTTTGGCTGTAACCTGCCTCTACTTATCAATACCATGTTCTACTCTGACGCCAACTCGACTGCCTATGCTCGGGATGCACTGGCGCATGCTGACAAGCCCGCCAAGTCGCCCAGGATCACTTATTTGCCTCACAGGTTAACCAAAAGTGTGTTTACAATCACCGACACCACAACGTGCAGTACTCTCGTAGTTCACTGGTATTGGTGTGGTTACCATCACGGTCTTTGCGAAAAACTTATATCCCGTTATGTTGGCCCTTACCGCGTCATACGAAAGGTCAGTGACCTATGAGATTGTTCCACTCCATCCCAGATCAGCAACAGCTTCAGTCATGAGCGATACAGTGCATGTCTCAAGACTGAAACTGTGGCACTCTCTTCTCAAGGACTGGTCGCACCGGGGCAGTACTTCTGCCGCCGGTGATTAATGTCACAAGCTGAGAAGATAGCTTGGAACGACAACGAGGAAGTGATAAGCAGATCGCACTTGGACTGCAACAGCGTTGTGCGCTTTTGCTCACAAATATATTCTGTATATATAGTTTCTTCCCCATAACAATATTCTTGCTCCGTGGCCTTGCCAAGGTTGCATGTCTCAACCCTCCATGGTAGCTGTGGGGCTAATGAATCCTAGTTTTTTACTGAGGTGTGCCTCCCAATTTTGTCAAGGTTTAGGCAGGCAACACCACATAATCTAGTTTAAATATAACTGTCATGTTTGCATTCTTGTGAAACAACTTTAAAACCAATTGCACATGAAAAACTATTAGCCTGATAGTAAAATGTACATTGAAATCGCAGTATAACAGGCAATTTTAAAAGCACACCGGCCAATAAATAGGTAGCGTATATACTGCAGATAATTGTGTTGCTGCAAGGTGCAGGTATCTTGCAGGAATCAGCAGAGCGTTGACGAGAGAAAAAACAAAAACAAATTTTAGTGTGTATGCACTTCCGCGGTGGCATGGTATTGTCATTGCCACGTCGGGGTCGGACAATGGTATAGTCAGAAGAAGAACGGCTATTTAGACTTGTTGGTTGGAATTCATGATAATAAGGGCTGCAGCACGAGCACGAAGGTGCTAGAAGAAAATTGAAACGAAAGGCGAGGCAAGGAAAGCAAAGAGGACAACACGAGAGCTGTCAGAGTTTTGTGTTTCTTAGGTTCACTAGCTGTCAGCTTCTCAGTCTGAGCTTGTCTCCTTTTCTTAGTCGTAAGCACCACAATTGCTCCTATGAACAGTTGAAAGCCCCATGTGTTCAGCCGTCCCTCAACAAGGCAGTACAAGGAACTGCAGGAATGAACAAGTTATTGTAGAGGAACAGTTATCAAAGCATGGGTATTCTATTCTAACATTCTACAATTCCATTCTATCAGTGTGTGTTTTGCGACTCTTCTTTTGCCAACTAGTTCTTTTTATTTTTGCTCTTTGAGGTAAACAAACTGAATGACCTGTGTCTTCTTTTTTCTCCAGGGTACAACTGCTGTGTCCTGATGTATGGCCAGACGGGCTCTGGGAAGACCTACACTATGGGCACTGATTACAGTCGCAGCGAAGTGCCAGCGACCAATGAGGGCATCATTCCAAGGGCTCTGCGGGACCTGTTTGACTGTCTGACAAGACTGCAGGATGGTTGCTGGACGACAAAAGTCTCCTTCCTGGAGATTTACAATGAAAACGTCTTTGACCTGCTGGCAAATCCAAAGGAGCGGGAGGCTATCCCCATCCGGGAAGTCGGCAAAGTCATTGTGGTGAGTTTACCACCTCCTCCTTTTCTTTTACTTTAACATGCTTTGCTGTTCTGGAGCCACTTTCGTTATAAACATTTGACTAGGCGTTACTAATTGCTTTTGGGGTGTGCTTTCACGTCTTCAAGACTGTCCTTAAATAATCCATTTTTCCACACAATGAGCTTCAGCATGCACCAGTGTGGCTCTGCAGGAGCTTCAATATTATGTGCAATTCGCAAAACATTTCATGTAAACCTGTTGATCATCTTTTTTGTTTATATTTTTTCATATTTTTCTGCTGCACATGTATTTCTCTATCAGTGTACGCTGCACATCATCTGGCTAGGACAGTACTGGCGGCATTGCTGCAACGTGTGTCGCATTTAGTGGTAGCTGTATGCGTGTCACTTTACACCATAGCAGGCCTTTCTCAGACAGCTACATAAAGAAGGTGCAAATGTTGCACAAAAAAGCAGCACACCGAAAACAAAATTTTGTGAATTATAGCAGTGATTGCACACTTGTGTCATGTGGTGATTTGTAACTTAAGCTGGGGATTTCTCTTTGCAGTTTGTAATTCAGTGCAGTCTTGGTGGCATGGTGCTTGTGTAAATTGTAATAGCGCTGCTTGTATGTTAATCGTACATGAATGAGAACAGAATTGGAAAAATGTTCTCATTACAACGGAAAAATTTTCTCATTACAACGGTTAGGTACGTGTCAGAAAGCTCAGCTTAATTTCAAGCTGCAAGGTTCATGGAGCACTGTGATTGCTGGTACACTGCACTCAAGTGAAGCAAAATGCATTTGACTATGACAGAGGCCAAGGTGATGTAATAGAATTGCACAATTTGTAGGCATATGGTGCCATCTGCTGAATCCAGATAGAAGAAGGGGTGGTGATTGGTGTTTGCTGTGTGAGACATTTATGTTGAATCGGATGGGAAGTAGGCCACTGATCGCTCTCTGTAATGAACCCAGCTGAAAGGCCTGGTGCAGCAGGCTGTGGGCAGTCCCGAGGAGGCCCTGAGGTGTTTGGAGCAAGGCTGCCGCAACAGGAGCACAGGTGCCACTCTGCTCAACAGCTGCTCAAGCCGCTCGCATGCAATCTTCACCATTCACCTGCAGGGACAGGTAGAAGGGTGAGTGAGCAGCAGTCTTTCTATCACCTTAATTGGTTCCCTTTGCCTTGTTCATTTCATAGGAAGTCTTCACTTCCGAAGGCCTTCAGGAGTGTGGTGGTTTAGGCTAGTTGATATGACATGACAGGTAGCGCAACGATTCCTTCTTGTCCCTTTGTCCTCCATCTGTTCTCGTGCTGTATTTACCGTCATGCCTTCAGGAGGGTTGGGCATGTAAGTATGAGGATTAAAGTGAAGAATTCGAAACGAATAGCTGAGCTGTATTTATATATATATATATATCCCAGCACAAGCTTCTTGAATGAAATGTAGGCAATTCCTGAGAGCAAACTCTGACATAACTTCTTACGGTGGTCTATCTGTATATACAAAAAAAAAAATTGGCAGCCTCAATTAAGCAGCCCACATATATGAGCATTTATAAGTGCATACTGGTCTCCTCAGCGACCAGTTTCCCATTGCTTCTTTTTTTTTTTAATCCAGTACATTCAGTAGTTGCAGCTAAGGAAAACATGAGCACATGTCGTGGCCCCCCCCCCCCCCCTTTTTTTTTTTGTTAACCTTGTTCCTACCATTCCCACACCACTCTTGGGAACTTACTATTTCTAGCATCAGAATATGCTTAGACCAAAGACAGTAGGCTTCACGGCTCCTATTAGAAGAATAAGCAGTCTACAAGACAAAACATGTGGCATCAGTGCGATGCGAAGGCGAACAAATGTCGCAAAAGGACATTTGCTAGACTGCTTCTCCAAACAACAGCAGTGGACAAAGGCCTGCGTGAACTAGGAATTGCAGTGAAGAACAGAGAAGTTATTACAGCAAGGAGCTATAAGTGGAGTAATAAACAAGGTGTAGAGATGGCGATGTAAAGTTTTAATGTACAGCCTTTTTCTATAACACGTCTGTAATTTTCAGACAAGGATGCACACAGCTCCACAAAGAACAAACAATGTTTGGATAGGTCAGCTTAAAATAGGAAGGGAATCAACCTCTTTTCAAGGTCGATATTGGGGTGGAATACATGTGAGCCAGCTTGTGGGAGAAAGGTGTCCTTAGCCGGCCAGCACGCACGCCAGAGTGGCTCAGCAAAGTCCTTTCTGCTACTCATCAGCCACTTCCCACGCAGAAATGTTCTCTGTGAAAGTGCTGGTGGCATGTTGTAGCCAATTGCTATTTACCATTCCTAAGTTTCAGTACTCAAGCTTCATGCAGCTAGTTTTGAGAGCATATATGGAGCCGGACGTAATGTTTCGTTGAATACGTCCTGCACTGTGGCACCAAGCACTTGCCCACAATATAAAATTCTTTCAAAGACAGTTACTCCATATTGCTGTGCCTTCAAGCCCACAGTTAAAGTGAGAAAACCTCCCCATTTAATCAGAATCACAATGCAAGTGGCATTGTTTTCATTTCATTTCTAATTTTCAGCGTGCATCGATTTTCCTAAATCAGACACTGCGCAAATGACCCTGCCTAGCGCTTCATGCCGACAGTGGCACCAGCATTTTCAATAGGGGGCCTCGCACCTAATATCACATAAAAGGAAGAAAAATTATTGTTTTTGTCATGAGTCGGCACACTTGCTCAGTACTTAAGGATTAGAGCTAGGCTTGTGCAAATGTTTTTATTTCAATTTCTTTCGAAGTGTAGTGGAAGCAACTTGAGTAGTAGCAGGAATGGAATGAGTAACATGCAAGGTATGAGCTGCGAAATACATTACATTTTAAAATGTGCTCTGCTTGGTGCATTTGAGCTTACAAAGCATGCTTTTAAATTTCAATAAAATAAAGGATAGAAAGAAAGGAAATATATAAAAACTGGGAACAGGCGATACAAACTTTTAACCTTGGAAGTCTGGCTTCACGTCAGTGCAGGCTTTTTTTGCCCTGGACGGGTGGTTTCATGGTATAGCATTTTCACAATGCAGTGAAGCCATTCATTTAGGCTGGTTACATGCAGTAGTGATGTTAGTTTCTTTCAAGTACTTCAAAACTTCAGCAACATAAAGTTTGCGTTGAAGTAAATTCGATACTCCAATGCTCCAACGATACTTGCCATTGCATTTCAAAGGAGGCGAAGTGCTGAGGCTCATGTGCTGTGCAACACCACTGCCCATTAAAAAACACTGAATGGTTAAAATTTCTGTATTATTGCGATACAAATTATGTGGACACTCTCGACTGAATTTCGCCGCCCCCGTCACTCACCGTATATGCATACATATCTATGTATATGAAAATGAAAGAAAGAAACCCAGGAAAACACTCCGGTGCACGGAATCGAACTTGGGTCCTCTAATCGTGAGTGTGAGGCGTTAACCAATGAGCCACTTAGTAGCACGTACTTCAACTTTCAAACAGCAATCTATTTATATCTACCACTTACTGCTGCTGACAGGCATCACAGAGGGAATTACCGTGTTTTCAGCATTACCAGCAAGATGGCGCAATGAGCTCGCGTTGCCATATTGCACGGCGGCGCCCATTCTTATCTCTCACATGTACTTCGCCCCACTTAGAGGAAGGGCGAAACGCTCCCTTTTGCGCCCTTATCTCACAGTGAACAGTGAAGAGGATCGTACATCTTGGCTGGCCCCGGTCTTTACCTGGAACGATTATGTTGTAGTTACCGGGAGCACAAAGGTTACTGCAAACATTGCAGTATCCGCTTGTGAAAAGCGCACGCTTATCAGACACAGCAAAGTAACAACTGAGACGCTTATTCGCGTGCATTTGTGCCTGTGAGTACATTTCGTGGGTCATTTGTGCGTGGAAAACGCGGGGTACATTTCGATCTGCTTGCCATTCTGCGCGTGACCCTCCAGTTTGTTGCTATCGCATTCATTTCTTCGCTTTTGCGGCAAAGCTGTGACTTTTTTTCGTCTACTATGGCATCTCTCATAATAATATTGTGACAATGTTGTGACAATATTGTGACAGTAACCTGTCACAATATCATGGTTTTAAATCCCCAGATATTACCTATATTATCGTTACTTTTTTTACCACTTTGTTTCATTTACCTTTCAAATGCACTGCAATTAAAGACTACAATAACTTTGGTATCTTTTCCTTGGCTTCATTATACGGTTAAACAAAAACAAGCCCATTGACTGATTTTTATTCTTTCATCCGCTTTACGTGTTTACTAGTACATGTACTATTACAGAGCTTTCTTAATCCTGAAGCTGTTGCTGACTGTGTAAATGATGTGCTTGTCCTGCGCCTAACTCTGAAACGCACTTTTCGGTTCAATTTCAAGGCTCACTGAAAAGAGGAATTTTCCGCATTAGATCTTTCTCTCGTGCAGGGCAATGTACACGTCAAAGCTCCAGCTCGTTGACTTGGCTGGCTCAGAGGGCATCGGAAGGACACTCAGCGTTGGTAGACCGGAGGAAAGAAGGTACATGCTTCAGGATGAAGCTCTCTCTCTCAATTTTTTGACAGAAGTGGTCTACACGTGACAGCCTTTTCTAAAAGCTCTAGTGACACTACTTAAATCTTGTGCTGTGTTTTCTTTTTTAGCAGGTCTGAATCTCCAAACAACCACACCTTTAAACCTTTTTCCTACCATTAAAAAGAATGAAATAGAATGTAATTTACTGGAAGTTTCTTTTTCTTTTGCTGAATTTGTTGAGCTTTTCTTTTCTGGATAAAACAGAATCATTATCTCAATTCAATGGGGTTTCTTTATTTCACTAATTGCAAAAAAATGATAGATTTAAGATCATTTTGCTACATGGCAATACAGTGAAAGATGGCAATGCAATGACAGTCTAGACACATGGAAAAACTTGGGCAGTTGTGGTCATGCAAAGTCAAGAAACATAACTACAAGTGCACTCATCATTGGTTCTATGCGGGACCAATTTTGTTGAGGACAAGTACAGTCGTCGTTGGACATTTGGTGCAAAATCTCATGGCAACTATATTCGTCAACGGGAGGGAAAGGGTTAACTCTCCGGAGCTGTGGAGCAACAAATATTTTACCATAGCGACAGGTTCAGTATTCCTCACCGGGACTGTGAGTTTATTTTGGTAAAATATTGTATTCCATGTGACTCAGTATGGAAAACTGAGCTAGTTAGCATGGATTCATACTTAAGACAGCGCTGCACTCACAAAGAGAAACGACAAAGGACAGACAAAGTGCACATGACCTGCGCTCACTCTCAACTGAATTATTATTCAGAAACACAAAAACAAGTAAAGTGGAAAAGTCATCGATTCATGTGAGATATGCTTCAAATGAAAAGAACTTTTCTGGCTGTTGCCCCTTAATTAAAGATGAGCTCAACGACTTATATGTCGAACTACTGCACGTGAGGATTAAATATTCATATTTCTTATTCCAAAGCCTAATCAGTGGCTGTTTCATACCCTTTTCTAATGTGGAAAGCCTTTATAATCAATTTCTTGGGCAAGCCGCTTTTTATGCCTGGAAAGCACGATTGTGTCTGTAAGGTGGGGGTTACATCCAAATTCACTTCAATGGTCAACTTAGGTGCGAAAGCCTCGCTTCCGTTGATGATATCTTATGTTCTCCCAATCAAACATTTGGCTAAGCATTAAGTGCCAGCTAACCGTGAAGTGGTTAGCTGGCATGTGACCTGAGCGCTATGCATGAAGGGATTAGCAGTTGCCCACTTTTAATGGGTCTTGCTATATTAGTGCTTGATGTGATCTGTTCTTCTCTAACCCTATTGGTCAGTGCACCAATATCATATACAACTGTATGTGTTTATCATCTGTCAGTGCCTTATTATACTACAGTTGATGCTTGTTAAAAGAAACCAGAAAGCACTAGAAAAATATCAGGAAAAGAGATTTTGTTTACTTACATGACAGGGCAGCTCTGTTGTACCATAAACGAAAAATTCTGGCAATTTTCTATTTTTGTGTTGATGGTGCTGCATTGCCTTTGCACTGAGGAAGCACAGCATTACAACAGTCAGTGCAGTGCCTAGCTACACTTTTCCATCCTGTTCCATACCATATGGGGCTGGTTTTGCACAATCATGAAGTGGTCTGCTGGCCAGTCATTTCTTGACAACCCTAAGCTACCTTTAATAACTTTTTCGCATTGAAAGTGAATGCGCGCATCAAGTTTAGAATGTTGTCATGATCAACTTCGGCAAACGCGGCAGTGCTACGAGCTGCAGGCGCCCCACTAGTCCCAATAAATAATTTCTTCTCCTCTCTGAGCCTTTTGGCATTCCTTATCTTCTCAGTGGTGACATGAACATGTCGTCTGCTTGTTATCTGTAATACCTGTTTCACTGCTTGCAGGCGCGCACACTCACTGCTCTTCCCCTTGCATGTTTAAGAGGAAGACTTGGTCATAGGGAGAGACGAGCTGACAATGGAAGGAGTGAAATAAGCGAGGGTGTCTTTTCTGTCATCAAATGCGTGTGGCTGTTTCGACAAATTTTCTGGCTGGGTGTTCGTTGTAGACTCGCACACAACTGCACAGCACCACAAATAAATTTTGACTTTCGAGTGGTTGAGGGTCCCTTGAAAACACTTGTTTAATCTGATGCTGTGGATAATCAAACTGGTCAGCACATTAGTCTCATTGGGTCACAGTTGTTGAAGACATCTGCAGTAGGTTTGTCTCTCCTTTCAGGTGTCTCTATCAACCTTGGCCTTCTCGCTCTGGGTAATGTCATCAACTCGCTGTGCTCGCACAATGGGAAGCCGCAATTCATTTCATACAGGGACTCCTCGCTGACACGGCTCTTGAGAGGTAAGCATTGGATGTTGATGGCATCTGCACAATGCAGTGAAGATACAATGTGGTGTATCATGTGCACTTTTTGGAACTACCATATAATTTCGAGGAAGCGCCCCCGCCCATAGAAGTGCCTCTCTCCATCTGTCGGCGAGAAGGAAGCCGCAAGCCGGCGTGTGCGCGTGCTGTGCGCGCCTCCAGAATCTCGCGACGCCGACAATGTAGACAGTGTGCCGCTGCTTGCTGCGCGATCGGGCCAACGGGCGAGATGCCATCGCGGCATGCTTCCTGCTAGTGTGCGCATACGTTTCCCGGCTGTCCTCGGCGTTTTGAAAGTTAGTGAAGCCGATCGCAATTGCGAATGGCGACGTCAACACCGACAAGGCACGAGCAAGGGAAGCTGAATGCAATGCAAGTGTTGGCAGTGGAAGACCAGTGAGACCGACAAGGTGCAAGTCAAGAACACCGATCGTGTTCGAGAATACAGACAGTGTGCGGGTAACACCGATAAGACGCGAGCCAAGAAGCCGAGCGGAAGCGTCTTCAAGGCGCCTTTGGTGTCTTTGCATTTCAAACAAATGTTTACTCGAGTAAACGCTACACCAAGTTTCACTTCAAACCGTTCTTCCAGCATCTGCGTCGGTGCCCGTTTCAACCGGGTCAACGCCATGCACACCTCTGCTGCTTCACATCCTATCAGGATTCCTTTCGAGGAGATGATCCATAGTTTTTGCAACTCACTCTGAGGAGTATTTCGATGATTTTTCAAGTGATTAAAAGCTACAACAAATCCTGGTCCTAAATAAAGTTCACCTGTAATAAAATTTTAATTCACGTGCACTGCATTCTTTTTTTCTGGTGTGCGAATTTCGCCGCCATCTTGAATTGTGGTGCAGATCTAAAATAGTGCCCCCCCTCTCCAACTTTGCCGGCGATTTCGAATTTGTTGAGGGGGGGGGGCACTTGCTCGGAATTGTACAGTAAGTATGCATCAAGTTAAGCTGTGAAATTGCCCCTACTTGACAGGTGGGTAGCATTTAATACTTGTAGTTCCTTTAGCACTGTGCACTGTTACAAAATTTTCACGGGAAAGCATTCAGATGGGAGAATTTTTTTTTCGTCTTGGTAGTACTTTGAAGTGTTCAAGTGTGACAAATCCAGTATTGCTCCAGGGGCCCTCTATGCCCTAATTTTATTGCTTTGTATTTATTGCAGATTCTCTGAACGGTGGAAGTTTCACGGTGATGATTGCCTGCATTAGTCCGGCTATCTGCGACATCCCGGAAACAAACAACACCCTACGCTATGCTGACAGGGCTCGGCAGATCAAGACAAAGCCTGTAATTAAGAGGGCCTACTCAGGTAGCATTTCTCAAGATCTATTGTTGATTGCTTTGTGGCCAACTTCATTTGATTTTACCCAGCTAGCCAGAGTGACGCTGGTTGAAACGATCATATTTTGCTGTTTATAACTCGCACAAATATTATAGAGAAATTTCGTAGCTAATGTTGAGGTGCCGGTAATACAAGATTTCAGTTCACAAGTTCACTTCACGGCACTGCTGCACGCTAATGCAAAAAAGTCGGCTTCACTGCAAGACACTCAGATTCTTTATGGCGTTAGTTTCTAGTAATACAGGACATTGTGTTTTTTGTCTCTTGACTTCTGGTCTGCTTATTGTCAATTGGAAGTAAAAACTCGAGAATAAAAGGAAAAGAACTATTTGTTCAAGTGATGAATGTTATTCAATACACATGATATGGGGGCATCAATTTTTCCTGAAATAAGGCCTAATGAATTGTTGGCATAAATAACGAAAATCAGTTGAATTAGTTAATCGAAAGAGCCGATCGTTTTCTCGTGAGCAGCTAGGATAGTTGTGACACCTGATGGAGTAGGTACCAGCCCCACACTTCCTCTCACATGGCCCCCAGGATTTGCTCCAACAGCGTGCCATTGCACTGCCGAAATTTGTTTGCAGAGGCCACCCAGAGGGAAGTGCAGCTGTAAGGACACAGTTAACTGTCGGAATAATTAATGAAAATTAATTGAATCGTGATAAGTGCACACTGAAAATTATGAGAACGAATTGACTAGCTCTGAGCGATGTCTGAAGGGTGCGACTTACTTAAGGATTTAAATTTATGGATCGCCACAGCTGTTTTCACCGGCCCCTGCCTATGGGTGTGCGATGTCAGATGTCAGGAAAAAGAAAACTGGCATGAGTTTTTATTTGTTTATTGGCATTGCAGCAACGTCATATAGCGTCTGTTTGAAAAGTTTCTAAAATGTTAATTTTAGGCTTGTGCAAATATTCGAATGCTTTGAATTGTAGGGTATTCGAATTTGCATTGATTAAAATTAAAATATTGAAAGTTTTGAAGTATTCGTAATGAATGTATAAATGTATATTAATCTGCATTTACTGCTTGTAAAGGTTGCTTAACTGCAGTGTAAGGGTGCTAAGCCGTGAGAGCACCTTTTCAGGGGAAATTGTTTCTGTCGCAAAGTTTTTTTTTTTTAATTTAAAGGGGCTCTGCAACATTTATTGAGCATAGTCAGAAAACGCTGCCTGATCAGTAGTCCCGGCTATCAAGAACACGGAGCCAAATATTATAGCGCAACGCGCCGCCTGCAATTCACAATAAATTTTCGAAAGTCAGCTGAAAATTGCTCTCTTCCCTCGGCAAGTGACACCACATGCTCAAACATCACTCGTAGAAAGCCGCCTATCAGCCATTGGCAGATTTGAGCATGGCGCGCTCAGTTCTTACTAAGGCCACTGCGGGAAGCCGCCACTTGTCCATGCATAAGTGCGAGGTCGCACTGAAGAGCCGTGTAATTCAACAAAAAAAAAAAGAGAGAGAGAGAGAGAGAGAGAGAATAGGGGCTCAAAGTCATGAGGCGCGCGTGATGCATTTTCTTTTCCTGTGCCATCCAGCGTGTTCGTCAGGACGAGAAGAGAGAATGCAATCGTAGTGTGCAACAAATCTTTGTAACTGCGCTTATACTGGACAAATTCTAAAATTTTTGTGGCGGTAAATTTGTGAGGCAATAAGCTTTTTTTGGTGAATTCATTCCAGGGCTACTTGAAAAAGTTTTGCAGTGCCTCTTCAAATGAACATATTACCCTCAAATCAATTCACTATTTCATTAAGCTTAAAAGCTCATTATGACAATTTATGTGCTCTTCAGTATGATAAATTTTTAAATGTTACGTATTTTACAGGTTATCACTCGCATCCTACCGAAAGTCAAATCCTGCTACTACTCAAAGTTGTTTTGACTTCCTTTGAACAAAAAAAAACGTTAATTGCACAGAGGCCCTATTTCAACTTTTAAAAAATATTGGCACGTTAGTTAGGTCATAATAATTATGCCCAATTTTCCTTATGTGCCATATATATACTCGAATTCGATCTGAAATTATTTGACCAAAATCACTATTCGCTTCAAACTTAAAATTTACTATTCACACAAGCCTAGAACCTAATTTTATAAATACTTCATTCAATATCAGTTTACCATTTTTTCAGCACTTTTCAACATGCTCTGGTTTAATGCACTGTTGCCAATGTTTCACCGAATTGTTGAAGGCACTCTGGAAGCCGCCAATGAGAACCTACTTCAGTGAGGTTGCCAGAGGTGCTTTGATTGTCTGCAGTGTCCCATGTTAAGTTCCTTTCAGGGTTCTTCTGATCTTTGGGGACAAAAAAAAAGATTTGGTGATCCCAGATCAAGGCTATACAGTGGCCGGAGCAGTGCGGCCACAGCCATTTTGGTCTGTTACTCGAAGACGATAAGTGCGGTGCGATTCCTTCTTCTCCCTCGTCAGGGCTTCTGGCAGCATTTTCGTGCTGACTTTCCTCATCAGAACATCCTTCTTCAAAACACAATTAACGATTGCTGTGAGTATTTCACACTCCTCAGCGATTATCGAATACCTAATCGCCGGTCCTTATTCAAAACTTGATGCACTTTCTGCATCGAATTGTCCATTAGTGATTTGTCCATTAGTGAATTGTTCATTAGTGAACTGGTCATCATCATTCAGAAACTCCAGACCTTCATGGAACTTCTTGTGCCGCATTAAAGTACGGCTTTGTTTCATCTTGTCACTGTAAGTTTTCTGAACGTTTCAAGAATCTCTGCCCTGTTTTTATACTGGCTCCAGTCAAAACTTGATTGCATGAGGCTGCTCCAAAAACACACCCATTTTTTTTTAGATGAGGGTGCTGTAGGCACCTTTGTGGAATGGCATTACCCACCTCGAGAACTGTTCACAGACAGCTGAAACTGGTCTTGTTTTGAAGCTTATGTCCCGTGCACCCGAAGCACTGCCGCCAAGGTAGGCGGCATTACCTACTACTGAAAAAACTTCCAGGAACTTTTGGGGCAGACCCTGTAAATGGCTCTGAATGATTGCCAGCACAGTTCTTCGTCTACTGGTAGTCATTATTATACTGGGATTGTAGGTGTATTTAATTATGAACATAATGTGCTGTGTCCTGTGTCAGCTGGTAGCCCCTTCCCAATCTTACCTAGTATGCTTTTTCGCATGACATGAATGTGTTGCGGCAAAAGCAACTTGAAGGGGAACTCAGGTGCATTTTTTATTATACTGAGATAATGCCGTTTTCAAATAGTATTGACAATCCTGCAACAGCTAGGGGGGCTCATTTTGTGCAGACACTCCACAATAATTTTAATTAAACAATGAATGACATTCAGTCAAAACAGGCACCGAAACAGGGAGCTGCTTCGGCCTCCAATGGTGGGTATCGGAGAACGTCACGAAATCCGTATCTGATGAAGTCATGAAATTCGCTATAGACCTCCACGGCAGGCTGGAGTGGAAAAATATCTCATGTGCCTCTTTTGATGTGTGAAAAACAAGTTGGGTATGTCACCCGACGCGGAATCAAGCCGTGCCAGCACGTCTGAACTCACCAGTGACAATTGCAGCTGCTGTCTGATCATAGAAGCATTGCCTTTTGATTTCGACCCGTCGGTGCGTGAAGCATCTGGTGTGCCCCGAATCAATCTCCTCGTTGCTCAATACTCTGCATGCTTACCCCTGTATTCAAAAATTCTCCTTGATTTAAACTTGACTTGCCAATGCTTTCAATGCAGCACAAACGTGTTTCAAACACGCTGGTTTAGGTGGTGCCAAGGCAGCACAAATGTTCAAGTCAAGAAGCATTTCTGAATATGGTGGTCTGTGTAAGCGCAGACATCAATGACAACTAACATGCTGTATGCAGCTGACAAAACTGAACTGTGCTCGCAGCGTCGTCGCCTCATAGAAGAAAGCACACACTGCATCCGTCTGCTCAGTATGGCGTGGTTTAGAAAAAGAGTAGGCACTTACGTCACATGCACAGGGTGGTCTTTGTTTACTAGTGTAATCCAAGACTTTGCTACTATTTTTTAAAATTGGTTTTCTTAATAACTAAGTGTCTTACAGTTGTATAATGTGGCACATATCATCACAGTGTTGATGAGAACTTATGTTAAAATTTTCTTTGAAACTGTGAATGTCGAAAGATCCATTGAGTTCCCCTTAAAAATCATTCTGCACTCTATAGATTAAGGTCAGACCGTATGCTTGTTTTTTCTTCCTAAGTCAAGATGGGATTGCTGGTACATATAATCTGGCTAGTTTGGCTGGTTTAATGCGTGTTAGCAGACAACCTGCTTCATTTAAATGTTCAGCTAGAAGTGACTCAAGACAGAAGATATATTCAGGTATGGGCAAGCAACCGGTATGAGTTAAGCAAATTAAAGCAGTGGAGCATGCTGAATCATGTGGATTTAAAATGCATCATAAGCATAGCAGGGCAACCAAAAATATGAAACTCATTTTATTTAGCCAAAAGTTCGAATTATCATGAGTCTACTGGGTAGAAAATTTCTTTACATTGAAGTTCGGAATCTTGAAGGTCTGACTGTATTATCAAAAAGGTGACTTTCTTTTATATGCATTTCCTTTGACTCAAACTGTCATTTTGTTCTGTGTGTGTGCAGAGAGCACCCCATATCGCCGGCACCTAGATTTTCCACCGCCTTCTGCACCTCCCCTCCGGCAGGCAACATTTCATACGCCTATGCGTACCAAGGTACCTGGAAGCTCCACTAAACGACAACCTAACATGTCAGCTGCGATGCTAGAGAGCACACGAATAGAGGACGACAGCATGGTTTCGTCTGACACCTACTTCGCAACGGTAAAAAACTTGTCACCTGTGCCCGAGCGTCCAACTCTACCGTTGACGTAAGTGATCGCAACATTTCCTAGTGACAACCTGTGTTGTGTGTGGTTCATTTGTGAAGCATATTGCATATTCCCTTTGAGACTGTTTCTACACAGCTGTGTGCACTGATTTTTATTTTGCTAGAGGAGTCTGTTGGTGGTTAGAAAAGTGCACGATTCATCGAATTTTTGGTGTATTAAAGGGACACTAAAGGCAACTATTAAGTCAATGGTGATTGTTTAAATAGCGGTTCATAAACCTCATAGTGTTACTTGTGTGCCAAGGTAAGGGCTTATTTTTAAAATTACGTTTTAGTGGCCCGCATTGGGTTGCACACTTCAATTTACCCACCTCAAAAAACAGACCATCTCACGTCACTGTTGCTGTGTACGACATTGCCCGGCTTTGCTGCACGGTCGCCGACACTAGTAGACAGAACGAAAACAGCAGGAAGCCACAGCAGCAACAATGGCTATTGATCAATTTCCTGTCATTGGCTCGAAAATGGCAGACGTGTTTTGGTGCAGCTGCGCCCAGCTAGATGGCACAACCTGTCAAGTGTAACTACGCAAATATTGAACTTTTGAACCACTCGTGCCATTTCCCATAGTAACGTCCAGCGATTCTTTTTTCCAAGAAACAAACAAACAAGTAGCATTTTATTGAGTCCTCTTGATGCACTGAAGGTTCTTTGTTTAGTGCAACTAGATCGACTACTAGTGATTAATTGTAGGTGGTTCCTCTGACGTCATTGGTATCATTTTGAGAATTTCCTACTGCGGCGCATGTATTCTTGTGCATTTACCTTAACTTCTCGGTAAGTAGAGCACTGCTGTTAATAATATTGTCATTTTAGCTGTTGTAATACACTCAGCTTTCTCTCTGATGTAAACTGTTATTTGACTTTAGTGTCCTTTAAGCTTCCTGTGTAACAATTGTGTCCTCATTTTACTTCATTTTTCTGTGTATTGATAAGTTTAGTCACTTTGCTAAAGGCACTACCATGTCTGGTTGGTATTTCGAAATGCCAGCTCCCACAAGTCAAGGCAAAAGTACAATTTTTCTTTACTCAGAATGACCATAACGAAAAAGAAATTTTCACTGTGTTTACATCCAAAGATTTGATTCTATTCATGAAAAAATAGAGCATGAATGAGTTCAGGGTAAAGTGATAATTAATTACAATTTAATGATGATTAATTTCTGCAACACATTTATTGGCATATTTTGACATTTTTGTTGACATAGATAAAATATTGAATGCCTTGAAATAATGTTGCATCTGTTTGACGCATTTACAGAGTGTTCTTCGCAGGTGACATCTCAAAAGTATAAGAATCTGTGAAAAGAAAGGTAAAACTAAAAACCAGAGTTTCAACAAAGAGGTAAAAAAAAGCATACTTTTGGCTGGCAGCATAAAACTGATAAAATGACTGCTTACATTCCCCATGAATTTAATTTCCACTGTCCACCTGAAGTAGGTTAGCACTTTTAACTGGTCAATTTGGATTGCCTCTTTCTGTTATGGGCCTTCGCTAGTTGCTCTGCTTCTTCGGTATGAATTAGTGCATAAGTTAGGCAGGGAGCATATGTAACTTTTTTGTTTACGTAAAATCTATATGCGTCATTGTGCTAGGCTCGTGCTGACGACGACTATGGCTGCCATGGAAACATACCAGTTGGCCATCTTTTATGAATTCTGCCTGCGTGATGAATACGTCACTTCAGTTACGACACCCCATGGAGCATTTTTCACTCTCTGCTGGCAGATTACAACTGATGGTGTCCATGGGCTTAGTATCAGGGCTACAGCAAGCAGTCCAGATTTTAATGGTCGAAAACACCAGTTAGTCATTCCTAGGCTGGGACACACAATGGCAGCAGGGGTTGTTTTGTAAATATCATGAAATATACAAAATCTGGAACTAGGAGAATTCTCACCACTAGGCATACATGCTACATGCAAGCAGGGAACGCACATTGAGAACATTAGTTTTAATGAGGAATAAGGTGACAGCAGTACATGGAATATGTATGGAAAAGAATGCTCGTGGACAGAAAGTGTTTGACTGTAGCTGAAAGGACAGTTACGTTTGTTCTAGCCATGGCAGGTTTACAAACAACCTGAATTTGTATACGGTCATTTACCCATAATCAGTGCATCTCATTAATTAGAACTTCTGGTTAATTCGAACTCACACTGAGGTCCCGTTAAAACTGTGTATTCCGTTGGGCGAAAGCGCCCTGTAATTCGAACTCGCAAGCACTTGAGACGGCTAATTCAAACATACCGCACTCCGAAAATGCTCTCAGCACCACGCCCAATCCCGCGGCGGCACCTGCGACACCTCAATGCTGCTGCGCGTGAAGGGGAAAAAAAAAAAGAAAGAAAAGACTGCGATGGAATGTTTGCCGACCTGCAACGCACCTGTGCCACGCTTCTCCCTTTTCCGTCCCTGCCACGTAAAGACCCTTCTCCTTTCAACCCCGCGGGCAAAAAGAGAGAGTGGAAAAAAGAAAGCTGTCGCTGAGTGTTGGCTCTCTCTCAAGCGCTGGTTCCACGCCTTCCCCTTTCCCGTCTCTGCCACGTAGACCCTTCTCCTTGAGACAAAACGTGCGAAGAGAGCAAAAAAAAAAACTGTTGTGGAGTGTTGGTTTTCTCTCAAATGCCGATCTGCTTCTCTCCCGCGTGGAGACGCCCCTCCTTCTCTCGTCATGTGCTGGCCACGCTACAGCTATTAGCAGAGATGCACTCGGTGTTGTCGTCTTTAGAGAGTGTCGGCGCTGGACATAGCCGCGCATAACTTCTTTTGCCAGGAGAATGCTGAAGTCTAAGTAGAAATGCTTTGCAAGCTGCATGCGAAATTGACTTGCTGCAAGGCAAATGTGTGCAGACGCGCATCACCGATTACTTTAATTAAGGACGGATGTCCTGTGATTCGGGAATAAATGTAAGTCTTCTGAAACTTCCCCCTCGTGTGTTAGCTCAATGCACATGCGCCACTGTATGGTTAGCCCTCCATTCTTTTAGCTTTCATTAATTCGAACTTCTTTTAATTTTAACGAATTTTCGGGCCCTTCGAGTTCAAAATATCGAGATTCGACTGTATTACTATCTGTGTGTAGTGGTACTCACAAGTTGTGACGGACGCCATTGGCTGCTTGCACTTCAGCTAGTAAATCTGAAATCCCATCGTGTAATGAAATATTCACATAAAAAATAGTTTAAGAAATTCCTGTTGTTAGCACCGCATTAATGATGCCTTCTCTTGTCTGCTTTTTCTCTCTGCTTTTGATATGTGAAACACCAAAATGCCTGACATTGGTTCATTTAATCACAAGTCACGTTCAATGAAAAGAAAGGAAATCCCAAATTCAGATCAAGGAACTGCCTACAATTATTACAGTAGACTCTCAGTAAACGGGAATCACTTAGATGGAAGTGGTGCTGAACTGGAATAACTACGGAATAACCGCATCTAATAATAAGATTGTTGCTCGAAACCCGACTTCAAGGAATCCTTGAGAGTGCTTTGTATTGCAGAAATCTCAACACGAAGCAGCCCTCAAGGATACCTCGAGGTAGAGTTTTGAGTTGAGGAGCAATTGTGAACGTGGCCCTCGGAAGTGTTCAGAGTATTGTGTGCCAAGCACGCTCGAAGGAATGTCTTGCTGCATCCTTTTGCATGACTCAGGCCACTCGTGGAAAGGCTCTGCCAACGGCTTGAGCCATCGTTGCGCCAGGACATCCAGAAGAAGATGGACACCCTCATGGCTCAGTCGATCCTGGAGACCACGTCCGCCACTGTGAGGGATCGCACACTGACCGTGGAGCAGCAGGCACTGGTGGACACACTGGACACCACACTGCAGGAGCGGAAGCGCAAGACTATGGACCACACGCCCTTGCAAGGTACATGTGTTTCAATGTTGTCCCAATATGTTTTGACAACGTGCTGTCAAATTTATCTAAAACTAATAAAAAGAGTGTGGGAGTTCTTTTTTGTGAGAATAGAGGCAAGCGAAGCTTGTTGTGTGTGCACCTGATGAACTACTCTTTTTTTTTTCCTTCATTCCTTCTCTCTTTTGTTTTTAATATATTGCTCAACACTCCCTCTAATTGTTCCCTTCTTCCATGTCAGAAATTGGATTGTCATCCAGGTGTTTAGCAACGAAACTACTGCAATTGATACAGCCAGCAGTGATGGCCATTTGTTCATGTCCAGGCAATACTGAAATATGGTGGCAATGCGACATGACTAATCTCAGTAAAAGATCAGGTTGCCATATCAGAGACAGCTGTTCGCCAATAAACACCTAATCGAGAGAGCATCAATTGTGACACGATGCATTCAAATAATCTCATAACAGGCGCTCCTTTGAGGGCTTATTTGTGTACACCCACGAACTATGCGAGCTGTTTCTAGAAATGTGTCCACTATTACTGAAATAATACAGAAAGGAGATATCTGCGTGTTACCTGTGGAATTTCCTTTAATCTTGCAGAAGGCATCTTCAGGTGCATACAAACATTAATTGTGGGAGTAATTATAGAATTTGATACAATTAGGTTTTTAACCAGTGGAAATAAGTGGTCAAGATAAATGGGCAAATTCCTTTTGCAAATAGTCCACAGCCATTTTAAAATTTCTGAAAGGCGGTCACTGGTAATTGCAGGGATTGGTGACATCTGGCTAATTTAGCAGGTGAAACCGAAACTGACGCACCAAACAGCACATCTACCATTCACTTCAAGAAGGCCCTCAGTGACGACACTGTTCCCCTTGCATCGGGGAAGGAGGATAAGCGAGTGTCGATGAACAGTCCTGTGGTAAGACAGTGTTGCCGCAACACAAAGTATGTAAATTCACGGTTGTTAATGGCGAGGGAAACTGTCGTCATTGAGAGTGATTTCGAAGTGAATGGTAGATGCACTCTTTGGTGCATCGGTTTCGGTTTCGCCTGCTAAATTAGCCAGATTTCATTACCCCACAAAAATTACCAGTGACCGCCTTAATGAAATTTCAAAGTAGCTGTGGACTATTCGCAAGGAGGACTTGAATTTGACTCGACTGCTTACTTTCACTGGTTAAAAAATAAACTTTATTAATTTCTATAATTACTGCCATAATTAATGCTTTACACACCTGCTTGCTACAGTAAAAAGAACACCACAGGTAGCACACAGATGTCTACTTTATGTAATTTTTCAATTGTAGTGGACACATTTCTTGAAACACTCTGCATGGTGGCAGCGGCACAGTGCGCAAAATATGCCACTGTGATGGAAACCTGCAACTCATAAAAGCTTTTCTTAAAGATCTAGTCAAGCTCAGCTTATAGCCACCGAATCCTAGGCTCGAAGCGTGTGCCAGTAGTTTATATGCACTACAACGCCCAGGACTTCTCAGCATCGGCAGCGTAAAACACACTGCTAGCCCATACTATACTTTAGTAATGAGAGTTATTATAGGATTATTTGGGTCCTTCATTTTCGGCAGTAGTAAAACAGTAAGTGCCATTTAGCTTACTTGTACACTTTCTTATTCACAGCTGCTTAATAATAGCTGAAATTTTTAAAATAAATTGAAGGATGTTCACTCAAGTCAGTCAGAGTTTTGTTTGTTCACATGCATTTTTGTGGCTGCTTAAGACTTCCATTAGTGTCAGTATAACTTCCATACAAAATTGTCATGGAACTTTGGAAAGAAAAATTGCACCAGGCACCATGCTTTCCTGATTTCAGCACATTGAGTTGCCGCAGGTTACCATTGGCGATGTTGTTTATTAACCTTGGGCGGCTCACTCGTTCATTCATCTGATTCAATATATTTTACATCATTTCTTATGTTTACCAGACACAACAAACACACCGACAACTGTGAAAAAAAGGAGGCCTTCTGGGTCTGGCTCGAAAGCCCGAAGAGGCTCATGGAAATCGTCTCCTGATCTGCAAAAAGCAAATCCTGGGAACAGCTCTCATTTGCAGAAGGAAAATGATTCCACGCATCTAGGGGCACCTCTAGACTATGTGGTGGGAGAAATTGCTGGTAAGTGTAATCACCAAGCAGGTAACTAAGTGGCCCTGCCATGCTTTTCTATGTAGTCAATAAATGACCACACTATCGCAGTTTATTGCCTCACAGGCTGACTGCCCCAAAAGTTTTCAAAATTTGTCAAGTACGGGTAGAGTTAAAGGGACCCTGAAACAGTTTTTTGATGTTTTGTTAGCATTTAGGCTAGAGCATCATCAAACCATTCACACTTACTCGAAATTTAGCAACATGCTGTCTACCACAACCGCTATGGACAATTATATTGCTACGTAGCTGATGTATCAGCGGTCAGAAGACGACAACGAGGAAGTGGTGTGTCGGTTGTCATACGTGGGGGACTGGCAGGCGGCTTCACACGATGAGGTTGCGGCCATGTTGGGCAGCCGGGTGAATCGCTGAGTAATACAGCGGCTTTTGGCATCTTAGAACCGCCGGCACTCTTTAATGATGGCGTCGACGGTGGCAACGTTGCTGTAAACTAGAAGATTAAATGCATCGCCTGCTATGCCTTTCAGCACATGGGCCACTTTCTCAGACTCACTCATGTGCTCGTCAATCTGGCGGCTTAGGGCGATGACGCCGTGAAGGTACGCGACGTACGACTCCGTCGACGTCTGTGCACGAGCCGCCAGTTGATTCTACGCTGCGATCTGCCGCCCAACGGTGTCGCCAAAAATGCCGCGGATCTTCTCTTTAAAGGAGTCCCAGCTCGTAATCTCCGCTTCGTGCGTCTCGATCCACACTCGCGGTGGGCCATCGAGGTAAAAAAGCACATTGGCAAGCATAAGAGTCGGGTCCCACCTATAGCTTGCGCAGACCCGTTCGTACCGGTTGATCCATTTGTCGACGTCAATGCCATTCTGACCGGAAAATACACCGGGATCACGAGCAGGAGGTAGAACGACGTATGTAGAAGTCACGGTAGGGGCAGGTGGCGAAGACGATGGTTGTTCAACCTGTGATATGGTTGGACCTATGACGATGCGGCCGTTGCGGAGCTTCGTGATGAAGACGGGGAAGTACCTAGCACGTCCACCACAAAGATGTTACGTAAAAATGACACGAGGCGTGTCTATTTAAAATCTATATTCAAACTGATGCGTATGGTGTCGACTAAGATGTAAGACAGCACGCACAACCGACAGACCACTTCCTCGTTGTCGTCTTCTGACCGCTGATACGTCAGCTACGTAGCAATATCATACCCTCCTCACTTTTGTTTTGCCTCCTCAACTCATGAGACACGCTGACATCGCTGGCGATCCTAGAGCTTTCATGAGCGCACTGGACGATTTGAGCTTTGCCCCATCTAGATCTTCAAGATTGTACGCCGACAAATTGCGCTCAGTCTCGGAGGCCATCCCACAGTGCGCCCGGCAGCACGCATGCCGTCTGGCAACGGAGACAAAGATCGCAGAGTGGTTGACAGCTGATCTTACTTCCGCGCCCATGCATTCCACAGCCAATCAGATCAGCAGCCTCGCTGACGTTGCATTACCAGAGCATGTCGTTCTGTGAATGTGCGGCTGAAAACATGTTTGGCTGAGTCACAGTCATCTGCGGCGACTTACAGCATTGTAATAAATTGCACAGTTTACGCAGGGAAATCCAAAATCTAGGTGGGAGCCAACAGATGGAAACAACGTAATGGAATAATCAGGGTGAACACTGGAAGTGCCTCAGACTGGCAGGCCAGCCAGTCTGAAGCACGTCCACTGTTTACCTTGATTATTCCATTACAGTTTACGCAGAGAGCTCAAGTCATTCTGTCGTCAAGTTGTCAAAACCGTTTCAGGGTCCTTTTGGAGATTTGTTCCAAGCATTAAGATCTCTTTATATAATTTTGTTCCAGCAAGTGCACTGAAATCTACGCACGAATGGGGGCGGGGGGGATATGAAGGAAGGTCTTTTTTTTCTTGCTTTTTTCGAATGTGCATGTGGCTAACGTTGCATACGGCTCACTTGCCTGCCTTGCTACGTGTTGCGCAGCAGGCGTGAGTGTCGTGGCACATTGCGGCAGCTGTGGTAACTAGTAAGCTTATGCGAATATTTGAATGCTTCCAATATTCGAACGAATAGTTTAGTATTCGAATTGCTTCGATTCGAATTTAAATTATCGAATATTTTTGAAGTATTCGCAATGAACGAATAAATGTACATTGATCCGCATGTCACTGCCTGTAAAGGTGGTTTCATTGCAATGTAGGAATGCAAAACCGTGAAAGCACATATTTAAAAAAAATTTGCTTTGCCGCGAAGCCCCTCTTCAAATTTAAAGGGGCCCTGAAAAACTTATTAAACATGGTCAGAAAACGCTGCCGATCGGTAGTCGAGGCTACCGAGAACACGTGAGGCAAATATTGCAGTGCAGCATGCGGCCTGTAATTCACAATAAATTTTCAACGCTAAAAATTGCTTTCTTCCCTCGGCAAATGACACTACAAGCTCAAAAATCGCATGTCACAGCCAAGAAGGAATACGGCTCTAGTCACAGTCATTTGCTGATTTGAGCATGGTGCGCTCGTCGTTACCGGGACCGCCGCGGGAGGCCACCGCTTGTCCACGAGTATGTGCACGATCACACTGAAAATCTGCGTATTCGAAGGAAAAAGGGGTGCTCAAGGTCACGAGGTGCATTTGACGTATTTTCTTTTGCCATGCCATTTCTCCCTGCTTATTTTCCAGCTATTTTGTCGGGATAAGAAGAGAGAATGCAATTGCAGCATGTGACAAATTTTTGGAACTCCGCTTGTACTGAACTGACTCTAGAAACTTTGCGGCGGTAAATTTCTGAGGCAACAAGCATGTTTACTGGCTCCATGCCTACTTGAAAAAGTGTTGCAGGGCCCCTTTAAAGAAACATGTGACCCTCAAATCAATTAATTTTAATTAAGCTTGTTATGACGGCTTATATGCTCCAAGTATAATAAATTTTAAAATGTTAAGTATCTTACAGGTTATCACTTGCATCCTACCGAAACTACTGCTCTAGGTTGTTTCGTCTTCCTTTGAATGAAAAAGAAATGGCATTTGCATAGCATCCCTATTTCAATTCAAAAGAAATATTGTGCCGGCTTAGGTTTTGATAAATATTTTTTTTTTATGTCGTACATACCATTCGAATTCGCTTCGAACCTAAAATTCACAATTTGCACAAGCCTAGTAACTAGGCAGCTCGTGGTGTTCAACCCAGTCAATGGGCCATGTGTTTTAAGTATGTGATGAATTTGATTTGGTTTTAGGGCGTCGTTTGTCGAAAAAAAAGCGAGCGATTTCTCACTATGTTTGAACTTTAAATATTCCCTGTTTGGCTATAATGTTTGGCTCACTTGCTAACGGGAGCACTGACCGTTGCTATTTTTTTTTCTATATACATGATTGACAATATTAAGATCTCCATTTGCATGTGACCAGTAATTATTCCTTGTTCCGTGATTTTATTAAATGGAACTTTAGGAACAAGAGTTCTATATTAGCAATTAGCCTTGACAGCACAGTCTTTATATTACATCGATCCCTAAGAAGGAGCTCAATTGTGAAGAGGAAATTTGCGGAAGAATAAAGATGGGCTGGAGAGCATCCACTGGACATTTTCAAAAATATGACTGGTAGTCTGCCACTGTTTCTAAGGTGAAAAGTTTAAAATTACTTTACAATTGTCCTGTAGTTTATAATTGTTTCCATATTTGGGGCTCAAACTTGGGGGATAACAAAGAAACTAGAAAAAGAGTTAAGCACCACCCAGTGTGTAGTGGAATGGAAAATGATAGGCATAACATTAAGAGATTGAAAGGAGCAAAATGGGTTGGAGAACAGATGGGGGTAGCAGATGTCCTAGTCAACGTCAAGCGATAAAAATGGATGGGGATGGGCCACGTAATGCGTTGGAAAAACAACCGTTGGTAAGTTGGGGCAATGGAAAGGATACCAAGGCACAAGAAATGTAGCCGAGGAAGGCAGCGAGCTGGATAACGGGATGAAAACAAGAAGCACTCTAGCAAAGCATCCCTCAGTTTCTCAGTACCCAGAGTTAAACTTTTTTGTAGCTGTAATTTTCATCGCATTTGTTTTGTTTCATCGTGCACACTATACAAAGTGGTATTTGCCTCCTAGAATGCTTCTTGTCAGCATTTTTATCAATTCACACCTAGAAAAGTTGCTCTTTCTTTTTTGCACAGTCCCTATGCCAGATGCTCAAGAACAGGCGTCCCCCGTGGCCACTGAAGCTGTGGCGCCGCACAAGAGAAAGTCCGTCTTCGTGGCACCTAAGACACCACAGTCCTGCATTGCCTCTCGCACACGACGTAGGACAACTGTGTTCTACCAGAGACCTGCAGAAATACTGACGCCTGCACCAAAAGTGGCCCCCAGGAAGAGCACTTGCCGTAAATGTCGTGAGTGCCCCTTGTTCTTGTTTTTTATTGTTTTTTGGTTTGTGTGTGTTTGCTTTTTGTTTTTGTTCTTCCTATTTGCACTCGATGGCCTTGTGTGCTTTGCACACCACTTAAGTGGAATGCATTGCTGAAGTACACTTCACTGTAGCGCAAAATAGATTTGGTGAAAAGGAAGGGAGCAGAAAGAGAAAGAAGGTGATCGGCGCTTCACCTTATCCTCTTCTGCTCCCCTCCTTTTCACGAAATTCAGTTGTGCTGCCAAAGTAAAGTGTAAGTACTTTAGCAATTTAAGCACTAACTCGCCCAAAACGAAGTCCTCTTGAAATGGGATGCAGCCACTACCCAAACACTCTTCAATTTGTTGCACCATATGTTTTGGGTGGCGGTAGGCATGCAGCCCACAGAACAATCACCAAATGAATTGAATCATAGTCTAGTTGGTACATATCCTTGAGTACTAGGCTTGCCCAGCACAAATAAATGGGGACAAGAAGGAACACGAAGATGGCGTCCCTTCTTGTCTGTGTTTATCGGTACTGCATCAACTTAGTACGTAATACAATTCGATATGTACCAACTAAATTTGTTGGTAAGCTTTTTCGTCACCATGCCAACTGGGAAGCTGTTCTTAGTCGAGGCTTCCCTGTGTGATGGCGTAGGGCTGATCACGTGGTGGCGCATTGTGGCGAGAGAGAGGCTCCATAGGAACGATAGGGTTATGCCTTGCAGAGTGTGTCAGGGGGGAAGCTTGATGGGTGAACCGATGTGTGGTGCGCCAGGAAAGGTGTGAGTAACGCTTTGCGGAAAGAATGAACAAATGAGAGGTGCGAGGGTGAGGGGCCATGAGGAGAGCCTTGACAGGTGAACAAATGACTGGTGTGCCAGGAAGAGAATGAGTACCTAAGGCCTCGTTGAAAGTGTGCAAAAATGGGAGGTGCACCAGGAGAGGTGTAAGTGAGACTCAACGACTCAACAAAGGAATCCAGCCATTTCGCAAGTAGCACTCCAATGAGTGTCTCGGTGGAGTGTAGAGGAGGGCACTGGTTCTTTGTGAGTTTGCACTTTCATATTGAACAAAGACTGTTCCTGAAGAACAAGCCACCTGACTTGAACGTCAGTGAGAGTTGATGCGGAAGTGGGCATGCTGCACCTAGACAACCGCGATAGGAGATGCTGAAGCTAAAGACCAATGAAGGGAAGACATGATAAACGTAAAACTACTATGACCCGATGAAGGGGACGCATCAGCTGCGCTGTTTTGGTAGTGTTTGCTAAGTGGACCTGGCTAGATTTTTGTTTATTTTCTCCCTCATCTTCGATTATTTCAAGAGAATAAATACGTTCCTGCTAAATTTGTGAGTGAGGATTTGTCTGCCAGAACCACACCACGTCATTTTCGTGTGCCCTGCTTTAGTTTACTTGTGCTGCACCAATTTAGGGCTCAATAACGGTCACATTTCTGGATTGTGAACTTGTCGAACAAATGACAGCTGCCGTTGGATCACAGTACTTCGACACGCTTACATACTAGGAATAGCGGAGGCTCTTCGCACTCAAAAGTGCAGCTTGGTGTAGCTCTGGTCAACAGTATGGTGGTGAACGAAGAAGAGTGTTCTGTTCTCTACTACAGCAGGGTGGTCGTGGCTTTGAGTGAAGGCACCAAGCAACTGTGTTCACATGGCCCTCTCACTGCAGTTTTCTTTTTCTTTTTTTCAGACAGCTTGCAGATCGCAATCTGCTGTGCATGTTGAAAGGTGCCGTTGAAGGTTCTCCTTCACATTGCATCATGTAGGTACTTGGCTCGCCACCGCGGTGTAGCTCAGTAGTTATGGTGCTTGGCTGCTGAACAGGAAGATGTGGATCCAGCCTTGGCCATGCCAATAGCGTTACGATGGAGGCGAAATAATAATGATTGTTGGGGTTTAACGTAACCACTAGACCACCGCAGCGGGTGATGGAGGCAAAATTCTAGTCGTTCGTAGACTGCTCAGAGTCAGTGCTTGCTAAGTAAATGCAGGTGGTCGACATTACCAGAGCTCACAGCTCTGACGTGCCTCGTTTTGTGTAAGTGCATGTAAACACCCCACAAATTATAATTGGTACTATGTAGTTGTGTATAGTGACAGTGGCATGGTACTTCGAACTACATATATGGCAAGTCCAAGTCTCTAAGCAAATGAGTTTTACTTGTGTGCTGCAGACAAGAAGCCAACAGCACCAGTACCAATATCTACTCCCAGGAGTGCACAAGCTGCTCACAACAAGACTGTGCTGAAGCTCCTCAACTCAGCTTCCGAGAAGAGCCTCCAGTTGCTGGCAAAAGTTGGCCCCAAAAGGGCACGAGTAAGCAGACGCGAAGTCTTTTTTTTTTTTTTTGATGTCGCACGTAGGTTGTGTAGTAACCTTCATACCTGAACAGAGTTCTTAATTTAGTTCTCATAGTCCTATCTCTGTATTGTGTGGCTATCGCATTTCTAGTGTGACAGTGTTGCACAGCACAGTTAATGCCAGATTCTTTTTTTATACTGTTTAGGGATTGAAACATTAAATTAAAAGCAAATGTACGCTTCTTTCATTGCCCTCTAGGGCTCAATTAGCCATAGAAATATCAAAAAGAGCTTTGAAGGCCTGTCAGCGCGCTTATTAGACGTCTTCATGCTTGGCTGATAAAAGTCTTGCAAGACAGATATAGGGACACACACATCATTCGCAAAAGATCAATCGCTGATATCACCTAAAATATGTATGTTCTAAATCAAACTTCACGCATCTTCATGCAAAAAGCAGCACCTAGCAAGATCATCATCATCTTAGTTGGAATGTAAACAACCAAAAACTATGTACATCGTAAGTTTGTGATTGCTGCCATGCCAGCACAGACTGACTTCTGAACTCGTGAATACGGTACTCGCGTATTCGTGATGCCACGTGTAACCTGTGTGGCCGGTGCATCCTTGTTACACATGTTAATATATGTGTTACGTGTGCGGCACACGTTATACGCATAACACATGTTGCATGTGGCCTGCTGTGGCCACCTGCGTTCACGTACAAATTGCGCTAAGTCCCACCTCTCTCAGCATTATCAAGAACTATAACTGTGACTGGGAGCTTCAAAAATGTCTCTAAATAATTAACCAGTCATGTGCTTGAGCACACAAGGTTTCTAGCTGTGATAAGTGGGTCGTTAGTGACTTAATGCAACCGAAAAAAAATAATATAAAATTTTTGTAATAGGCACTTCTTCAAAGTACATGATCTCCTTCATTTGAGAGTGGTTCCTCGTTATTTTTATTCCAGGCAGTTCGGGCCAGAGGGCTACTGAAGTAAGATACCCTCCCACGTTCACTCACTAGCCCACCTAATAAACGTTTTTTCTCTCTCTCTCATAGCACAATATGTTGTGCATGCTTGACTGTGCAACATTTCCAGCACTGTGGTGAAGCTGGCTTTTACCAACTGTTACGACTGCCAAGGAAATCGTGCGCAAAAATCTAGTTTGAGGCTGTGAGATAGCCATGTCGGCAATGGCCAATTTGATTAACGCCTCTTTGGAAGTGGGAGTGAGAAAGATGGTAGAAGATCTAAGAAGTTTGATGACAAAGTGTTTCAGCATTCAGAATTTTAGACACCCTCGTACATTGACCCTGGAGAGTGCATAGCAGTAGGTGTTCAAATTATTGCTCACATCCAAGAAAGAAAAAAAAGAAATCTGGCATCTGTGAAATCTGTAGTGGTCTGCAAAGCTTTGCACATAAGGAACACTTTTTGGCTGATAAGCCGCACAGTCTGTACAAATGGTTTAAAGAAAACTGTGATGCTCTCGAGAAACCAAGATGCTGACTACATTCCATTCAATGCAAGTCATCATCCCAGCTTTAGTTTAATGCAGCACTTTATCATACAATTAAGTCGAATGCTTATTGTTTAGCTCAGCTTCTTTGGGCAAGTGTGAATGACTAAATCAATCCCTCCAGGTCCTTGTAAACCTCCTGAAAGACTTGTTGGATCTAGACTAGAGATAAAACCCTGCAAGCAACAAATTACACTTCTGCATATACAGTCGTTAATGCACCATTGCTTACCTGCTGTTGTGGTGGTATCATAATTGTCAAGGTCTTTCATGAGAAAGCTGTTGAAAGGCTATGCAGAATGCAAGTTTATGGAACAGTCAGTGCGTATCAGAAAATATGACATGAGAGGCAAAAAATGATTGTGTAATTACTTTCAGTAGTCAAAAATGCTTACTTTTGTGTGTAAATTTTATACAGAAAATTAAGGCGAGTAATTTTGAGACCAATGTCTTCTATAGTATAGCATTGATATGCACAAACTTGCATGTATAATATGGCACCGATATACAACATATATCAGTTACTAAGGGGAGATGCAATTAAAAAAAATATCGTGTTAATCTGTAGTCTAAGGCAATAAAATTTTCGCTGCATGTATAGACGTTTATGCAGATATGAAATATGTAATTATTTTTATAGTAAATTGTACAGTTTTCGTTTTATGTCATGACTGTATGTAAAGTATAGTTTGTTTTAGACAAACTTTTATGCCATCATACTTTCATGGTTCTGAGCCATTATTAGCTCATATTGCACAACATTAACTGCAGAATGCAAATAACTAATAAGAAAGTGCATTAAGACAATAATAGACAAGCGAAATTGTAATGGGAGAATTTTTAAAATCCTCAGCCCATACTAATTGCTTACTTTGGGTTTGTAATAATTATATAGGCGATAACAAGTCTTAAAGAAGATATTTGACTCCCTTCACATGTTAAGGATTATGTTGACAATATTTCATCCCGATCGGGCTATCAGGAGTACCAAAACTTGATGTCCGAGCTCAAGAAATTGCCCAAACATGGATTTTCAGAAAAATGCATCTTAAAAGTATAAGTGAAAGCTCATCTACGTAGAAAAAGTATGTTTTTAGGATGGTTTCTTCTATCATAAGAGCTTGACAACTATGCTTATTTTGAGCATGTGGCTTCACTGAACTTCTCGTGCAAAATGCACTGGCAAGCAGCCAGGTGATGATTACCAGGGAACTCTAGACAATGTGCTCTTAGTTTTTATTAGTCCACCTTGTGCTCTTTAAAAGTGATTTTAACCTACTTCAAGATGAATTACAATCTTCAGCTTTTTGTCGTGAAAGTAGAGAAAGTAAACTTGTGAAAGCAATGAAAAAAAAATGTAATTTTAGAAAAAAAGAACTTGCGTTCTTGACTCTCATCTCCCCTTGAACTACTTTTTCCGGCTTTCAACTGTAATGTCGGTGAACATTCGTTGCCAAGATGGAATGAACTTTCGGTAGCTTGGTAACCATTGATTGGTTCTAAAACTTTCCGTTAAAGTGCCTGTGCTATATTTCATATATAAGTGTGCTTTCCCGGTCTTTCGTTACAGATGCTGTGCTTGCACAGGAGCCTGCGTGGTCCATTTGAGACCTTTGAGGACCTGCGAAAGGTTGAGGGCCTTGGAGGAGAGAATTTTTTCAGAGCTTTTATGTCGGCCAACATCTTGACGTAATCGGGAAGCCTTCATGAGCGTTTTCTTTATATATAAATATGTTTTAGTGTGTTTTGTTTTATCATGTTTTTGAAACTGCTATCTTGATATTTTAGCTATACATGCACATAATCAGCAGACAGGAAAGGATAACATTTTCTATTGTAGAAGACACGCCGTCGTGCAGCTTTACACACGACACGGTAAATGTTCAATACAAGAGACTCGGGGCCCTACAAAACGCCAGGCCTGCATAGAATGCAGTGCAGTCATAGCATAAGCTAGAGACTAAAGTCTGTTGTGAGCCTTCTTAGGGCACCTAGTGCAAGCACTGTTGCAAAGCACACACCCCTCCCCCTTATTCATAATTCACCATCTGTTTGCAATGCAGCCGAGTACCTACTATATACCTGCCACCTCTCTCAATTTGTTTAGGACACTCCCGAATATTGAGCAGTTCTCTGGACGCCAGTACCTGAAACTGCTGGAGGTCATCCATGCATTCAAGTTTGCTTCTTGTGTTACGGCAGTGTGACGCTAGTGGCCAAAACAATGAGGTCATTTTCACTTTAACTTCCGATCGCAGGGAGGCAGTCCTCAATTGTTGATGTATCGCAACAAAAACAATGCCAATTTGTTGCTTCGACTATTTCCTGGCATAGCATGCATTGCACATAAATTACATGGTCTTTCCTGGCCTCACTTTATAAAATAAACTGCTCTAGTCTGTGTACAACGCTTTGGCATGTCTGTGGATTCGCTGAGGTAGTTTACTCTTCATGTGGGTACACATTCTGCATCAACTGAATAACCTTCTTGTCAGATGTATTTAAACGAGATTCTATCGCACGTTTTGAAGCCATGTAGGCATCCTTCTCTACTTTTGGAGTAGACACAATTGAAATGGAGCGCTAGCCGTTTAGTACACTTCAGGAGCAGTGTATCATTCAGTGGAATGCTTTCTGCCAGTGTGTCTCGCAGACACAACAGTGAAGCTTCCTTCATTTCTAGGTATCTGTCCCCTTTCCCATTCAGAAGTTTTGTTTGTCTCGCCAAGAGTCTATACTAGTTTTGTTGTTTTAAGGAGGCAGACTGGTCTTAGACATTTTTTTGTTTATTTCTTCAGTGATCCTGATCAATCTGCACAGGGTTATGCAGTTTTTTTCTGCTGATTTTGAATGTTTAATTAGTTTTCTTATAACTGATCTGGTTCCTGAGATAACTTAGTTCACCCCCTATTATTTGAGGCTGCCATAGAAAAAAAGTGCTTAATTAAAAGTGATATTTAGATAAGCCAACATAGACTAATGACTATAAATTGAAAGTATGCAAGAGTTTTTTGTTGTTGTCTTTAGGCCTTTCTTGATTATTTTACAGCAAAATGAACTATTCATTTTCAAAAACAGTTGGAATTGTGTTACTATTTTGATGACTAATTAATTAAAAAGGCTTGGGCTCTAAATCCTGCTCCCATACCTGCACTCTACACACATACAGGTTTCCATTCCAAAAAAGAATTATTATTGTACCTGCCCTAGCTGCAGAAAAATTGAGGCCTCAAAATTGAACAGTCGTAAATTTACGTATTTGAGAAAACTGGAAAAAACTGATTACATCGTGTGTCTTCAAAAAACACCAATCATGGTGTGCATGTTTTGCAATGCTCATAAAGGGGCTCATAAATTGGTAGTAGAGCTTTGAACACAGGTGTTGGCAAATTATAAAGAAGCCTCGAAGCTAGTTCCCCATTTTTTTGCAGGTTCTGCATGTTAACAGTGCCAAGAATCTGGACAGTTAGAATGACATTACAAGAAAATTATCACTTTCTGGTGTGTGAAAATTTGCAGAGAGATAGAAAAATACTTGCAGAAACCAAATATGTCAATTTTGAAAACATGAATTTTTTGTCTTTTTTTGGTCCCAAAGACCAGTCTGCCCCTTAAGGCCAAGTCACAGTTTTTCACAATGGTGTTCAGTCTTTCGGGAAAGTTCGAACTTCTCCGCAGACGTCGTTAGTATCTGTCTAAAGCCTACATCCTTGATGATTCCCATTTTATCCAGAAGAGATATCTACTTTTGTTTGGCTGATGTCTCAAACACTTCACCTCACCAGTGCTGTGTTTGAAAGGGATTGTATTAATGATAATAGTAAGAGTAGTAATAATAATTGATTGGTTTGAACATCCCAGAACCACGATATGATTGAGAGGTGCCTTAGTAGAAGGCTTTGGTAATTTCGATCCACCTGGGGTTCATTAACGTGCACCTAAATCTAAGCACACGGGCCACGAAAGATTGTGTGAAGTAGCAGCCATACATGCTACTTCATACGCATCATTGGCAAAAAAAAAAAAAGAAACAAAAAAATACTGGCATAGTGGTTTTTGCATTTTTGGTGTTTTGGCAGATAAACGGTTGCATTTGTTTTGGTGTTTTGTAATTCCAGCTGTCTTTTATGCAGTGCTGTTTAGATAGCGAACATATGAATACCAACCAAACCATTTTTAAAATGTCTCTTGTAACTGAGTGTCTCTCGTAACTGGGTCCCTCTCATCAAGATTTAACTGTATTAACAGTAGAACGAATTTGCAGGGTTATTCATTCTTTGAATTCTCATCTCGCACGTATGTAGGAGTCTAGTAAACCGTACTTATTATGACATTGTATTTATCACATGGTTCACTTACACCTGTTTATATCACAGATCCTTGCACTATGTCTCATGACTTCAAGAGAGCACCTGTGACAAAAAAAGAATAAATAAATGAAGAGAACAAAGAATTCTAGAATGTTCAAAGATTCATGCCAAAAAGTACTTTACCTTGGAGTCTCTTTGCAGCCTGAAGGGGCCCTGCAAAACTTTTTGGATATATTGCCCCAATCCCACTACTGCCTTATGGCAGTCTGAAAATGCTGATAATCTGTAGTCAAGGCTCTTGCAAAAGTGAAAAGGGCAAGTATGTACTAGTACTATTGCACTGGATGAAGGAGTTTACAATGCTGTTTCAAAAATTGCCTAGTGTCCCTTGTTCTATCTTCAATGATAACATCATTAACAATACTGGCAGTGGGCACAACTGATACTGGTTGATTTAATGTATGGTGCACCGATGGAAGACATTGGGCCGAGTCCTGTGGGATCCGCTGTCACGCTCCAGGTGCTGCCATGTGCTTGCACCACGCACGTCTGTACTAGAAGTGGCCAATATGGATGAAAATAGGGGGGGTGGAGAAAGTTTTTCAAGGCTGTCAATAGCCTATTATTTGAGTGCAAGTAAGGACAAGCTCACGAAATACACACAGGACACACGAGCACATGTGTTTCCTGTGTGTCTCGTGTCCTTGTTGTTCCTTGTGCTCAGAAAACGATTCATTCAATATGCACCAACAAGCCAACTTTAGCACACTATTTGACTTCAGCTCTCTGATCCACAGTGATGTAGTATCTCGGTTGTGCATCACACCCCTGCCATTCCCCCCCTCCATGTGGAGCCTAGTTTGTGTCAACAGTGATGAATGGAGAGAGAAAGCAGTCGTTCTGTGTGATGGCTGCTTACACTACACAAACTGGAATTGGCAGCTGGAGATTCCTGCAATAGTAAACTGATTTCATAACTTATAAATATGTTGCAGGGCCCCCTTTTCAGGAAAACTGGAATTAAGTGCTGCAAGTATATAATTCAGTATATCCCAATATTTTTTCTTATACATACATTGAAGAAAAAAGTGAAAGATACAAGCGAGGAAAGTTAAGGTGACATTAATTGTGTAACTTCTGTATTTTACTTCATGACTTGAGCTCACTGCTCTCTTGTGGCTGTACATATTTCGGGATGTCATGGTTTCTTATTCATAAGCATTTTATCAGACCAACACAAAGGGCATTTTTTGTGAGCTGTTTTGTTTTGCTGCACCATTCTTGTCCTTGCTTTTTTTTTATACATACTCAACCGTTACGACCTTCACTGAATTAATCTTTGTGCTTTTGTTTGTATAGTTTCATATCTGCTTTCGTTCGTACATGCCGGATGTAGTTAGTTTGAAAGGCTACGTACATTTTGTGTTTGTATTACTGCGTCTCGTTTGTACCTTTCTTTTCTGTGTTTTACATGTTTATTATGTTTCATATGCTTTACATGAAAATTCATGATATACATAGTTATATATTATTCATTGTACGAATACCCTGACGCGTGCACTGATGTGTCCATGATGGCTGCACTTAAAATGGCCAATAAACAGACGTGTGTAAAGAATGAAATGCAGAGGATCCTGCACACTCTGCAGTATATCAGAAGTCTGGGTCACTCTCACAGCTGTGCAGAGTTGCCATAAATTAAGTGGAGAGCAAACATTTCTTTCTTACCACTGCTTTGTCTATGTGTGCTGTCCTGCATATGCTAGTGGGACACTAGTGAAAATAAGCTTTATTTTCAATAAAAAGAATTTCGACCCTACCTGCCTGTTCTTGTTGTTGTAGCAATAAAGTCTCGGTATGGTATGAAACTGTGAAATGTTCTGTTGATTTGAATATGTGTGTGTTGGTGCAGTGTGTAACTGCACAAGCACACATTGCTATAATATAAACAAGTGGCACAAACCATTGCATTTCTTATGCAAGCTGCTACATGACAAGCGAGGATGTTCCAAGCATGGAGCCCAATAAGGCTAGCGTGGTTAACATCTTCACAAGTTCTTATATAGAAGTTAGGCAATTATGTTGAAGCAGAAAAGTTTTACTGAACCATAAGCTGGCAGTCAGTAGCTACTAAGCCAGTTGCAAAAAATGAAGAACGAGACCAAAAGTGATCCTAATTCGATGCAGTGCTTCTAGTTATATATGGCAGTTTTCGTTAGTAATTGACCGTGAATCAGTGATCGAGGCACTGGAACCAGGCATACCAAATTTTTTTGGAAGAAATGTACAATAATTGCACATCTAAAGCTTTGTCCAATTTTTTTTACACAGCCATTTGTAGGCGGCTAATGCCAGGTTAGCATCACGTTACTGTACTGCACAAATGTTGTGCATGTAAAAAAATGTCCAACTCCTTTGTGTGAGTCTCTAGACTACCTCGATGGCGAGGAGGGTCTTTCAACTCTTAGGTATATTCGTGTGTGCATGTGTGTGCATTTATACACTCATACAAATAGTAAAACTTTGGGGAGGTGTTGGGTCGATCACCCTTTTAAAACAGCCCCCTGGATAGGCACTGTCAGAAACTGCACAAAGCAATGAGACAATTCTTGCAAATCTTGAAGCTGGTCATGTTCAAGTGATTAATGTGTTGATGCAAGACACAAATCGTGAAAAGGAAATCCTCTTGCTGGTATGTTTTTGTCCCTTTGTACGATGCGGATTGCAGACCAATATTTTTTTCTCTACTGCCATTGAACAGTGAGTGCAAGCTTTTACAAGTCCTCGTATCAATAAAAACTCTTCTCTATTCAGCTCTCGATTAAGTTTACTCACTCTGATCAATCGGTAATGTAGTCTGTTGCATGCAAATGATTACTCGAAAAAGTAATTTAATTAAAAGTGTGCATTGATGGTTGAACATTGTTCAATTACACAATTACTGAAACGGAGTTCATCACGTGTACAAACTATATGTAGGTTTGCTGTGTGACGTGGATAAGCGGAGCGCACATCGTACTTTGTGATACACGCCGTTGTGCACATGGTTTTCACTGCGATGCCAATTCCTTGCTGCGGACGCACATTCCGTCACGGAAGCGACCATCAACGGCGCACGCCAGGGCAGCGCGCGTGGCGGCTGTGAAAGGCGCTAAAGAAGCTCTGCAAAAAAAAAAAAAAAAAAAAAACTTTGTATACATTTTTTCGTTTAGGTAAAATTGTTCGTTCGCATAAGATTCATACAACGGATCGATGGTAAGATTACTGTTACTCCACTTTACCCCTGGTCTTTTGCATGACGTGCCAGTTTAATTGTTCGGCGCATTTGAACCATGAAAAAAAATTTTTTTGACTGTACAGGACCGTTAAAAGAACCTACTCCATAAGGTAGGAGAGCTGTATATTTGCAGAGAAGTAACTGTAGACTTATCTTGAAAAAAGCCCAAAGTAATGTCACCTAACGATAGCCTAAAATGAAACCAAAACTACACAAAGCGCAACTTATGTTTATTTAAAAAAATTGATTACAATTTGCTTGAATAAAAATTAATAATGTGTTTTTTGTTTTATTGTGTAATGTTTATTTTGTGCAGCGTTATGAGTTCGAAACTTACACGGATCTAGTCGAGCCAAGGGTCATCGCCGTCTTCACCTGGCCGTTCGGGGCGCCCTCGTACGCTCTGTCCTGTTTTGAAGCGCTGCGTACTTTGCGTGTTTTACGGGATTGACCCGTATTTGCCAAGAAACAGAGCGCACATTAAAGGATAATAAAGTTTCAAGCCCAGTGCCATTATCTGACGCCTCCGGTGAGTTCCTTTTACGGTGTCGCGCAGCCTGAAACGTACGGCTGCTGGTTGTCTCGCCTGCAAGTGCGGCTCCATCCTAGGCCTGATTCTCATTAAAAATAAACCGAATAAAATTGCCTCTTTCTCATTGCTCTTGCTAATCCGCTCTGTTCGAGTTGTACAGATTGATCGCCGTGCGCCAACTTTAATTGGGCAGCATGCGGAGATGAGTAATGTGGCCCGTATTAGCTTTTCTTTATTTACTTTTTTGTTGTTGGGGTCTTCATGGTCTATTCTGTCCTGTTGTAGATATCCATCAAAACTCTTTTCTGGCATTAAGCAGCGTCTCTACTTCACATGCCACGTTGTGACGGAGAAACATACGCAAAGAGAACAAGATGTTATCTTTTTTTTGTCTTGTTTTAGCGTGCCTGCTTACAGCGCGGTTGAAAGCAAAGGCCATGAAAATTAAACCATATAAATTATAGCTGTTCCTTGCTTTCTTTTCCCTCGAAAGCGGCTCCCTAAATCCGAGTTTTTTCGATTCCTAGGACTGGCAAGGACAATCTAAGGTTACGCTTGACGACAGTAGTGTAATATTTGTGAAGTTGTCATCTGTGTCATTTCCGACGCAGTTCACGTAAACTCGAGGTCATGCTGATGCATTGAACCTATGTTACAAAGCGTATTCTCAGAGCAACTTTTCTCTTGTGCCCGCGAGGCAGCTCACGCCATCTCCCACCGTTCGAGTTAACATTAGGCGCGAAATGCAGAGTCAACAATATCTGTTAATTCAGTATTTGTAGCTTCAGGGTGACTAGCGTAGGTAGCCTCCGATAGCATTGTTTACGACTTGGCAAGCGCATAGATTTGTGTAAGTTTTGTAGCAGTGGAACGACTGGATTAGATTAGTTTAGGTTAAATGAAAGACAGAAGAAGGACTGAGACATTCTGAAATCACAAAAGCCACAAACGCATTGCACGCTCTCATCTGGCAGATGTGTCGCATACACTTCCTTTACACTACTTGACTTGACTTATGGCTCCCAAAGCTTGGCACAGCTGCCCTTTGTTCTACGAGAAGTGTGAATTCTATAACCTGGCATTGCTGCTCTAATTGTCGTCCTTAATTAAGCCAAGCTGCAGTTATATCAAACATTGCATTGACAGAAGAGCTTGGCGAGTGTCTTGGAGAGTGTCTTGCTAACTTTCTGCAAAATTGAAGAAATCATTCCATGAGTCACAACTTGACATGAACGATAAAGGGGTCAATAATTACCCTTCCATAAAGGGCTCCGAACCCCGCCAAGGTTGAAATTTAGTTGTTGTGTTGCAGTTGTGCATGAGTCGTTAACAAATGTGCTGCTGGAAAAACTTTTCTAAATGGTGCCGTAATAGTGAAGCTTCATGCTCTTGATGAATCAAAAGCAGCCCCAGAGGCTCCACTTTTTTCTTTGCTACGCTCCACCCATTGGCTTATCTCTCATCCTCACTGTGCGCGGAGGAAGAGCGGCATGCATGTACCTGTGAGATCAGTAAGTTTTTTTTTTTTGCGTCGATAGCATGACCAGGCACGAACAGTGCTGTAATGGCCAATTCTGGGGATAACAAAAGGCTCTGAAAGGACGAGAGATTGTTTCTTGAAATTTGTAGTGTGCCTGTGGCTCATAGTGCTGGGTTCGGCATTGTTCATTATGACAGAAATTTGAGCTCAGTGCACACGTATACTTAAAGTGTTAAAGAAAATTATTGAAGTTTGCGTAGGAGCCCTTTGAATGAAGCAAAATACTACCCTGTAATTGCCATAAGTCCTCAATTTAAAGGGGCCCCTCAACACTCATATAGCATGGTCAGAAAACGCGGATCGGTAGTATGCGAGCCAAATATTATAGAGTAGCATGGGGCCTGGAATTCACAATAAATGATCAAAGTCAGCTAAAAATTGCTTTCTCTTCTTTCGACAAATGACAGAAGACGCTCAAAAATCACTTCTAACAAGCCCATCTATCAGTCATTGGCTGATTTGAACATGGCGCACTCGGTCGTTATAGAGATTGCCACAGAAGGCCGCGACTTGTCCACGCATGCACGTGCATTCGAAGAAGAAAAAAAAAAAAAGAAAATATTGCTCATTTGTCGGGGCGAGAGAAGAGAGAATGCAGTTGCAGCATGCGACAAATCTTTGTAACTCCACTCACACTGGACGGATTCTTGAAATTTTTGCGTTGTTGAATTCATAAGGCAATAAGCTCCTCTAGTGAATTCATTCCATGGTTACTTGAAAAACTGTTTGAGGGCTCTTTGAAGTATTATTGCACTGTGGCCAGTTGTCGCTGGCTGCTGATGTGTGGTGTAGCAGTAGCCTAAAAAGTGAGCATCGTGCTTACAACATCTCTTAGATGTGCGATTTGTAATATTGTAGTAGGCAAACTACCACTTGTTTTTTAGGTGTGGCTTTCGTGCTTTTCCCCCCCTCACATTCTAAAAGAGAAATAATTGGTAGTTTTTGCTGTAGGTGTATTTCTCTCAAGAGTGGAGAGAGCAGTCATTCTTGTCTCGACACCTTGCCATGTGTAATTGACTTTTCTGTGACAAGCTACCACTAAAAATACATTAAACTCACCTGCAGTGAGTAGCCTATTTTCTCTTCTTTACATAAAGTTATAGCAATAATTAGAGCGATGCAGTTGGCAAATATATACGCTTGAGCAATTTCACTTTTTACTCTGTTTGTGGTATACCGAGAGGCCTAATCACTGTATGTTTGTTTTCTTTGCAATTTGCAGTGAGTATCTTTGTTCCAGTTTTGGTGTGACGTTAATGTTGGCATCTTTTTTGTTTTTCTGCCCCCTTAACCTTGGCTTTCACTGGAAAATATTTTTACAAGTGCCTTTTATTTACTCACCTTCTGTTACCAGACACCACTGGCATTTATTGTTTCTTGTTCGCTGCACATCACGTCAAGGCTGTGTTCTGAATACAGGTCCCTGCCCCCGGCCATGGCAGACTTCTTGGAGAGCGAGGCCGAGGAGTCAGAGGATGAGGAGGTTACTGGAAAACGTCCGTTGGTGGACGATGATGATGAGGAAGAGGAGGAAGAAGAGGATGGTATGCGCTTTGTTAGACCTTTGTAAAGCTGTCCTTTGTGCTTGGGTCTCTCCGCAGATAAGGCATCATCTGCTTAAAGGAGCCATGCAACACCTTTAACCCATATATGCCCAAACTGAGGAAAATTAACAAAACTAATTTATTTCCCCAAACTTATTGCTTTTACGACCTCAGAAAACAGATTAAGGCTTTTATTTAAAAAAAAAAACTATTTTGAACAATGGTTTTGGAGCCATCCTATATGTAGGACACCAATGTTTAACACACTGCGAACAACAAACATTAACGCCTATCACTGTCATACAAAAGTTACGGCATACCCAATAACTGATGTATAATCGACAAAACTATCAGCAGCATCGAGAACAACTTGACTCTATATTACTTTTTTTTTTTTTTTCGCGGTACGGCGTTAAGCTACATGCACACGAAATAGCCATTTTGTGACTGTAAGCACGTGGCTATTGATAGCCTAGAGATCACCTAGACTTGCATGTGACGAGCACAGGGCATCATAAACACACCTTAGGTTGCGCTAGCTTTTTTACAGAAAAAAAAAAATTCTAGTTACACTGAAGAGTTTCAGTGTCTTACAAGTAGCACACTGGGCATAAATGGCTTAAGCATGGTCAAAAAACTCCGATCAGTAGTCGAGGCTCCCAAGAACACATGAACCAAATGTTATAGTGCAACATGCGCCCTGGACTCTACAATGAATTCTTATAGTTGGCTAAAAATCGCTTTCTCTTTTTTCAACCAATGATGCTACAGACTTGGAAGCAACTGAGTCACGGGCCAAGTATTAGCCATTGGCTGATTTGAGCATGGCGTGCTCGGTTACTGGGGCCGCCATGGCAGGTTGCAACACGCCTGCACGCATGATCGCTCTGAAAAATCACGCATCCGAAAGAGGAAAAAAGTAGTCAAAATCATGAGGTGCCCATGGCGTATTTTCTTCTTCTGTGCTATCCGTTCCTGCTTGGCATCTAGAGCTTTTGTCGGGAAGAGAGAAGAGAGTCCAATTTCGAGCATAGACAAATCTTTGTAATTCTGCTTGTACTGGACGGATTCTAAAGCTTTTTGCGCCAGTGAATTATTGAGGCAGTAAGCTTCTCTAGTGAATCCATTCCGTGGCTACATGGAAAAGTGATACAGGGCCTGAAGATGCATTTGAAGTGTCGACAGAAGCTACATGTTGATGCATGTATATGGATAGTCGTATCTTTTTTTAATAGCTCTTCAGCCAAACCTAGACATAACAACTCATACTACTTTCGGCCCGAAGCGTTATTATATCGTGAATTCCCTTGAGTTGAGGTGTAAAGCGACCTTATGTGGTTATAAATAATCCATGCATCTAATGGTGTAGCATATCGAATTGTGGCAACCATGCAGGTGAGCAGAGTAGTGTGACTGGCCATTGCCGAGAGCCGTGAGGAAATCTAAAGGGCAGTGTTGTCCCATCTCTCCCACGCAGAAAGTTCACATTTGAAACACCTAAAAGCATGCCAAAGCCTGACAAAGCGGGGGCCGAGCGGATGACTCGTTGGCTTTCCCAGATCTGTAATGTCTGTGATCACGGCGTGAATCGTAATATTTGCATAACATTTGGTCATCCAGTTTTGGCAACAAAAAGGCACAATGTAGCATTAGCCATGCTTCGAGTCGGAAAGTTTGTTGGGCTTTTGTGCTAGAAAAAGTGGTTATACAGTGGTGCATATTATTCCGTTTTATCATTTCGTTTCTGTTATATATTGTCGTGATTGCTCATATGCCATGGTAATCACTGGCCATTCAACCTCTGCAGTTGGAAATGCCAGTTTTTGTGGCACAGCATAGCATTGGCCATACTGCAAATTGAAGAGGGCAGTTAAACTTTACACATAAAAGTGAGAGCATGATAGAAATACAGCGTTTTACCGATGTTTCACTTATCTTAGAGGGACCGTGTGCACATACGCTGTAAATATTTGCTAAATTGAAAAAAAAAACAACAACAACAAAAAAAAAACACACTGGCACAATGTCATTTCTTGAGTGTCAAAAACGAATACATAGTTTTCAATGGATTTGAGTAGGAAAACGAAAACTGTTTGTTACATGGCAGATTTTGTTAAAGTGAGCTTTGTTCTGTGGTGTTTCGACCGTAATTGTTGCATAGAGTAGCGACACCCACTTATTACGAGTGGTTGGAATAGCCTGCTGAAGGCACTTCTGTAGTGTTTGCATTATGTACATTTATTGCTGTGTCTAGGTGTATTTGAAAATATTCACATAATTTTCTTGAGGCTGTTTTTTTTTTCTGTGCCTGGGGAATTTCGAAAATGCTGGTACAGACAGAAGCATGACGAACGAGCATTTTGATTAAAAAAAATTAAGTATGAAACACTGTCTAAAGTATGTACATTCCCTAAGCATATGTTCTCATTTTGTATTGCTTTCATTGGATGACCAGGAGGTATGATACATTTCTGCTTCTTAAATCATCACAGTGATCATTTTTATCAAACAGATCCAGACTATGATTTTAAAAGCCTTTTACCACCCCTTATACCTATTAAATTTATAACCGATTTATTTCATGAAATTATCAGTTGATTGCATCATCTCTTTTTATTCCTTAAATAATAAAAGGAATAATTAGTCTCATTTACCTGTTTTCACACAAATGTAATTTTTGTCTGCAATATTATTTTAGCATTCGTCAAGTTGTATAAGCATCTTAAAGCTGGCTCAGGTTGTGTAATTCCTGGCTAACCTCCAAGCTTCAGCCTTTTGCTTCAGCTTTCCCCTAAGGGGGCATTCCTTTTTAATTAAGGTACCTTTATTCATTTTAGATTAGTAAGATTTTAAATAGATGAACTAGTTGTGTTTAAAGTTCTTCCAAAATTTGAATGCATGTACACACATATTTTTGTCATACACTAACATGTTCATGTTTCATGCATGTTTTTTTTTTAGATGATGAGAGGCTGAGAGAGGAGATGAAGGATCTCATCAATGATGAAGAGGAAGAAGTTGAAGAAGACTCAGATGAAGACGTAGGGGGCAAAAAGAAACGGCGGCATCACGGTATGACTCTGCGCCATTGCAACGTAGATGGCCGTTTTGAATTTGCGTGCACAAACGGGTAATTACGGGAATTTTTTGGGCTTTCAGATGACTTTGACGACAACCTAGAAGATGAAGATTACGACCTTATAGAGGAGAACTTGGGAGTCAAAGTACAGAGGGTAAGTCGTCGTTCAGGTCGCAATGTTTTTTTTTTTTTTTTTTCCCATGCAGTGGAACTTATTACCAAAGGTTTTAGCGTTTGACATGGCATTTGATGCGTTTGTTCTTACTTGTGGTTCTAATATGAGGCCTGTTAATCCTGCTACTTGTGTCAAGTTCCGACAGCCACACGCGCACCGTGGTTATAGGAGTGCACCACGAACAGCCTATTAAGTTTTGAAGTCATTTGTATACGTTACCTAATATGTGCCACAAGAAGAACTTGCAATGTTGTTATCATGTGGCTATTGTTTGTTAACGACAGGGCATGCAAGTTTGTGTTTCACTGTGTCTTGGATTTTTTTTTTTAGTACTCACGTTTTTAATTGTACATTCCCTTTGCAGAAAAAGAAATTCAAACGTGTAAGGAGGATAGAGGACGAAGAGAGCGACAATGAAGAGAGTAAGGACAGCACCAATCGTGATGCCATTGCCACCGAGCTGTTCGAAGGATCCGATGCAGTAAGTTTGGCAGGGGGGGAAAAAAAAAGATTGGTGGGTGTCTCGTGCCGTGTGCCTTATGGCAAATTCTGGACGTACTAAGTGGCAGTTGTATGTAATCCAATTTGATGCGTGTTTTCAGGAGGCAGCCGCAGAACAAGATGAAGAGAGAAGAGAGGGAGAAGAGGAGGAGAGGGAAGGCTCGGGTTCTGAGCTAGAGTCTGGTACGCATTTTTCTAGTGCTTGTATTTTATCAAGTAGTGAACTTTGAAAGAGCAGATCATTGGGCAGTTGGTACAGCATCATAGTAGAATTTAGTGCAAAAAACGATGGCAATGAAAGAAACCTCATTGCGCTGCATTTGTGAGGTTCTTTCTTTATCCCTGTTTTTTTGCGCTAAGTCCTAATGATTATTTAGTAGGCAGTTACATTGATTATTGTGCCATCAGATCGTTGAAATGACGCATCAACATCTGCACTTTGCTCATTTTTTGTTGTGGTAGTAGGTTTTACTTAGCTATCAATACCAGTTTTAGGCACACGGCAGGCCCAACGCATCTTGGTGGCTTTCACCTGCCGTCACCAGTAGCGAACACAAAACTCGTAGGCTCCGAAGGGCCTACCGACGGCTTTGTTGCCGTTGTTTAGTGCATGATTAATCACTTTCAACTTGAAAGCAGCCGTGTAGCTTCAGTATTGCCCCATAACGTGACAAGATTACCGACACAACATACAAAACACGCCGTAACACGCACTGGCCACTTCGGCTTGCATTGGATTGAATCTCCATGCAATGTACGCTTGATGCTTAAGAGATGACGCCAGATAGTGTGCACTATCATCAATGGCTGGAATGGGCAGACGACATTATTGCGGCAGTTTTCGAGGGTGCGATAACTACTCGAGGAAAGAGGAATCGTATTTTTTCTTGGGCAATGTGGGGGGTGCAAGAATTATGCGAGTGCGAGGATTACGCGAGTAAATACGGTAATACATCTGTTGAGAAAACATATGTTTGTTTTGGTGAGCTTGCGTAGTTTAAGTTATGTTCGAATATAGTATTTGCAGCCTGTGTTAGCATTTTCATCAATGATAGAAGCTGTGTCAATTGCATGTTCTTAGGATTGAATTTTGTTTCAATGCGTGGCTCCGCAAACATTTAGAGAGAGGTAAAATCCTCGAACTCATCCTCTAAACAATCACTTCTTTGTACAGTGGTGTCTGCTTCCCAATTCCTGGCTTTGTGGCGAGAATGCAAAGTAGCTTAACCTTCCTAAATCTGTGTGTGCTTCCTAAATGTGTTAGGTGGAATAGGTGCATAGGGGCACCTGCGGAGTAATGCAAGCTATGAGAAACTAGATTTTATGCCTTCTGTCACCTCTACAGTTTGTGTCTTACCCTAGACTTAGCTTCATGACATAAAGAAAAAAAAAAAGGCTTGTATTCAAAATGAAATATTTCAAGGCTGCTCCTTGTCTATGCTCATCTAGATCCCGATGACTTCATTGTTGACGACGATGGCCAGCCTATCACGAAAAGCAAGAAGAAGAGGCACATCAAGTACACCGACCAGTGAGTACTGTTCCAAGAAAGTCCATTTGTACATCCAGTTTGAAGGGATGCTTTAACGCTGGGGTCACACAGTCGCTACTCTTGAGTGCGATTGTGTTGGATGGGTATGAAGCTTGATCTGGACCAAGCACTACTACATGGTACCTTACAATCATGGTTGGATTTGATCCAGGTTATGGCCATTGTGATCGAGCTCGTTTAGTATGAACTAGTCAAAAAAGATGAATGTAGCTCTATCAATACCTGTAGAAATTACTGCTCCTAAAAGCAAGAGTATGCACTAACGTGGCTACAGTGTAAAAAAATACATATATATTACAAATTGGCCTTTGCAGCCACAATTTCATGCAGCTATGCTTGTTTGGCAGAGTATAATTTTTTGCATGTAGTGGTCAATAACGACAGCCAAAATGTCTTTAAAAAATGAACAGGATTTATATTACACTTTTTATAGCATATTTTGTAAATTTAATACGCGCTTTAAATCCATTAGCACCCTCTGATGCGTTCAAGATTGGCCATGGCCTACCTTGATGGGCAATATAGAAGTGGTTGTCACGGATAGCTATTCCGACATTTAATATGTGTGTGCTTCAACTGTGGTCAAAAGTGATTGTGCATTGCCATCATAAGAAATGTGCTATAGATATTACAGTTTTTTCAACTTCACTTGTTAGCGATGCTCTAGCGCTCAAGTTGGGTGATTCCATTTATTTACAGTGCCCTGCAGGAAGCCCAGGACATCTTCGGTGTCGATTTTGATTTTGATGAGTTCTCCAAGTATCAAGATGATTATGATGAAGAAATGGAAGAGGAAGAGGTGAGCGTCTCTTGCCTTTGTTGAGGACATATAGTGCTGTTGAAAGATTTTGTTTGATGCGTGAATGTTGAGATCTTTGAAAAAAGGTCTCGCTTGTGTGCAAAGTTGATAAATTCTGAGAGTATTGTCACTGTTGCATCTTTTTCTCCAGGATAGCTTAAAGTCCAGAAGTGTGGGTTGTTGAAATGTCATCACATTAACATATCAGAAACATGTTCCTTTTTAATGAGCATTTTTTAAGTAGGTGTGGGATGGACCAACTTGGGCCCTGTAAATAATTTTGCAACATTTTGTTAGCTCTTGTTTTTCTCATCTTATTTTAATGAACATTGTAATATTTCTTTAGGAGAGCCGGAACTTCTTGCACAGGTGTTTTTGGCAGACATGGCATTAATTTTTCTTGGCACTAGCCATTTTAGCTCGTCAATTGCATAGTTTAGTGTTTGATTACCAGTCCTGTGCTCATCCCTTTTTTAGGTGGATGTGTTGTGTAAGGTTAACGAAATGCGGGCTAAGCCAAGGGAGGGAACCGAGGAAGCAGACGTAAGATGGTGACCTGCGGGCTTGTATGGACTAACTGTATATTATTGCATTTTGCTATACACCAGGCAACGAGCAAGCTAAACACCTATAGTTCATGACACTTGGTAGTATGTGTCAAAGCTAGAATTATGAGCATGTAGCATTGAAACTGAAATACTGGGCAAAATAAGTATGGTAATTGGTGAATGTTTGTCTTCTAAAAAGGACAACAAAAGCACCCTGTCCTGTTGCTCGGGTGTCTTTTGTTGCACTTGAGTTTAGAAGATGGAAGGATACTGTCTTGCAATATTACTTTCTGTGTCCTGCCTTATATGGCCAAGCTTATCAGACGTTTTTGTTGTTTTTCCACCACAGTATGAGGATGAAGAGGAGGAAGGGGAAAATCGACCACGCCCCAAGAAGACGTCACGCAAGCGCCAGACAAAGAAGAGCATCTTCGAGGTATACGAACCGGTGGAGTTGGAGCGAGGTCACTTCACTGACCGGGATAACGAAATACGGACAACAGACATACCCGAGCGGTTCCAACTGCGGGCCGTGCCAGTGACGCCTGCACCCGAGGAGGAGATTGCGCGCGAGGCTGAGTGGATTTACAAGCAGGCATTTGGGAACCCAACAATCTCGGTGCAGTCGGCTGTCGACGAAGGTGCTAAGGGTTCTTCCGCCGCTTCCACCTTGGCAGGTCGACACCAACCTCCTGCGGGCCGCAAAAATGTGACAGCTGTGGCCAAGATTGCTGAGGCACTGAAGTTCATGAGAAATCAACTTTTCGAGGTTTGTATCTTCATGAAAACTATGGATAGCACCCCCTTTCACGAAATGAAGAGTGATTTATGTATTGGATTATGACTGGCGTCAGGATAGGAAAAGTTGTAATCCACCTGCTTTTGTAACCAAAATCTGTTTAGATTGCTTATACAGTTAAACCCTTTTATAAGAGGCATGCTGTGGGCAGCAATTCTTGTCTCTTATAACCAGGGCACCACATAGGCATTTTCTTATGAACCCATATTTTACTAAGGCACATCGGTGTCACTTGTACACTTCTGTCTTTTATATCAGTGTCTCTTATAAGGGGGTTTGACTGTAATAAGAACTTCCTAATTGATTACACATTCTTCCTGGCCTGAAATGTGAATCCTGTTCCTGTGGCTTTTAGGACCTCCACCTTTGTTTCTAAGAAAATCCTCATTGGTTTCCTGTAATAAAAAGCATTATGTAACAAAACATAGGATTCACATATTTTTTTGTAAGCCTTCCTCAATCTTTCACAATTCTCTGCAGAAGATAACATGCCATATGAAAAATGTCTAGCAGTGTAGTGGCTGTTGCCAAACGTGCAGCCTTATTGCCCATTTGTGTAAGGACGTGCAGCTAGTGTATCACACCATTATTGATTTCAAACTAAGTCTGTATGCAACATCTAAATTTAGCATGTAGAACTCGAGATCTATGTTTAGTTTTATCAGAACTTGTTGGTAAAAAAAACAACAACCAAGAAATCACTCACATTGAAGACAAGGCTTCAGCTTAGTTTTGAATGTGCTGTTAACTTCTTAGTGTTTCTCACTGAGCTCTCTGAACGGGTGACAGTGTGGCAGATTTATTCTCTCTAGGGATTGAAACATTGTGCATTTTCTCATGTAGCATGAGTGAACGTAGAGCTTTGCGTTTTGTTTCGACAGTGTGTGATGGCTGGCCCTGTAGATCAACTTCTGAAGCTGACTCGTTATTATGACTGCTACAGGTTCCATTCATTGCCTTCTACCGAAAAGAGTACGTGGAGCCTGACCTCAACATCAACGACCTCTGGACAGTCTACAAGTGGGACGAAAAGGTGAAGTCTGGTGGTTACTGTTGCCTACTTCTTAATTGCTTGGCCCCGCTTTCACGCGCTTTTTTTTTACTGTTTGCTCCCTCTTAGTGGTGGCATTATGACTGATTGCAAATGTTAGATAGAGCCTAATACATATAGGGTGCTTTATCATGAGACTGCATAAATATATCAATCTTATTGCTGGTGACTTGAGTTGTCAATGGAACGTATGAGGGGTGGATGAAAAGCATGTCTTGGACGAAGATATGGATTCTGCATGGCAGTCATGTTGGGAATAAGTTGTGACACAGCGAGAATAGCAGTTTGCACACTGTTCCCGTGCAGAATATTAGGACAGGATTTACGGATTCATTGGGTAAACATGTATGTGCATTGATACTGTAGACGTTTATTTATTGTTTTTTGGCACTATTTGTAATTTCACAATCATTTTATTAGGGCATTTCATCTGGTCTCTGAAAATGTGCACTAAGGGGGGGGGGGGGGCTACTGTTAGATACCGACTTTTTGTTTATTGAGATCTCAATAAAATTTTCAGGAGAGACTAATAGCAAGAGCATTAGAACTACTCCCAAAATTTCATGAAGTAATGTTCTATGGTTCTCCAGTTATGGCAGTATGTCAAAAAAAAAAAAAAAACACAGTATTGAGAAAGCTGCGTTTAAAGTTTCAACTTTTCTTTACGTCTCTAAGACACCTAAAAATTGTGATCTCAGGTTTGTCTTGTGATATTTGACTTCTTTTCATGATTTACTCCTTTTCATGAGTTACAAACAACAAGTATGAATTTCAAACCAAGTTCTCTGTATGAAGGAGTGGTGTGATAAGTATGACAGAAAAGATTGTAATTGAATAAAACCATATACTGGAATTATTAAACATACTTTTTTGTGCTGAAATTGTAATTAGCGTAATTAAGTACTTGATTACAAATATTCACTGAACTTTTTTTTATTTGGAGAGAATTTTATTGCATCAGAAAAATGGATCACACCATGACGGCCTATGCCTTCTTTCCAAATAACAAAGTTATGGGCAGAAGACTGGTGGCACGGGAATTTCTAGCAGTATAATTAATGACACGAAACGGGCATATAAAAATTCGTGCCCCTGATTCACACATGCTCTTTCGCCGCTCTAGCCGTGAAACGCATCATCATACAGCCGGTCGCGGAAATTCTAATCTACAGCAATTCATTAACCTCGGAACATTCATAGACGTTCGTGGAGATATCAAGCACGGCTCCAAGCACGTCTGAATCGCATCACAAAAGCTTACTGACGGCACTCCATATGACCGTGGGGTGCGCGGCCACGTGGACAGTGCAGCCGGCGCGTAATGCACTTGCCGGCGGCGTTCGATGACGATCCGTGAAATGAGTAACTACGAAGACAAAAAATCGGCACGCACTGCACTTGGCATCGCATTTTCGAATGACGACGCGCGAAACTGCTAGCCGCTGTTCCGAGCGATCCTTGGCAGTGAAGGGGGGGGGGGGGGGGGGGTGACGAGTGTTGTCCGCTGCCGATGCGTAAAATGCCCGTACAATATTCGGAGAAGCTAGCGAGTGATGTGGTACATTCCTTGCGAAGAAGCACGTCACCAAGAGTGCGCTTGCGCGTCGTTCCTGCCCGCAGTCTCGCTGTCAGCGGAGTTAGGCCTAAAGCCGACTCCGATGACGCGCCGCACTCGTAGACCGCCGCGCGCCCGCTCGTAGTAATCTGATCGTGCATCCGGTGCGGCCACTCGTAGTAATCAGATCGTGCCGCCGCTTACAGCTTCGTTGCTTGCGAAGAAGCACGTCGCCACGAATGCACTAGCGGGTCATTCCTGCCCGCAGTCGGCGGAGTTAGGGCTAAAGACGACTTCAATGACGCGCGGCGCTCGTAGACCGCGCTGACGCTCGTAGTAACCTGATCGCGCATCCGCTTACTGCTCGTAACTAAAGCGTAGTTATATCTTAAGTGATTATCAAGCCGTGAACACGTCACGAAGTGGCGATTTTCGAGAGCCATGTCTTCGCGACGCACAAGCAGCAGACGACGATCTCCCGGAGCGAGCATCGGGCCAATGGCGAGGCGAGCTGAGGCAACATGGCGGCCACGGCCAATCAAGGGCCTCAAAACGACCTTCAAACATTTGCTTTTTGCTCGCTTGTTGTTAAAGGGAGGAGCCAGCTGAGGCGAGAAAGTTAAACACGGAAAAATGCTCTTTCCGATGAGCCCAAGAAGCCGGCTCCCGGCCCAAGCATAGCGAAGCTATTATTTTTTGAAAGTCGCCGTTTTCTCGCCATTTCCAAAAATATTTTTGCTACCTAGGTGGGTGAAACGAATTTTCCGAAGCACTTCTGCGCGGTTTTCAGTGTAGATATTTTGGAACCAGATAGAAAAAGGGTTCCAGAAACTGAAAACTTGAGTTTCAAAAAATCGATTTTTTTGCCATTTTTCGCGATCCCAAAGCCGCGTCCCCCCTTAAACCCCTTTATAAGAGGCACGCTGTGGGCAGCAATTCTTGTCTCTTATAACCAGGGCACCATATAGGCATTTTCTTATGAACCCATATTTTACTAAGGCACATTGGTGTCACTTGTGCCTTTTGTCTTCTATATCAGTGTCTCTTATAAAGGGGTTTGACTGTAATAAGAACTTCCTAATTGATTAAACATTCTTCCTGGCCTGAAATGTGAATCCTGTTCCTGTGGCTTTTAGGACCTCCACCTTTGTTTCTAAGAAATCCTCATTGGTTTCCTGTAATAAAAAGCATTATGTAACAAAACATAGGATTCACATTTTTTTTGTAAGCCTTCCTCAATCTTTCACAATTCTCTGCAGAAGATAACATGCCATATGAAAAATGTCTAGCAGTATAGTGGCTGTTGCCATACGTGCAGCCTTATTGCCCATTTGTGTAAGGACGTGCAGCTAGTGTATCACAGCATTATTGATTTCAAACTAAGTCTGTATGCAACATCTAAATTTAGCATGTAAAACTCGAGATCTATGTCTTGTTTTATCAGAACTTGTTGGTAAAAAAAAAACAACAACCAAGCAAAGCACTCACATTGAAGACAAGGCTTCAGCTTAGTTTTGAATGTGCTGTTAACTTTTTAGTGTTTCTCACTGAGCTCTCTGAACGGGTGAGTGTGGCAGATTTATTCTCTAGGGATTGAAACATTGTGCATTTTCTCATGTAGCATGAGTGAACGTAGAGCTTTGCGTTTTGTTTCGACAGTGTGTGATGACTGGCCCGGTAGATCAACTTCTGAAGCTGACTCATTATTGTTACTACTACAGGTTCCATTCATCGCCTTCTACCGAAAAGAGTACGTGGAGCCTGACCTCAACATCAACGACCTCTGGACTGTCTACAAGTGGGACGAAAAGGTGAAGTCTGGTGGTTACTGTTGCCTACTTCTTAATTGCTTGGCCCCGCTTTCACGCGCTTTTTTTTTTAGTGTTTGCTCCCTCTTAGTGGTGGCATCATGACTGATAGCAAATGTTAGGCAGAGCGTAATACATATGGGGTGCTTTATCATGAGACTGCATAAATATATCAATCTTATTGCTGGTGACTTGAGTTGTCAATGGAACGTACGAGGGGTGGATGAAAAGCATGTCTTGGACGAAGATATGGATCCTGCATTGCAGTCATGTTGGGAATAAGCTGTGACACAGCGAGAATAGCAGTTTGCACACTGTTCCCGTGCGGAATATTAGGACAGGATTTACGGATTCATTGGGTAAACATGTATGTGCATTGGTACTGTAGATGTCTGTTTATTGTTTTCTTGGCACTCTTTGTAATTTCACAATCATTTTATTAGGGCATTTCATCTGGTCTCTGAAAATGTGCATTAAGGGGGGACGGGGGGCTACTATCAGATACCGACTTTTTGTTTATTGAGATATCTCAATAAAATTTTCAGGAGATACTAATAGCAAGAGCATTAGAACTACTCCCAAAATTTCATGAAGTAATGTTCTATGGTTCTCCAGTTATGGCAGTATGTCAGAATAGTGCACATGGTTCTCTTATTCCAGATTTGGAGAACTTTCCAAAGATTCTGGAACTGTAAAATATACAATGATGATTCTCAGATTGATACCTCAGGGGGTAACAGAGATATTTTTTTTTAATTTCCTTACCGAAAGGTTTTAGAAGACCATCAAATTTAGTGTTGGTTATTGGGACATTATTAGTCAAGTTTTGAATAGGTTTCTCAAATAACAGACACAATGTATTGAAAAAATGGACTTGTCTCCCCCTCAGAAATTTATTCACGTACATAATAGAAATAGACTTATGAAAATAGGATGAGCCGTTTACCAGTTATGGCTGAACAAGCAGCCTCACTAGCCAAAAAAGTCATTTTGAGAAAACGACACTTGAAAGGTTTGGGCACATATGCAAATCTAAAACAACCCTGCAGCATAACTGGAGGTGTCCTTTGGCACTCTCTTTCTTCGGTGCCTTTCCATCATCTCAAAGGATCTCTTCTTAGCCTTTTTTAAGCGCAGTGAATCTTCTTCAGTTGCCGGTTAAATGGCTAAGTCACGCTCCATTGCCTGAAATTTCTGCTCTGTTGCTGGTGTAGCATTTAGTTCTCTTTTAAAAGCAGCACGTTGTTGATCCGCCGCCTCATTCTCTTCGCACGTCAGAAAACGTGTTTGCAAGTGCACAGTTGACGACGCGATCGCACTCAGAGGCCGATAAAGAAGAGGATGTGGAAGTAGCTGTCGATGAGCATAAGACACCAGGCGCACTTGCAATGTGAAATTTTTGCACCGGTTGAGCAGGAGTCCCATGTCCAGGCGCGTCGATGCAACCACACTCTTGCTTGGATGAAGAAGCTGCACCACATGTACTGTCGGCGCGATCACCGTCTGCGCACGTGCGAGCGGAATGCTTCCTTGCACCAAACACTTGTCGCGTCTTCCTTTTCGTTGGGCGCATCGTGAGCAAATGCAACAACAGTCTCATAAAGACAAATGAAAATCGTATCGTGAAGACGTTTGAAAATCGTTTCGTAAAAACGCTCGAAAGGGGCAAAGTATGCGAATGGCTGCAACGATAGATGATACCGAGCTAAACACTAAGAAAATGCCGGGGACGGAGGAGCAGCAGACGACAGAGAGCCACATTATGTGCAAGCGTACTACGTTATTGCGTGCAGCAGCCAATCGCAGTCGCAATGTCCCTCTCGTCTTTGAGGAGCACGCGCATCGCCCAATATCAGCAGCGCGTCTCTGCCGCGGGAAACTTCAGAGCTCTTGCGAGCCCTCCAATCCCGAGCAGCTTGCTCCTCTCCTGCCCTGCCGTCGTCGCCACGGGTGGCAGGAAAAGAAAGTGCAAGAATTCACAAACAAAACAACACCAAAATGGCGGAGCTCTGTCAAGCATTCGAGAAACTGCGATCGCGCCAAGTTGGGCTCTTTTGAGCGCTCCCGTGTCGCTCGAGGGATGTGACGGCTTGTTGTAAACGTTATTTCAAACAGTTTCGCAATGAGTTAAATGTTGATATTTACAGAAAAGGTAGTTTATGACACGTACTGCCAGAATATGTGATTTCCGAAAAATCTACGTTTTCGCGATTTTTCTGTATTCAAGAAGTTGCGTCTCACCTTAATGGCCTCTTACTTTACGAGGGGGGGGGGGGGGGGGTTTATGGATCCTCATGCATCACTCTTTTGGGAGAAAATACTTTCTTTAAATTGAAGATGTGCTTTTCGTTCCCAGCGTAGTATCTGATTGGGCACATGACTGGAAGTCCTTAGGAACCGCATACTTCTTGCTTTGGTTGCTGTTGTCATGTGCGTGATACCGTCCATAGGGTCTGCATTGATTTGAAGTGCGAAACCACGTGATTTGATATTTTAGCTTCCCTTAGTGCATTGTATTGGCGATAGGCATAGTCTCTAGAGGGAGTGCGTTGTAGTAGTGATGGCACAGTGTGTAGCGAAGCTTTTCAAGGTACTTTTTTGCATGGGGTAGTTGCTTCACCCGTACGCTCTCCAATGCAGTGGTGCCAGCTACAGCAGCGCAAGAAAAACCTGCAGCAGCTGTTCCAGCGTATGCAGGAGTTCCAGTGTGATCAGATACTGCAGGAGGACCTAGACAAGCCACTGCCAGATAACGTGCGGCCCATCGACGAGAATGACTTCCAGAGGTACTTCTTCCTCTCAGCCAATCTTCCAGGTGGTTGTGTTTCTAAGGAGCTTGTCTCTATTAATTTCTCTTATCATGAATGCATGATGGTAAACGAAGTGAACTGCACCAAGCATGCTATTTTGCAGAGGCTGCTCTTTTCACTTCTATTGTGGGCCATGATGTGCTTCAGGTTTGCGTGACAAAATCGTCGCCAAGTTTTCACTTCTGTTTTGGGTGGTGTCCACTTTTTGTTTGGTGTGGTAGCCTTGTGCAAGCAAGATTTTCTGGTGGTCATGTTTTTGTTTCTCTGTCAGTCCAGATTTTGAGATACCTAAAATTTATCTTGAAAGAGCAGCAAGTATGTGGCATGCGTGGGAAATGGTTTGGAGCAGAGAGAACTTTTGACAGCTGATTCTTTTGTTTAAGCAAGTTTGAATAAGGAGATAATACTGTGTCTAGATGGCACCGAGAGAAACCCCCTGGTGGTCCAAATCAATCTGCAGTTTCTCTACTATGATGTGCCTCATAGTCAGTCATTATAGCAATAATTTTATCGTGGCCTCCTAATCTATCATGGTTTTGGCATGTAAAAGGCGAGCAATTATTTTGTTCAGTAATTTTGTTATATTTTGATTATAATCTTATGCTGTGGACTTTCCATTCGAAAAAAGGACAATCGCATGCTTTAATAAACTTACTATTTCTGCTGTATAGTTGGCCAGCAACCTGTTCGTGTTGAATAAATTATCAGGTTCCTAACAGATGTGCCTTCCTTGCAGGCTAAAGGAGGTTCAGACGCCCGAGGAACTGCGCGATGTGTACCAGTTCTTCCTGCTGTACTATGCACAAGACATACCCGAGATGCAGGAAACGATCCGCAAGCGCAAAAGAAAAGAGGCCGAGGCCGAGAACGGTGAAAATGACGAGAGCGCACAGGCTAAAGAAGCTGATGATGCGGACGATGAGAACCAGCGGTTGAAGCATCCTGTCCGCAAGCGCCTTTTTGACATTTGTCGTGACATGGGTCTTGGTATGTGCATTTGCAGTCTTGTTGTTTATTTTGCAAGGGAACAGAATGTGTATGGTTTTGCAAACTTTTGACATAGTAGCTGCTGTGGTGGTTTGATGTCTGTGGCATTGTGCTGGGAAGCACCAATGTGTGGTTTGGATTCCTGGACACGGTGTCTGCATTTCGATGAAAGCAAAAATGCTAAAAAATGTCTGTGTACGCTTAAAAAACCCGATCTGTCTAAATTAGTTTGGAATCCTTTACCGCTAAAATGTGCCCCTTAATCCTATATCGCATGCTTGCAAAACTGCAGAATTTAATTTGTTTTTTGTTTAATCTGAGAGCTCGAGCTCCTGTTAACATTAGTGACTTCAATTAATGAGGTCCTTGTTTGTTGCCTGATTTTGCCAGTCTTTGAAAGTTCTGTTGCATGGTGCAATGAATGAGTAGAGCTTTTGTTGCCCATTTGGCAGACGGCCTTGCAAAGAAGTTTGGCTTGACGCCAGAGCAGTTTGGCGAGAATCTCCGAGACAACTATCAGCGGCACGAGGTGGACCAGTTTCCGGTGGAACCCCTGGTGGCTGCTACTGATTTTGTTAGCAAGTGAGTTCTGCGCTGCACTCTGTGGGGTCTCTAAATGAAGCACCACGCTCTTGGAGCGAACGAAGACGGCAGATGTAGTCGAATCAAACCAAACAAGCACCCATTTATTCAATTACCTTTAGGACGACAATATTGTCAGCCGAATCTAAATACGTCAGTTACGATCAACTGATCAACACGCTAAAACAACCTTCCACATTATTCCACAATATTCAACAACATAACAAACGCAAGGTGGCGTAGCCAACGCTCGACTTACCACGAGGGCCCGTGAGCGACGAACCGTGGGCCGTCCCCAGGGGCCCACCACGAGAGACGGCCGCTTGCTTCAACCACCACACGCCCTAAGACAACCGCTCATCGCTCTTGTGCTGCCACTCAAGCTTGCCTCCGGGAATCACTGCCGGCACTACCCCGCTAACCATAATGATGCTCGCGAGCACAACTCCACTTATCGCTCGATAATCGTAAACCCCAAAGGCGGCCTATGTGCGAAACGCTTGTGCTACGGGGTGCAAACATTTTACAGAGGGTGTTAGCACCCCCGACACCTCTTACGCATCAGTGGGCCTCTGTTAAAGCTGGTGCTGTACACTTTCGCGCATATCTTCTAAAAATTCGTCAGATATTGCAAGACTGTGTTGTGCTGCTAATATTTGCTCATTGCCACATCTTCAGAAATGATTTCTGCTGACTCCTTGCCAACGACCGCTTTGCTCCAATCAGTGCGGCCTGGAATTCAATGTTCAAAAGAGGTGTTGCCGTTTGATATAAAGGAGTCTGGTTACATGTTCACAAGCACTTACTACTTGCTCCTGCAGAACTGTGGAGTCTTCAGCACTTTTTCTGGGATTAAGCAGGTTGTAAATAAGACACAAAACTTGTGTACTGTTGCTGAAACCAGAAGGAAGGGTTGGGGCTGCTCAAGCATGAGGTCTTAAGGGGGGACATGGGTCTTAGGGCTCTCTCATTTATTTTTGAACCAAATGTGACAAAAGATGGCATGCTTACTTAGTTTGTTCTCCTGATTCTAAAAATGTAGTTATTTTTTCTGTTGCTTCATTAGTTAATTAAATAATCAAGATAACAATTGTTATTGTTCTTACTGCAATAGAAAAATTACCACCTGTCAAAAATTTATAAATGACATAGGGATTGACAGTAGAAAGCACAATACATACAACATAGGAAAAACTTTTTTGATTTGGTCATTATTTCTTACATTACAGTACACTAAACTTCACAGCTCTGAATGTGGCCATTGTGTGGTCACACAAAAGACTAGATTTAAAAACATGCATCACGAGAAATCAAAATCTGCTTCCTATGTTGTGTGCTCCTAACATATAGCTTCAGGCTGCAAAAAAATATTCTGCTATCTTTAATAGCTTCCGATATATTACAGTAATTTTCATGCAGGGTGTATAAAATTGCCATTTTGAGAAAATGAAGAAAACAAAGAATTCTAACATTTCGAACTGTAAAAATAAATGTACTTAGAATTACATAGCCATTGACATATAAATGAATGCTAGAAAGCCTAAGGAGTGCAACACTGCAAGCTGATTGAAAATTGAACGAGTACTTCTCGAATTACAGCACAGTAAAGTTCATTGCATGTAACCAAATACAGAAATTTTTATATTAAAATAAAAAAGGAAGCTGCCCTTTAAAAATTGGCTCCCAGCATTGTTTTTTTTGCACACATAAGCTTTTGTGATGCGATTTAAACGTGCTTGGAGCCATGCTTGGTATCGCCACAAGTGTCTATGAATGTTTGGAGACAAGAAAGCCTCGTAGACTTAGCATTTCTGCGACCGGCCGTATGATGATGTGTTTCAGGGCTAGAGTGGCAAAAGAGCATGTATGAAGCAGGGGCACGAATTTGCCTGTTAGCGAAGCCTGTTAATTCAAACTATCATTTGGTTAATTCATACTTTTTGCAGTTCATACCAGAAAGTATCTGCTGCTTTCCCACTACTATATAAAAATTAGTGTGCCTATATAATCCTAACAGTCTAAAAATGAGAAATAAGCACCTCATGCCTTCAAAGAAAAAGGTTTTACTAGTTAACAAATGTTTGAGACAAAGTGCACACATGGTAAACTGTGATGCTTCTCAACTGATAGAGAGAGCGTTGTGCTGAAGGCACATAGCTATAGCAAAGAAGCAGTTGGGAATTCACAATTTCTTTAAAAGGTCAGATCAGCAGTAAATGGCCAATAAACTTGTGGACCTTACACTTCTGATTTCAGTTCATTGCATGTATTTAGGCTTTAAAAATGCTTAAAAAATTTTTAAATGTGGTGAAATCAATGCCCAATCATAATGTGTGGTGTCACCTATCTCTGAGTCGTCTATTTGAGAACTTGTGATAATTCAAACTTCTTGACAATTCAAACAAAATCAGAGGTCCCTTCGAGTTTGAATTAATGAGAGTCAACTGTATTTGGAAAGAAGGCATTGGCTGTCATGGTATGAGCCATTTTTCTGATGCAATAAACCTCTGTTTATACAAAAAATGTTCAGTGATTATTTGTAATCAAGATTTACTTAATTATGCTACTGACGGCTTGAACACAAGAAATGTATGTAATCATTTCAGTATATGGCCTTATCATTTCAGTATATAGCCTTATTCAATTGGAATCTTTTCTGCCATGCCTATCACACCATTACAGATAACTTGGTTTGAAACCTATACTTGTTCTTTGTAAATCGAAAAAAAGGGAGGTTATGAAAAAAAGACAACAAAGGTGCTGTGGGCAGAGGCCACATGCCTGAGAAGTCAAATACCGATCACAAGAAAAACCTAAGATAACAGTTTTCAGGCGTTTTAGAAACTTAGAGAGAAAGTGAAACATTAAACACAGTTTTCTGAATACTGTAGTTTTGGCATTATGCTCAGCTCGTGGAGCAGATATCTTAGCAACCACTTCACAGATTTTTATTCCGTTTGTTTTATAACGCTCTTTGGACTGTGCTTCAGGAAACTACGATCTTAGTTTTTTCATTTTACTCCCTAAAGAATTTTTCGCAGGGCTTTTTGTTTGTTGTGCAAGTGCACTCATTGTAGTGTCGCTAGAGAAAACTTTAACTACAAGTTATATAGTTGCAAAAAATTATGCTGAAAATGCAGCCTCCTTCTGCATACAGTTGGCTGTGTGTACAGTAATTGCCAAACTATTTTTGTCATTTTTATAGATCCTCTAGCCCCTTCACAGAGTTCAATGAAAAAAAAAATAATTTTTCTCATTAAGTTTTTGTGGTATCGTCTCAAAATTTTTATGGAAGTACTGTGAGGCCATTAGTTGTGTTTGTGGCAACTATCATCAATCAATATCGAAATAGACACAAAATTCATTTCCAAAGGCACGTCCTCCCTTAAAGTGCCAATATTAAGGAGATAAGTTTGTTGCATTTTTTTTTATTACCGTATTTACTCGATTCTACCGCGGCCTCGATTGTAACGCGCACCCGATTTCCACCGCGAAAAAAAAAAAAAAAAACGTAAGACATCAATTGCAACGCGCACCCATTTTTCTCGCCGGCCCGCACGATCACACCACTCGAAAAAACTACTACTTTCGGGAGTGTATTCTATTTAAATATGAGGTACGGGCGAAGCTTGTGCCCATCTGACGTGTAACAGAGCTTTCCGTCACGGTAGTTTACCGTGGACCGATGTCGGCACGCGAACTTGCTTCGCCCCCTTCTTCTCGACGGTTGTGGTGCCAGGCATGTCGAAGTAAAGAGGCGTCTGATGGGCATTCCCGATTTGCCCAAGCAGGTAGCCGTTGTTGTGCCGCAAGTTTAGGACGAACCTCTGAAAACTGTGAAGCTTTTCATCGTACTCCTCCGCAAAACTTTTCGCATATGCATGTTCCCCTTCGGAGGGAAAAGCCTTTCTTCTAAATAAAGTTAGTTAGCCAGCACCTGCTCGCTTTAAACTGGCTCTGCATTAGACCTTTTTCCAAGACTAATTGCATAGCCCGCACTTGGAGCAGTTCTGTCGTCACGGGCCGCTGTGCCGCTCGCTGCTCAAGCACATACTTGCCGAGTAGCTCTTAATTTGCGGAAACCGACCCTGCTGTGGTCCACTGAAGCCTTTGCGTGAAGCTTTGCTGTCGAGAATCTTCTGCTTTTGTTTCCGCCGGTCCCGCACGCACGTTTCGGGAACTCCGAACGACCGCGATGCGGCCACGATTTCCGTCCGTTTCTTGCACACGCCATGACTTTTCTTTTAAAAAGCGGCATCGTGGTGCTATCGAGTTTTTGGAGTCGGCCCTTCCACGCCGTCGATGCTAATGCACTACTAGAGACGAACTCCTCAGCACACGTACGAAGTGCCGCACATGGGAAACACATAGGCAGAAATGGCCGACGCGCCATGCCGACGCACGTAGGGGGCGGCCATTTTGGATTTGCCGATGGCAATAGATTGACCGTAATTTTTTTGTTCGTACTCGATTCTAACGCGCATGTTTTGTATATTCATGCAACATGAGTAGCTTCCGTATTGTGATACATAGATGTCTGAATTCGAGAGACATGGTTAAAAGAGACATTCTGCATGCTTAAATGAAAGAAGGAGTATTTTCTGAGGGGCTTGCTTATGCGTTAGATAACGAAACGAATTGAACATTTAGGCCAGATGTAGCACAGAGGGCGTGAATTGTTGTCTTTAACTGTAGCGTAGTATAATTGTGACATAAATTGAAATGAATTGGTCGGAAATACACCCACCAGCGAAAACGGGGATCTTTTGTCAATTTCAGTTCACCTCAATTTGTGTCACGATTAGAACACTATTGTTAGAAAATTAACCATCTCTGCAACGCTTGGTGCACCACATTTTGCAGTACAAGGAAAGATTGCTTGCTGCCATTTTTATTGTTTTTTTTTTCTTTTCACCAATCTATATATAGACGCTTCACAACACCTGAAGAAGCTCTTAAGGCAGCACGGTACATGGTGGCAGTGATGATAGCCATGGATCCTCTCGTACGAAGGTGCATACGTGAGACCTTCTTCGAGAGGGCCAAGATCAGCATTTCACCCACGAAAAAAGGCCTGAAGGCAAGCTGCTACATTTTCATTACCTACAAAAATTTGTCTTTTTCTCGCCGAAAATTGCGGTGGTCAGCACCGGTTCGGTTAATTCGAAAACTTTGAGTGCCACTTGCCGATTCCCAATCTCGATTTGACCACTGTACCCGATCCTGATTTCGCCGCAGATTTTCTATAATTAAAGCAGCTGTAGTTATGAACATTCGTGCCATAAGAGGCTTGACACTTTAATTGACTTAAGCATTTCAAATTCAGACCAAACACGAATTGAAGCATGTGACCAGCAAGTTTGTGTCTATTTGAGTTCGTATTCATTGCCCAAGGAATTGTGGTGTTTGCACGAGGCATAAATATGATCATGGTTAGAAAAAGTAATGCTGTAGGAAGAAGTTACTAACAAAATTTTTTATTTCAGCTTTATCATTTGCACTGTGTTACAGAAATTGAAAGTCTGTAGGCCATAAAATATTCAAAATTATCCACATTTGAAGTTTCACAAATATGATAGTCCCAAATAAAGTGAAATAATTGTTCGTCGTGTTTGTTTACGCTGCATTCACTCGTCAATATCTTCTTTTATTGTATTCCCTTTGGCTTGGGTAGCTTGCTTGTTGCCTCACATTTACCGCAGGATTTTTCGCTAACTGCTTTATATGTAGTACAGTGAAACCTCATTAATTGGAACTCAGTTATTTTGAAATCCCACTTAATTAAAAACTTGCTGTGGTTCGGTATTCTAAGCCTGAGGGGGTAATTTGAAGCGGCGGTCAGTACCAGATCGGTTTATTGGAAAACTTTGGGTGGCACTTGCCGATTCTTGATATCGATCTCACCACAAACAGGCCCTTAAGAGCCACAATGCAATCCAACGTAGTGATATTAATAAGTGGCCACTGCATCCATCTCATGGTCAACCAAAACGTACAGCTGCTGAAAACAACATGCTTCACTGCAACACAGTGGTGACACGCAGGCAGCATATTGAATATTTCTCATTGTGTCAGCACCTTATCCATTTTTTGTGGGATTGTAAAAATTTTTAATAAATGACAGTTCGCCACAATTCGCGATGTATGCAGGCCTACGTTTGCAGATTGCTCCAGCATTATGTGCACTTGCACTGCTGGTGGAGTTCTTGCCTGAAATGCCTACTTCGAAAACTAAGTTAGAAAGTATCAGTGATGATGTTTTCCAGACAAAACATATCGCAAACACTGACCACTATTAAACTCTTTTTATTTTACCAGAAAGAATGGTCGCATCATAATGTGCTAATGCTGCGAGAAGCAGGTGACATGATGGCCTGCGTGTCACTACTGTGTTGCAGTGAAGGCCTTTTTGTTTTCGGCAGGCGCACATTTTAGTAGATCACAATGTTTTCTTTTTCTCTCTCTCTCTTTTTTTTGGGTGGCAGCAGCGAGGCCCGCTGTTCTTCCGGGTCTGTGGCAAAATTAAGACGAGGCATTGCAGGAAAACATAACTCTTGGAGCCACAAACTAGCCCGCACAGCAAACGATCAGCCCTGGTTACTTCGAGTATTGCAAGCTCCTTGCATCTCACTTTTTGTATGTTCTCTTAATTCGAAAAGCTGCTTTGTTCAAAGACTTCTTGGGACCCCAGTGACTTCAAACTAACGAGGTTTTACTGTATTTCATCTCGCACTGCTGCACAGTAAGTGGTATTTGAATATGGAATTTTATGCAAGAGTTTAATAGTAGTCGGGAAGAGACCACAACAGTGGACTTATAATTTCTTGTTGCCTTTTGTAGGAAATCGACGAGAACCACCCATGCTATCCAGTCAAGTACCTGAAAAACAAGCCTGTTCGGGACTTAATCGGAGCACAGTTTCTCAACATGACGCAGGTGATTTTTGTTTTTACTTCTTCGCAACCAAGTTAGTGCTGTGAGAATACAGTTGATGTTTCAACATTACCTGGTCACTGCTTTGCTTTCCAGGCAGAAAACGAGAAGTTGCTCAAGATCACGATTTCCATGGATGGAAGCACCCAGTCTAATCCCGGTGTTTACCTTGATGAGATCAAGCAGCTCTACTATAGGGTATTGTGTTCTTGACTTTGGATAAGTACATTTAACTATTTGTCCATGCTTTTTTTTTTTCTGTGGATGCTAATGAACTTTGGATGGAATTCATTTATTCTTGCCCATATTCACAGTGTTTGCGGTGTTTGACAAGAATACTGAAGAAAAATAATTGGAGTTGTATTACCAAAAAAGCCTCTGTTATTGTAAGACGAGTCTAGCTATCACATATAACTGAAATATTGAATTGGTATTGAAGATGGCACTGCATTTTTTCAATTGCTGAGAAGGCATTAAGAGGCGCAAGAATGCATTTTCTGAAAAAAAAAAAAAATTATAGTTAAAGGGGCCCTGAAACATTTTTTAAAGTAAACATAGAATAGATTCACTGAAAGAGCTTATTGCCTTATGAATTCAACGCTGCAAAATTGTAAAAATTCGTTCAGTACGAGCGGAGTTCCAAATATTTGTCACACGCGGCAATCGCGTTTTCTCTCCTTTCGTCCCGACGAAAGCCCTGGAAGCTAAGCAGGGAGGGATGGCAGAGGCAGAAAAAGTGCGTCACGTGGCCTCGTGATCATGAGCTTCTTTTTCCTTGAATACGTGTTTTTTTTTTAGTGTCATCGCACGTAGACAAGTTGCGGCGATCCTTGTAATGACTGAGCGCACCATGTTCAAATCAGCGAATGGCTGATACATGGCCTTCGACGCATGATTTTTGAGCATCTTCAGTCATTTGTTGAGAGAAAAAAAAAACAATTTTTAGCTGACTTTGATCATTTGTTGTGAATTCTAGGCCACGTGCTGCGCTATACTATCTGGCTCGCGTGTTCGTGGGAGCTTCTAATACCGATCGGGAGCGTTTTCTGACCATGCTCAAAGAGTGTTGCAGGGCCTCCTTAAAATTTGTTGAAATGTTTTGGAACTTTCTGTCTCAGTTCACTGAGTTGTGAATAATTTTGATGGTGTTTGCCGGTATCTAGTCCATTTATATATTGTTAAAATTTTATATTGGTAAAGATTTTGCAGTGTTGTTAAAGAAAATTATGTTTAACATTACAATTTTAAGGAACCTAATTGCTTGTGTCGCTGCTCATGTGTGTAGTATTTTGATGCCTGTAGTGGGCATTTAGTTTCGTCGTGGTTTGGCTTGGTAGGCTGATGCGTACGCTGCCCACTGTTCAGTTATGAATGGTACGTGACAGGTCGACACTCGCTTGGTAGTGCATTGTAGGTGTCTGAGGGGTCTGTAGTGAATTTCTCTGTGATGTGTGCTGCCTCTCTTGCAATTCAGGACGAGTTCAGCAACAACGTCCAGGAGTGGAATAATCAGCGCAGCGAGGCTCTCGGCTTTGCCCTGAGCAAATTTCTCTACCCGAGTTTTGAGAAGGAGCTCAAGGCACAGCTGCTCGTTGAGGCGCAGGAAGGCATCATCAAGGTGAGGAGATGTCCCTGTGTGCGCGTTTGTGGGAAACATTTCTGTGCTGTCTCCGTTTCACTATTTCTTCTGTGGATCTGGCCTGTAGGGTGATCAGTGTTTCTTGGAGTACCAGTGTATCTGATCACTTGTGTCTTTCAGTGTATACAGAATGCAGCAAATTTTTAGTTTGCAAGGTGTAGTCGCAGCATATCGAAATCTTCGAGCATAGTTAGTGGGGTCATTCTCATCAAAGTGTGAAATTCCTTAACATGTTTGTGGGGATCACTTTAAAAAAGATTTCTTGCTAGTTGTAGTTGTGGGTAAGGAGCAGGTTACATGTAGGAAAACGTAATTAATGTACATCTGTTTATATGCTGTTGTTTATTGAATTTGGCTTGTGCGAATATTTGAGTGTTTCAAATATTCGAACAAATAGTAGGATATTTGAATTTGCTTTGATTCTAATTTAAATTATTGAAAATTTTGAAGTATTCGCAAGGAAGGAATAAATAAATATTAATCCGAATGTACCGCCTGTAAAAGGGGTTTCACTGCAGTGTAGAGGTGCCTAACCGTGAAAGTACCTATCCAGGAGAAATTTGCTCTGCTGCGAAGCCCCCCTTCAAATTTAAAGGGGCCCTGCAACACTTTTTGAGCATTGTCAGAAAACGCTGCCGATCGGTAGTCGAGGCTACCCAGGACACGCAAGCTAAATACTATAGTGCAGCACGTGGCATGCAATTTACAAGAAATTCTCAAAGTCAGATAAAGATTGCTGTCTTCTCTCGGCAAACGACTCCACAAGCTTAGAAAGCACATGTGATGTATTTTCTTTCCCCGTGCCATCCCTCCTTGCTCATCTTGCAGCGCTTTCTTCAGGACGAGAAGAGAGAATGCACTTGGAGCGTGTGAGAAATCTGCAACTCCGCGCGTACTGGACGGATTCTAAAAGTATTTGCAGTGGTGAATCCTTGAGGCAATAAATAAGCTTCTTTAGTGAATACATTCCATGGCTGCTTGAAAAAGTGTCGCATGACCCCTTTAAATGAAAATATTACTGTCAAATCAATTAATTTTATTAAGCTCAAAAGCTAGTTATGAGGGCTTATATGCTCAAAGTATAATAAATTTTAAAATGTTAAGTATCTTAAGGGTTATGACTCACAGCCTGCTGAAAGTCGAATTCTGCTACTATTTAAAGGTCTTTCGACTTCCTTTGATTGACAGAAAAAAATAGCATTTGCACAAAGGCCCTATTTCAATTAAAAAAACATTGTGCAGGTTAGTTTGGTCATCATAAATATGCCCATTTTTCTTTATATATCATGTATACTATTCGAATTCGATTTGAAATTATTTGACTAAAATCACTATTCGCTTTGAATTCGCTTCGAACTTAACATTCACTATTCGCACAAGCTTAGTATTGATGCAGTGGGTACATTATGCTCAAGGTTACACATTCGACATCTGTGTTCTTCACTGTCATGCTACCACTAAGCGATTGTGTTTATCAGGCCACAGTCTCATCTTTTATGCTGTGAGCACGACATGAGTTTTCTTATTAATTTTCAAGTTTGCCATTCACATCCCGAGTAGGAAGAATGCATGCATTATTGAGCTGGTGTCTTGATGAAATGTCGGCTAGCATGGCTTGCCTTGGCTTCAGTGCAAAGCGCCGGACTGTTTGCATGTGCTCCTGTGCCGATAATCTTTGTCAGTATTGATGCATGACTGTCAGGTTCTTAAAGGATAGACGTTGGCCAGGTAAACTCTATTCACATTAGAACTGATAACATAGTTGCAGGTTGTGAGATTGGCAAAGATTCAAAAGTCTCCACTGCCTCTTTATCGTGTTCTAAACAGCTTTGCTAGTCATCCACCCTTACAGAATGTAATGGCTCCTCAAGTTTCGTTTCTAATGGAAAGATATTGATCACATAAAGCAACTTTTGTTATACTAGGTGTGCATCATGGCTCTGGACTGAGCTCATTTGTGTGCTGCAACCAATGTGTAGCAAATGCATGTCTAGTGTGATTTGGTTGGCTCATATTTTTTAGGCATGCTACATTTTTGCATGTACCATTAGTAACTGCTAACGGGAAAATGTTGTCAACTAATTATGTATCACCGAGCCACAATGACAACCATGTCTGCATGTTGCATATTTGAACGTGCCCAGCATAATTGATGGTTGCCACTGCTGTTTTTTTTTTTGTCACTTCAAAGTGGAGATCGCTGAAGTCTAAACTTAACGAGCTTATGCCACGAAAGAAACACGAGAGAAGGACTAGCGCTTGTCTTTCTCTTGTGTTTATTTTGCACCATGAGCTCATTAAGACTGAACCAACTCACCCAACAAGTTACTCTGCTGAAGTCTAAACTGGTGGCCCTTAGCCTTCCAAATTGTCTAATGCACACTGATAGACAATATTGGAGGCCAGCATTTATGCTTTTTTTTTTGGCATAGACATGTTTGAAGTTTGTGACAAGAGATGTTGCTCAGTTCGCACCTGTCGTTGTGTTTGACCACCAAAAATCACGGCGCATGCCTCGTCAACGCATGTGTGCATGCGCAGACTACTAACCTGGAAAATACCTATTACTTGCCTGAAAAACGTTTTTACAGTGAACCCTGTTACAAGATTACAATAGCAGTCGATCTTGGTGACGTAGTTGTCCACTGTCGCAGCTGCCAGTGTTCGTGAGCACTATCGCACACAATGAGAGGAAAAATTTATGCATGTAGAAGATTTCGTGGGATTTGATCCCAGATTCTGTGCATGGCAGGCAAGTGTTCTACCACATAGCCATGCCAGTGCTTGGAAACTTCCTTGCAAAAAGACCCTATGCAGGTATGGAATGACTTTTAACAGATGTAATTGATGTATACAGAAAAGATGTATATAGACAACGAGCATGTACGAACAATGTAGGCGCCGGATGCATCGTTTCTGAATGTTCTAAATACAACAGTAATGTAGTGTAGGAGAAGAGTAAATTAACAACCAGGCTTCACACAATGCGATCTGCATATCAAGTGGGTCGTTCCAAGCTTCTTACACATTACAGAAGGCTCAGCCATAATTCATTGTCATCAGCCACAACATTAGCAAAATGCACGTAGTGCATTATGGATGTCTAGAAGGTACTTCGCTTTTCCACAAAATGGAAAATACTGATGTAATAGTAGGTGCTCTACGTTGCAATAATTATGATGATTTGGGTCCGTTCTATTCACCTGCTCTGCCTGAACCAGTCACCGGGTGATGTACTTTGCCATTTGTTTCAGCGATGCAGCAATCGTAGCCTCTGAACCATGCCATTTGTTTCAGAAGGTGCAGGAGAGGTGCAGCATTTCTTTACGATTTTCTTGCACATCCTGTGCTGATGGTGCAGGCTTTGGTGCAGTCGTGCGCGTGCATAGTAGCAGCCGAGCAAAGGACGCAGCATTTAGGCGTAGGCACCCATTTTTACTAATGCGGTACATTTTTCCAAGATGTTTGCGCTTCATAAACTGTTTTAGTGTGTGCGGTTCGCCATTGCCCAATGTTTGGTGTACTGGTGAAATTTAAGCGAACAGAAATAAGGTGTGCATCATTTCGGCACCTCGTCATCATTTGTGGTGTCGCACTGTGCCTGCACCACTGAATTCGTGGTGCCCAATATCTCGACTTCTCAGTGCATAACCGTTAATAAATTTCGATTGGTGCAGGTGAATCGAAGGGCACCTTTTATGGCATAGTGAATACCTTGCAAGTGCACTTACTAGTTGCCCAAGGCAATTGCAACAGGCTCTAGAGAGGGCACTCCTTTAGCTTTCACTTGTGACTGGGCTGTGCATTTTGTGAACCCCTGGCATTTTTATGTTCGGTTAATTGTTTTGGATGCATGTTCCCAGGCTTGCACCCGCAAACTGTACAACTGGCTAAAGGTGGCCCCCTACCAGGTGGACGCCCAAATGGAGGAGGACGAGGACTTCGACACTCGTGATGGCATTCGGGTGTTTGCCATTGCTTACGAGAACAATTGGTGAGGAGTACCCGTGTGGGGAAGGTGAATAAATAGTGGTACAAGTTATTGAATTATAATGATGCAGTCTTACCTCAACATTTCGTAGTACGCTTGTCTAAGCTTTTACAGTGCTTTGATTTTTAAAAATGTTTTGACAAATGCTTTGGCTTTTGAAAAGTTCTTTTTGTGCCAGGAAAATTTCATTGAGCTACATCTCCTATTAGTTCAATAAGGTTGATAACTGGGCTAGTTGGTGATCAATCATTTTACCGCAAGGTTAAGTCGCGCAATTTTTAACATGGACAAGAGACATAAGAAAGACGCGACACTCGCAAAAGTGTCGAGCCCTTCTTATCCTTTGGGTTCCATAAAGGAAGTTCAGGAACCTGAGGTGAATGAAAGTGAACAAGCAATAAGTGGCCACTTCATGCGCTGGATTGAAGTTCATAGTTATGGAGGGACAATGAAGTCAAGTAACAATTCAGGCTGCTGTGGTAGATTAATACTTGGGAGCATTTAACTTATCAGTGTCGTTGAAAATAGCATTGTAGTAACCAAGATACTGGAGCACTTTTAGTACAGGAAATGCTATGCCAGTGGGACGTCCTAGTACTGCATCGCGTAGTTGCACATATTTCGAACCAATACGTAATGCAGAGATGCATTTCTCTTCCCCAGGGAAGTTCCTGCCTTTGGTGCTCTCATAGATGGCACTGGTGAAGTGATGGAGTACATCAGGCTTCCCCATTTGCTCAAAAGAAAAAATGCCTGGCGGGAGAGGGAGCGTGAGCTGAAGGTAAAGTATATCATGATTAGGAAAATAGAATGGTTCATTTGAAATGTCGACCTGGCTTTTTCCCTAGAGCGCTGGGAAACTTCAGTTGTTGCACATAGAAATCTCTTTCTAGATTTCAGAAAGTTCCCAAGCTGGCAAAAGCAGAATGATAACTCGGGTCAAGTGTATGGTTTCAAATAATCAGTTTCTAGTGTATGGCATAACATATTTTTGTTGCATGATAAAATTGGGAAAGCTGTGGGACTGGGGGTACTTTTCAATATGTTCTTGCATTGTTAATGATGTGTTAGTGTGTCTTTTATTGAAGTGACAGAAATTGCTTTTGCCCTGTTCTGCCGAGTGTTGTGAATTCACGAGATACTGAAAAACTTCGAGCAAGCAAGCCACAAAATGCCTGCCACCATTAATGCTGGCTGTTAAGTACTGACGGGGAACGTCGCTTTCAGCATGAAAAATCCAGAGCTGTTTTGTCTAAGGTATCTTATGCTAGAACTAAATATTTCGTAGCCGATGACGGAAAGCGTGAAGTGCGTGAAACAGCTCTCGCTCCTTCATTCTTTCTCGCCTGTATGGCATAAATTCTATCTTCAATAATTTCATTTATTTGGTGTGTACGGACGCAAGAGGTGCCCCATAACGTGTTACGATATTTTGAAGTACGTTTTTTTCTGCAAGGTCTTTGCTTCTGTGCCATATGGAGAATTCATGACACACAGTCGAACCCGCTTATAACGAACCTGAGCCTGACTAGGCATCTGTTCGTTGTATCCCGAAGTTCGTACTAAATGAAACACGGCTTTTGAAAATGTTTCGAGTGAAAGCACAAACTTTTTTTGCCCAAAAATGTCCGTGATGCAGGTGTCTCAAAAAGCAGAAGTGATAAGGGCGGTCTCAAGTTTATTTTAAAGGGCAGCGTGCTCTTCGCCGAGGCCCGTGGCATAAGCTGTATGAGGGACTGGCCCCAAAGTTCCGCCATTCTCACAATTCGATTCCTCCAAATCGCTCTTGCCACGCACTTCATTCACAATGCCCTAATCCATGCACTGTTCCGCGGTGTCGGCATCATCATCGGCCGTAATGAAACTATCGCAACAGATGTTCCACCCGCTCTCCCATGTCGGAGTCGACGGCGTGCTGCCACAAATCGCCGCTGAAGTGATCCTGTTTGGAAGCTTCAGACTCTGCATCCTGCCCGACGTCGACGAAGTTGGTCTCGCGGAAACAGTTTCGCGGACATGTAGCTGTCACCGCTGCCCTTGAAATAGTCACCATCTCCACAACCGAATACCGGGATGCCCGAAGCGACAAGTTGGCTGCCAGGTGGTCAACAGCTATGAGCAAGCGCTCCGCAACGCGGCACCTGACGCGCGGATTGCGCTCAAGCCAAGCGGTCACACTTCGACGATTTGTTGAGCGACAGGAAAGAGCGTGCAAGTCCTCCAGTCTGCCATCCTGACCACACACGCACACCAAGAGTGAGCAAGACGCGCACCCGCGACACGCATGCCACAATGCGCAGAACAGCTCTAGGCCCGTTTCTAGTCAGAAAACGAAACTAACTCAAGCCAGCGTGGCTGGCGTCGCAGACCGGTGGAGACGGGCGAAGGGGTTGTGATCAAGAGAGGAGAGCAGATTTGCGAGAGAAGGGCAAGGAGTTGTGATAGAGTGAAAAGAGGGGTGGACACGGCGGGAGGGGGACCTTGAAAACCGAAACACGGGAGAAGGAGGATAAGTCAAGGTAGCTTGTTTGAAAGGTCCGCGAAACGCGCGCAGAAGTCAAAGCACGGCCGCCTGGATCGGCGCACGTTCGTTGTTCAAAGAATCGGCAGTCGTGGTCAAAAAATCGTTTTTTTTTTTTGCGCCGGCAGGTTTGCTTAGCCTCACAGTACTTAAATATTTCGCGATTTGTTCCTGGCAAATTAACAGCCGTTTTCACGCTTCCGCACGCGTACGGAGGGCATGCTGAGCCGAGTGCGAAGTGAGCGAGAACAGGTCCTAAACACAAAACGAACCACAAATTATTAGAGTCGGTGGGGTAGTGTAACGCGCGTGCACTAGACGCAGAGAATGGGATACAGTTGGTGCTCGACGATGTTGGCAAATAGTCTGGTCACCCCAGGCCGGCAACGCCAACGACTGTACCAGGGATCAAAAACAGAGGAGATGGCCGACCGGTCTTTGAAAGATCAGTGGCAGTGTGAAAACACTGGCCTCGTCTGGCGGTGCGGGATGCTCAGAGTAGCGGCGAGGAGGGTGGGGGGGACAAAGCACGGATGGGTGTGTAACAAAAAGCCGTCGGGGAGAGCGATAACTAGAGGGACACGGAGGCAGGGTCGGTGTTTAACAATAAGAATGTATGGGCACCTCGACGATGTCTGATCGGTGGTCAAAAGTGGTTTCCCAGGAAGTCGGCTGCGCGCCGACACCATTCGCTGTAACCCAATCGGTGGCACTGGGAGATGTTCGTTGTAAGTGCGATTTTGTGCCATGAAACCAATGTATATTTTCACAGTTACGCGGATATTGTTCGTTTTTAAGTGAAAGTTCGTTTTTAAGTGGGGCTGTTATATGTGGGCTCGACTGTGCCATAAAATTGGTTGTGGGTCTCTTTAAAGCTGGAAAATGAAAACAATTTTTATCTGCTTGGCAGTTTGCTAATTGAGGCTTTAAAGGGTTAAGGGCAGCTCTTTGCTACTGCTTTACATTGCATGCTGGTCTAAACTTCGTTGAAGCAATGAATGTGCTAATTGGTACCGAAATATAGGCCGACTCCCCAAACTGATTCACCGAAAAAGAGATTTTAAAAATCGCAAAGTATCGCAGGCACACCCTTACCTTGGTAAATACGCGACACAACCAGCTGCACTGTGGTGACATTTCTTTTTATTTGGGCACTCTTATGTAGTTAAACGCCAGAAGGCCACAAAGTGTTGTCACCCAGACTCATTTGAACTTGAGTCCGACGTCTGTTTTTCGCTAGTAACGTCCCAGCGTGCATCGTCCTCCATTCCATCCAATGCGCTGCTGATGCAGCATTTGTAGAAAGACGGAAGTACACTGCCTCAGCGCAAAGTCCTTTTGCTTCATAAATCAGCGCACCCACGCTGGCGATCCCTTGAATTGCATCCTTGTGAGCCCAGAGTCGTGCGCTATCTCAAGAGCTATCACGCGGATGCACTTCGCTGTTATAGGTAGCAACCTTGCACACAGCTCCCGGACAAATTCGGCGAGTCGCGTTTCCAGTTCAGGGTGCACTGCAGTCTGTCCACAAAACGAAGTTTTTTTTTGGTTGCTGCAGGATGTGATGCACTGCTTTTGGCTCCTCCAGTTTCAGACGCTTTTCTCCGATGCATCGAATTCTGGTTGTGCCGCCAGGCCGCCGTCCGCTTCAGCATACTCAATAACTTTTTTCTTAAGCCTATCGTAAACTGTCGTCAACTACCACTCATTTCTGAAGGAAATAAAAAAAAAACAGCAGGCTGACAAAGATATCCTAAGCAAAATGGCGTTGCCAGTACTGTAGGCCTTGCCTACCCTTGTCCAACGCCTCCGTTGCTAATGCTCACGATGGCAATGGAGGGTTTCGACTTCAGCTGCCTATTGTTACGAGACTTCCACATTTTTTTCTACTAAATATCGGTATATAAGACGAGGGTCGACTTTTCATTGCGTGCTTTTTTATAAGTTCGACTTATGTTTGACTTATATTCTGGTTTTTTACGGTATTTCGCTCTGTGTCTTTGACGACATGATTGTGCAAATGTCTCGAAACTAGAAAACCGGTTTGGGCATTCTGAATAACCATTAGCACTTTGTTGAAGCAGACCGTTAAACACCAAGTGAAATTGTCATCACCTTAATGGGTACATGAAACTTTCGTACTCGTCCTTCTATAATAAATCTTCATGCAACTGGACAGTGGGTTCTCAAATGCTTTCGTGCTGATGCTTAATGTTAAAAAATAAAAAAAAAAAATAATCTGAGCAAATGCTTAGCATCATTTCTTGATGATGGAAGATGTTTTCATTTTTCTCATCAACTGCATTTCCAGGAACTAGATCTCAAGGTCCTCAGGAAGTTCATTCGCAACAAGAAGCCTCACGTAATCTGTGTTGGAGCCCAATCCAGGTGATGACGTGTATTACTACGTATCTTTTTAAAAGAGCCATGACACAAGGTTTGGGAGGCGAGATAATGAGTGAGATAGATTTATGTGGAGAGATACGCAGAATTTTTGAGACACCAAGGGCAGATATGACCTTTAACATATTTAAAATTAATTTTAATCTGCACACTGCGTGATTGTATGATGTGCGGAGTTCCTCGCAACGCCAACATTAATGCAGGGCTTGTAAAAAACCTATGCCTCGAGTTTGTGTTGGCTGGTTGCTAACGTGCGCCATGCCCTTGTGCTACCTTTGATTCCCTCCTCTATGCCTGTGGCTTCGCTTGTGCTGGCTGTGCTGTGACGTGGCCAGCTGTGTTTACCTTGCCTCTAGAACTGCTCCTGTCTAGCTCAGCACTCTTTGAACCGAGACTGGGCACTCCAAAATTGTCTCTAAAGAAATAAACATTGCGAACTTGTGTAATTGAGGTTTCCAGCCATGATAAGTGGGCCATAAGCTACCCATTGCAAAAAGAAAGAAAGGTGTGAAATTTTTGCGTCAGTGCTTCCTTAAATGTAACTTTGTCTTTGCTTTGACTTGTGCGTCACTTAGGCATTTTTTTCTTCTTTAACATAGTTTTGGTTTAAATGAAATTGTGATCTTTGCTTTGTGGGGGGGGGGGGGGGTGCTTTGTGGGGGAGGGGGCTGTTATAGGAGACCGTGCAGATGGGAGTATAAAATGCGCACTCCCAGCTTTTATTTTTCTTGTTGGAATACTTGCTGTACTGGTAGTACCTGAGAAAAATTTTGGAAAGAGTATTGAATGGCTTGACCCCATAAGCTGTGCACAGTACATCATGTACCGGAATTATTGGTTGAAGCATAAGGCCTTCTATAGTGGTTAGATGGTTGTGGTGTTGGTTGTAGCACTGTGAAGTGCCAGGCTTTGGGCTACGGAACGGTATCTTACGGCCGAGGCACAGAGCACCACAATAGGAACAGTCCATTTCTTAGAGAACCATCCATCCAACGATTTATTCTTTTGTAGAGGCAAGGACAAAGGGCTAAATGTGCACATATGTCTTGTCTGTTGCAGATGCAACAGTGCAGGCACTCTTAATCAGCACTGTGCTTTTATCCTTAGCCTAAGTATAAAAATTTTAGGTTTTACCCTTGACATCTTGTGACTTTGATGCTTTAGTGGTGACAATGTAAAAATGCCTACCGCCGAATCCCGAGCGAGCGCCCCCAGCCCGAGTAAGCACCCCCATCCTTTTTTTTGGAGAGACTTGCGATATGTACCAATGCCAAAGCAAAAGCCCCCACCCTCCCTTTTTGCTAATTTTCACTGTTTGATTCAGTATTTTGGAAACTGTGAATACATGCGTACTATATTAATAAAGTATTTAATTAGAATCACTGGTGTGCATTTTTCATTCCTAGTGGCTCGTCCTCTGTCATCTTAAATTTTTCTCCAAGGGCCCGCTTCCAAATCTTGTTTGATTTTCTTTCGCTGTAGGGGGTGGGGTGTGCTTGCTCTGGCTTTAATGGTATCTGTTTTTCAAGTTTAGGGGTTTGTCTAACTTAACTTTAAACCATTTCTTTGAAGCCTGAAGTCAGTTTTGGAAGAAGCCTGTGCCAGTTACTACTTCTCATGCACTTTTGTGTGACGTAATTTCTTTTACTGTCAGTTTCTTTTTTTTTTTTTCGTGTATGAATGACGGGGTTGTGTGTTCCTGATGCGCAATTCTTGTCATTGCAGAGAGGCACTTATGGTTGTCGAGGACATCAAAGGCGTAGTAGCTGATCTAGCCGAGAATGAACAGATGCCCCTGATCAATGTTGAGTTGCAGGACAATGACCTGGCAATGGTCTACATGAACTCAAAGAAAGCAGAGGTCTGTAGCAACTTCCACGTTTTAGTTTGCCTTGTGCCGCCTTTAGCATAGTTTTAGCGTGCATTTGGCCATGCAGCTGAGTGATGGGGTTTTCACACGTGTGCTTTGCAGAACGATTTCCGAGACTACCCGCTGCTGCTGCGGCAAGCCATCTCGCTGGCCAGGCGGATGCAGGATCCCTTGGTTGAGTTCTCGCAGCTCTGCACGCCAGACGAAGAGATCTTCTGTCTCAAGTACCACCCACTGCAGGTGAGTAACGTGACCTGTTCATTACGTTTGCGTTTTCGTTGACCCCGGCTATCGCGTCCATGATCGCGGGAGCCACGTTCGTGATAGTGTTGGCTCAGCCAGCTTTTTCCGTGTTCTCGGTGGAAGAGCGTTTTGCTGATAAGACGCTGCATGCTCTCGGATGCCGTTTTCGCTTCTTTTCGAACGCATGAGCAGTATGGAACTTTCGATGACCGTTTGCCATTGCATCGATCGCACAGCCGTCGCTTAGGCCTCGTCACAAAATGGCGGATTACATACCACTGTCTAGCAGATGAATCCCTTGACATCCAATAGGAAACCGGGAGCTGCCCCACGTGACAGAAACGCACCAATGATGTGCAAGTATTTGTTGTTTTTTTTTTTAATTCGCGATACCGTATTTACTCGCATAATCCTCGCACTTTTTTTGCCGCAAAACTGATGCAAAGTTGGGGGGTGCGAGAATTACGCGGGGAAAACTTTCCAGAAAATGTACCGAGCGAAAAAGAAAACGAAGTGGCCGCAAATCGGGATTCTCACACCAGCAACTTACAGCAAGCTTTAAGAAGTACTAATTAGAACTTACCTCAACAATAAAAGCAGAGGTTCAACACAAGGCAAGATTTATTTGAACACAAAAAGTGGAAGCAAATAGTGGAGAATTGAAATATCATAAGCAAAGCTTGTGGGCGTTGCAGCCGTAGCGGTAGCGTTCGTCGCTCAACAGGAGCCCTCAAAAGTTAAGTGTAGGACGTCAATATTGGGCTGATGGCTATTTAACAGAATCGTCCGCAGTTTCCTTCTGAAGAAATAGAGTTTACCATTAACCCCAGTTCTAGGCACACGGCAGGCCCAACGCGTCTTGGTGGCTTTCAGCTGCCGTCACCAGTAGCGAACACAAAACTCGTAGACTCTGAAGGGCCTACCGGCGGCCCTATTGCCGTCGCTTAGTGCAAGATCTATCACTTGCCACTTGAAACAGCCGTGTAGCTTCAGTATCACCCCATAACGTACCAAGATTACCGACACAGCATACTAAACACGCCGCAACGCGCACTGGCCACTTCGGCTTGGCTTGGATTGGATTGAATCTGCATGCAATAGTACGCTTGATGCTTAAGAGATGGCGCGTGCTATCATCATCAGTGTCTGGAACGAGCAGACAGCATTATTGCGGCAGTTTTCGGGGGTGCGATAATTACGCGAGGAAAAAAAAACGATCACATCTTTCTTGGGCGAAGTGGGGGGTGCGAGAATTATGCGAGTGCAAAGATTACGCGAGTAAATACAGTAGCTACATTGTTGCTAGACAAAAAGCAATCTTCTGCTAGGAACAGACTAAAAAAGAATACGGTTTTCAAATGAGACCAAAATGGCCGCGCTACTTGGCGTTGTTCTCAGGCACCGCGGCGTCGATATGACCGTTTTTTAAGTGGTTTCGCGAGGGAAAATCGTCACGAAACTGGCTTTGAGACCGAATTACTCGACAAATACGCATTACATGGCAATAGCATTTTAGGAACATTTTCTTCAGGCCCTATATATAAAATAAAATACTTAAAAAAATCGATTCTTTTTTAAATTTTCTTGGTCTTCAAGACCCGTGTCTCCCCTTGAGCGTTATTTCTCTCTCCTTTAGTACCAGGGAATGCACTGAGAGCTACATGGGGAGGGGGGGGAGAATGTTGAGGGGCCAAGAATCTATGTCCGGCCGTCTCAGCATGCATCATGACCTTGAACACTTTTTTTTTTCTTTAAACATGCACTTTCACTATGTTCGGGAGTGCTCAGGGCAGACATGGCACAGCTGTCTTAACTATGCAGCTCATGGTGCTCAAATGAGGCAATGTCTGCGCACTTTGTGTTTATAAAGTGCACGATTTGAATTGCATCACAATTTCTCAATAGAAGAGTCAGCTATTTCTAGCTGGCTTTGAAAATTGAGAGTAGATTCCAGGTGACATGCTGAGCTTATGATTTTTGGCCCACATGTTCCTCGTAGCGCCTCGTCTAATGATTGGCAGCGTTTTCTGACCGTGCTGTAAAAGTGATGCAGGGCCCCTCCAAGACATCTCTGCTATACGTTTCTAACAGCATAAGTATAAATAAATAAAAATTGCATTAATGTGGGGAGTACACATTGTTGGGCTAGCCGGCTCATGTTCAGCTAGAAGCCACAGATGTGGCTAATTTACTCAAAGAATTTGTGGTACGCACATAAAGTTCGTATGTGTTTATTCCTCAGTTTTACACCTTTAATATTCTTTAGCCTTCATTGTGTACAAGTTTCTACAAGTGAACTGTTTCAGAGATGCTTTAAAGGGGCTTTCAGAGATACTTTAAATGATAAGGGAAGGGTTCAGCGGGAGCCCTTCCCTTGAACCCTTCCCTCATTATTTATACAGTTGAACCTTCCCTTGCTGTTTCTTTGCACGAATAGGCCACATCTGTACAAACATGGAGATTTGCACAAGGTAGATAGAGTTATCTGGCGTAGTGTATAACTACTCAAAATAAAAAAAAAAGAATTACATTGTTGACGTGTCCTCCGTTCTACAGCAAACCCTTTATAAGATATGAAAGGGTATAAGAGACACCAGTGTGCCTACAGTAAAATACGGGTTGATAAGAAAATGCGTACGAGGTACCCTGCCTATAAGAGATATCTCTTATAAAAGACAACAATTGCTGCCTGGAGCATGCCTCTTACAAAGGGGTTAACTGTATGTTTTTTTTTTTTTTGCAATGAAATATCAGTGACATTGGGAAACTTTATGATTGCTTTGTAATAATCTATGTTGTTGATTCATTGTATCAAAGCATCATCAAAACGTTTCTGTTACAGGACTTAGTGCCAAGGGATGACCTCACCAATGCGCTGAACCTGGAGTTTGTCAACCGGACCAACGAAGTCGGCGTGGATATCAACCTCGCCATCACACACGTGCACACATCCTTCCTGGTGCAGTTTGTGTGTGGCCTAGGACCTCGCAAGGGTGCCTCATTGCTCAAGGTCAGTGGATTCCCCTCTGTAAATTTGTTGCACAATTGGTGCTAGTGTTTGACAATGTGGAATCTGTACTTTGTAGCAAGAAATTTGGAGGACATTTTTAAAAACTCTAGCAAAGTGGCAGCTATCTTGCTTCGGGTGTTTGCTCACATAGCAATAAAGCAAACAGAAAACACATGCTTTGATAATTTTATGCAGTACACTTACTTAAACGTAAATCTCGTAAAGAGAACTGCTGCTTATATGGAACAATGACTTGTAATGCGGTTGATCTTGTTCTTAAATTCTGAACCCCCTCTTCATCACTCAATAAATGGAACTGCTGATAGCACATATTTTTCTGGTCCCTTCAGGTTCCATTCAATGAGAGTCTACTGTTTTGTAAATAGTGTGCAGGGGCGCATGTGGCTGGTGTAAATCATACCTTCATTTGAGGATTAGTGTGGCTTCGCAGAGGAATGCCTTGTAGCTCGCTCAGGTGTTGTGAATGAGTGATGATGCTGTTGTACCTTTAATATGTGCTATAATCAAATTCTTTTTTTTTCTCTCTCTCTTTCGGTATTTTAGATGACCTTACTCATGTAAGGCCTGCCCTATGTAGGGTGTGTTGCTTTGGCACCTTGGAGCATCAAAATATTTTGGAAAAGCATAACTAGGCATTTTCCACACACCAATACTAGGCATCGTAAACAGACAGTGACGCTGTTATCTCCATCATCACCGTTCTTTTGCTACTTCGGGTTTTTTGGACATGTACTGCTGCCTTCGAGATCCGGGCTTTTGTGTACTCGTAGTGGGTTCAGAATGAACGGTGGCCAGTTTTGAAATAATGTTGCTAAATGTGAGCTTATTTAAATGTGGAGGGCAGCGGCTTCTACATTACGCATTACTCCTTAGGAATCCAAGCATAGCTCAAGGTTTCATGACTTTGCTGAAGGGCTTCCTTTTGTAAAACCCAAACCATTGAAAAAAAACTGGTCAGAAAGTGTGGGCTTTGCTGACGTTAATAGATGTTCTTTCACTCTTAACTTCGCTACCAGCCGACGTGGATTTTGCTACAGTTGATCAATAGTGCTAGTTCCGATAAGTCTTAATGCTTTGTTGCAGACACTAAAGCAAGCCCACCAACGCCTCGAAAGCAGAACCCAACTTGTGACAGTTTGCCATATGGGACCTAAAGTGTTCATCAACTGTGCAGGCTTTATCAAGATCGACACAACTTCCTTCGAGAACAGGTAATACAACGGGAGACATTAGTGTTGGTTGAGATGCCATCTGTTTTGATTGTAGATTGTGACATAGGTCTGGCAAGACTTGTATGCTTTTACATGTTTATTTTACGACATTTAAGTTTCTAATAGAATTTATTGTTAATAATTGAAGGGAGGGGGGTTGCATAGGCCGTCCTGATCAGATATATGTGGAGCATGACTGTAATCTGATCATTGCGTTATCCACACCTCATAGCCTCTTACATAGAGGAAGTCATTATGAAGATGTTTTTACCCTAATGCCTTTGTTCATTGTGGTACAGGAATTCCTCGATGGTATTGTGGATGGTGAAAAGCGTCATGCAGAAGCGCCTGGCCTTGTTTCTCAGTTTCGTTGTTGAGTGCCTCTGGCACCAGTTTGTAAACATGTTGGTTACAACCAAATAATTCTATTCCTTTCTTCGTATGTGTTTTTTACCGTGAGAAGGTACACTAACAACCCGCATCTTAATAGTCTGCAAGTGATGAAGTTATTGTGCTGGCATTCTGAATGATAGAAATGTGCTATGTGGAGTAGCACTTGGCACATTCTTTGTCATTGTCAAATTAACAGTCTGCCTTTATATGGGCTGTTTATTTTTATAACTGTTCGCGCACTAGTGTACCTGTCAAGTAGAAAGTCGTGCTTGGTGTACTTTTGATGAGGTGCACCTCTTCTTTTTGGAAGAGATCTGTTTGCAAGACCTTTGGTACTTGCAGTACTAATGCCTATGTGGAGGTGCTGGACGGCTCGCGGGTTCATCCAGAAGCTTACGAGTGGGCTCGCAAGATGGCTGTAGATGCCCTGGAGTATGACGATGTCACCGAAGATGTGAACCCTGCCGAAGCTCTGGAGGAAATTCTGGAGAACCCCGAAAAGCTCAGGGTGAGTGGGTGTTGACATGTATGTTGTCCAGGCTGTAGTGACACTGTATCCCGAAAGGAGTACAGCCACTAGCGTGGGTCCAGGTCTTAGTGAGCCGCAGGGCACCCGTTAACCGTTCTGTGGTGAGAATCACGATACTGCTCAAGGTCGCAACACTTTATTGTCTATAGCGACATCCAAAACGCAGTATAGCCTGTTAAAAGGTGCGGCGGGAAAGCAAATGGTTTATCTATACCACGGGCGAAAAGTACTACAGAGTGTGCCACGAGCACGTCTCCGTGGTAAAAGTGATTCACGGAGGCACCGGGACAAAGGCCCGGTTGCTCGAGCGAGGGCAAAGGCGCTCGCGTTGGCTTCAAAGTGATACGGGTCGGCGTAGCCTGGCCACGCACTAGGAACCCGTACCACTCTTCGGCCTAGCGTTGGGGGGGGGGGGGGGGGGGGGGGGGAGCGTTCGCCGCGGGCGTACCCATCAGGGAACGCTTCCCCATAGTGTTCGACATGGACGCAAAGCGCTGTTGGCAAAGTCCGAATAAGCACTAAAGGGAGCTGACAGACGGAAAAGAAAAGCGTGCTTACCCCCCATGTCGTCCCTGGACAGGTCTCCCCCGCTCCGCGACCTGCGCGCGCGAAACCTCTCAAGAGACTTTGCGCATGGCGCCACAGACAACATCCGCTACCGGGTGAGAGGAGTTGAACATCATTGCTCTCCCAGCGCGGCATCATGTCGGGACATGAGAACGGCAGAAAAGGCGGCAAAGCCCGCGCAAAGGCGGCGAGCTAGCCTCAATTCCCACAAGGCGTGATGTTCCCGGTTCAGCTCTTAGCTCAGGAGGAGGAATATTTGTGTTTTGTCTTAACATGGCTTCCTGGAGCTGCTTTTAACCAAGGAAATGCTCAACATGAAGATGATATTGTTGACTGGCATGCTATGCATTCATTTCTGTGTGAGGTAAATACATAATAATAAGATGTGGTAGTCTAGCTGTCTGCAAATGCTCAATAGCAAAAGATGCTTTACCGTGAAGGTAATTCTTACGTGTTGTTTTTTAGACATGCTGATAAAAGAAATGTGCTTTGCTTCTGTTGGCAGCCGCACATTGCGCCAAGCAAACTCCATTCATGCATTGTAATGAAGCTGCTATAATTTTTTCCGTGACGTTTACTTTCTCTCCCAGGACTTGGATCTCGACGCGTTTGCGGTGGAGCTTGAACGACAGGGATACGGCAACAAGAGCATCACGCTGTATGACATTCGAGCGGAATTGAATCATAGGTACAAAGACCTGCGCACTCCATTCCGGCCCCCTAACCCCGAAGAAACGTTCAACATGCTCACAAAAGAGACCCCACAGACCTTCTACATTGGTGAGTAAGACCATGTGATGCATAATTCTGTGCCCATTGAGATTCTGGAATGCAATTTTGTATTCTGTGGTAACTTTCTGTGCATAACTAAGGGAAGTGTTCATTCAGGATTCTAGCTAGGCTTGGGTTAATCAAGGGTGTGAGTATAAATCTTCTTTCTCGGCACTCTCGGAAAGAAATTGTAGTGGGGGGTGGTATGCTAGGGTGGGGAAGGGCGAAGCTGTATAGGGAAACCTTGTAGGTTGTAGGGGGTTTGTGTACAAGCAACTGCTAGAGGGTTAAACCCACTACACTTTGTGACCACATGCAACAGTCCATGGAGGATGTGTTTGAGCTGACCCACTAGAATGATGCTTAGTTTGTTTAATTGTGCATTGGAAAGCACAAAAAGAGCAATGGATTAAGTGCATCACCAGAGTAAAGGTTTTTGTTTGTTACTCATTCTTTCCAGCAAAAATTAGCTTTCACTTCTGTCCAACATGAGTTGGGGACTCCACAGTGCCCTAATGGACTTAACGTCATTTGTCTGAGCCATTCATTCTGCACAAGAAGCAAGCCACACATTTAAACATTATTACATGCATATTAGTACCTATGAATGAAAAGATTCATGCTTGAGGCAGTAAACTGCCAAGTGAAGAAGGAAGAACAGTTTCTAACTGCTGTTTCTTCATGATTCTTACTAGTGCGGTTTCTTGCCTGCAGGCATACTTACTCCTAGATAGAATAATTCGTAATTGTGGCTGCCTCTCTTTGACTTGGCCGTGGATCGTCATTCCTGCAACTCTCTCTTATTTCAGGCAAAATGGTGACGTGTCAGGTGGTGGGCATTGCACGTCGAAAGCCTCACGGACAGCAGCTGGATCAGGCCAATCCAATCCGAAATGACGACACTGGCCTTTGGCAGTGCCCCTTCTGCCTCAAGAACGACTTCCCTGAGCTGAGTGAAGTGCGTGCCCGTTTTCTACAGCTGTTGTGAATGTTCACCTTCATGTTCGAGCGAGATAGGGTTTCACGAGAAGTAGGTAACTTGGAAACGTTGTGGAGTTTCAGAAGACTTACATTTATTCACAAATCACAGGACATCCGTTATTAATTGAAGTAATCAGTGGTGCGCGTCTGCACACGTTTGCCTTGCAGAGAGTCAATCAATTTCGCACGCAGCTTGCAAAGCATTTCTACTTTGGCTTCAGCATTTTCCTGGCAAGAGAAGTTGCACGTGGAAATGTCCAGCAAAGACACTTTCTAAAGACAACAACAACGACTGCGTAGCGGAGCCTCCCAAAGTCTCCCGCTCTCCGCTACGCAGCTGCAGCATGGCCAGCACGTGACGAGAAAGGAGGAGCCTTCACACGGAGAGAACCAGAGAACCAGATCGGCATTTGAGAGATAACCAACACTCCATGCCAGCTTTTTTTTTTTTGCTCTATTTGCGCGCGTCGTTGAAAGGAGAAGGGTTACGTGGCAGGAAGAAAAAGAGGGAAGCGTGGCACCGGCACGTGAGAGACCCCCCCCTCCCCCTCAAGGCGCAGAGCCGTGCTCCCACAAGGGGCAAGAGCTGCAGAAGATAGTGCCTTTTTCCTTTCCTTCAACCACACATTCATTCAACCCAGCAACAACTTTCTTTTTCCGCTCTCTCTCTCCGCGCGCGGCGTTGGAGGGAGGAGGGTCTTTACTTGCCAGGAACGAAAAAGGGAGAAGAGTGACGCGGGCGCGCCACAGATCGGCATTTGTAAGAGAGGAAACATTCCACCGCTGCCTTTTCTTTCCTTTTCATTTCCTTCACGGGCAGCGTTGAGGTGTCGCAAGTGCCGCCAGGGGATTGGGAGGGGTGCTGAGAGCATTTTTGGGGCACGGTATGTTTGAATTAACCGTCGGAAGTGCTTGGGCGTTCGAATTACCGGGCGTTTTCGCCATTGAAATACACATAGCTTTGACGGGACCTCATCGTGAGTTCTAATTAACCGGAAGTTCGAATTAAGTGTGTTTGAATGAATGAGATTCGACTGTATTTGATCACTTCTGCTGTGCGCATTTGTATTGGTGCCCTCCAGTACCACACTTTTCTGCAAAAGTTCACCTCAGTAGTTACTGTATGTTGTGATGCAAATTTGCTCAACCGGCTGTGAAGCTCTGCGATGAAGATCCAGGAAAATCTGAGGGGAAGTTGTTAATGGGCCTGTTAATCGGCCTGCTGAATAAAACTATTTGCCTCATCAACAGACTGTCTTTATGTACTTGTCCTGGCTTCTCATGCAGGTGTGGAATCACTTTGATGCCGGCAGCTGTCCTGGACAGTCTATGGGAGTGCGAGTGCGCCTGGACAATGGGGTGAATGGCTTTATTCTGACAAAGTACATCAGTGACAAGAAGGTGACCAATCCTGAGGAGAGAGTACAGGTGACTGCAACTGTTCCATATTTCGTGGTTGCTGTTAGTTGAAGCCCTCGTGCAAGCAAAATTATGTGTATCCAGCTATGTAGCAAAATTGCCAATTTCTAATGCTGATGTTCAGCTACGATCGTAGGACAACATTGTACTTTGCAATTTCTGGTTTTCTCAAAGTCCTTCACTTTCTCGAACATGGATGTTCAACCAGCATGCAAGTGGACACAATGCAGGTTATTGAGTCATGTTGAACGTCTTTGTAGCAGAGCAGGTCATGTTGCGTGTCATTGGCAGTGAATTTTTCTCCCTATTTTTGAGTCATCATTAATTCTTTTTTTCTTCTCCTATCCTTTAGATTGGCATGATCCTTCACTGCAGAATAACAAAGATCGACATTGAGAGGTTTACAGTTGATCTGACTTGCCGATCTTCAGACCTTTCTGATGTCAACAATGAGTGGAGGTAGGTTACTCGTGTGTCTTTTGGGTTGTCTTACAGTCGCAGTGATGCATTGTTCCAGAGAATTAGATATCCCATGGGAGATGTGTACAGCCCTGTGAAAAATGTGCTCATGTTCACGTGATGTCGCGTTCTGGTGACTCAGCCGATCGTGTTGTTCTCTGGGATCCCGCAGTGTGATTCATTGAGAGCACAGCTCCCGCATGACAAAATACAGTAACCCCTCGTTAAAATGAAGTCAGTAAGACGGCTAAAAAAATTCAATATAAACGGTGATTCTATATATGAGACTGCCCCATGAAAGCTCAGCAAGTGCTGCTAAATTAGCCATGACAACCTTGCAGAAGTGGTATTCTTTGAAACAAACTTTTATTCTTGCCCAAAAAAGTCAGTCAGCTATCTTTGTCGATGCTTCGTCTGGGCTCGACGAGTGCCTCTTCCTGTTTGTTCAGGCAGATTTTGAGGTTGTGGCCACCGCCTGAGTACTCCACTCTATTTAACAATAAACGTAGGCTCTCCTACATTTGTGCCACTGTTGGTATTCCGCGAGGCTGTTTGTCTAGCAGCTCATCTTCCTCATCAAGGCCTCCAAGCAAGTAGACTACCTTATAAACTGGAATATAAGTCGAGATATTTTCAATAAAATAATAAGTTAAAGTCGCCCCTCGTCTTATACAGCGGTGTCTAGTCGAAAGTGCGACGCTGTCTGGCAACATGTAACTTACATGTGCTTGTGAAGCTGGACGCGGCCATATCCGCATCCAAATCCAATCGCAGTGTTTTTTTTTTCTCTGTCTGTTTTCTTTGTGTTCGTGATTTGCTTCCGATCTGTTCTGAGTTTTCGCTCTGCTTGACATTGCGCTGCATATTTAGTGGCCGTTTTTTTTTTTTTTCGTTCACTGAATATGTCTAGCGGTGTGAGGAGGCAGTACTCAGCTGCGTTTAAACTAGATGTTGTTGAGTTCGCAGAAGCGAACGGGAATATGGCTGCTCAGCGCCGCTTTGGTGAATCGGAAAAAAGCGTGCACTATTGGAGGGCGCAGAAAGGGAAGCTGCAGAGGTGCAATCCTCAAAAAATGTCGTTTCGTGGACGAAGTGCCATTCATCCGCGGCTGGAGGATAAGCTATTGGACTTTGTGCGGGAAGTTCGCTGCGCGCTCGCTGCCAGTGACCGTGGATACCATTGGCAAGAAAGCCGTGGAACTCGCTTGAGAAGCTGGGCTCACGAGAGAAGAGTTTCGTGCACCGAACTCTTGGGTGCGTCGATTTATGCGACGCAAAGGATTTTCTCTCCGGCGTCGCACATCCATCTGTCAAAAGTCGCTAGAAAAGTTCGAGGACAAGCGCATAAACTTTCAGCGCTTCGTGAACCGGCTTCGGTAGCAGAACGACTACATGATGGGGCAGATTGGTAACGGCGATGAGACCCCCTTGTGGTTTGACATGCCTTCGTCGACCACAATTACGCAGCGCGGCGCAAAGGATGTGAAGCTGTTGTCCACTGGCAACGAGCACTCACGCTTCACCGTCATGCTGCAATGCACGTCAGATGATAGAAAGCTTCCGCTCTGCGTCATTTTCAAATGCAAGACAATGCCGAAGGAAGCGTTCCCGCCCGGTGTTGTCGTTCGTGTCAACAAAAAGGGATACATGGACGAGACCATGATGCTCGAATGGATACGAGTGGTGTGGAACCGTCGGCCAGGTGCACTGCTGCGTCTTCGCAGCATGCTGGTGTTGGATGCGTTTCATGGCCACTTAACTGACGCAGTGAAACGTGCACTCAGCGACGAGAAAACGGACCTCGCCGTGGTACCAGGTGGTATGACGTCCACCCCCCAGCCGCTTGACGTTGTGCTAAACAAGCCGTTCAAGGACCGAGTGCGGCTGGAATACCAAGAGTGGATGTCCGGCGACAACCCCAAGACACCGATGGGCCGCCTACAGAGGCCTACGCTTGTGACTGTTTGTGGCTGGGTGCTTTCCTGGCGCTCCTTGCCGGATTCCATGGTGGAAAATGCTTTCAAGAAATGTTGCATCAGCAACTTGCTTGATGGCACTGAAGACGACGCACTGTGGGAGGCGGCCAGCGACAAACTCCCGTCTTCAGAAGACAGTTTTGCTTCGTCGGACGAATAAGAGCAGTTGCGATGGTGGTTGAAGGGAGCTCCGACGATCGGGGTGCGGTGTGCCCAATTCGCAAATAAATTTGGTTTGTCAGTTTTGGGTTGTTTTCTTTTTTTTTTTTTCTTTTTCGGTAACCTGAACTTGGGGGGTCGACCTATAGTCCGGTTTATACGGTATTTCGGCATCTGTAGCTGGGGCAACGACGAGTACATCTGCCTTAGCCATCGCGAATTATTCAAAGGTGCCTTCCAGATCTCTGCCAACGATGTTGTTCACTGCTTCTTAGAGATCGTCGCAGTTCTTGCAGTTGTCATAAGCGTCTTCTGCATGCGACTGGGAAAATCTTGCATGTGCAAAGCAGTTTTGTAATATTTGCAGGTGCTAGTTCTTTCCATGAATGGCATAGTAAATGCACTGCTTTAAGTAAGTCGATGGCTGTATCTCTTGTTGGCACCATACGCAACGAGCATCCGTTGTAAAAGACTTTACAGGTATAACTTTCGTGTTGTCCTCTATAATGCCTTGGTCCATGGGCTGCAATATTGCGGTTGTATACGCTGGTGGAAATTTCAAAGCGATCGCTTGCAGATTTTAAGTCGTGCCATGGCTGGGGCAATTGTCGATTACAAAAAGCAAGTGCCTTTGCTTTGCCCTAAACTTTCAATTGAGCAGGTGCACATACTTTTTGAAAAAAGCTGCAGTCATCTTAAGCTCATCTGTCGCTTTTGTATATGCAGTCTTTGGGTATCGTTTCAGTTTTGAAAACATCAGGGCTTTGCCATCTTTCGCAGTATCAGCATAGTAAGCTTGTCTTTCTCCCCATCGAGTTAACGCCGAACAGAACTATCGCACGTTATTTGCTTTGTTTACATCCTTATGAGGTTCCACGCAGTGTAGTGTACGTGCGCTTCGGCAATAGTTTGTAAAAGAATGCCGCCTCGTTCCAGATGGATCTAACTTCATACTTCTCAGAAACTCTTCTCGAAGTTGTCCAGTACGGCATCCTTATTCTTTAGAACAATATAATAATGTTGACGGCGATATTCTGAATTGTCTCGCGATTTCAGACTTCTGCCGGCCTCCTTTCTCCACCTCACATATCAGTTGAGCTTTCTGCTCCAATGTCAGATACTTTCTTGCAAGCACCGGCGGTGCCATTTTCACTTGACATTCACTAAAAGCACACACAATGCGCACACACGTCACGGGTTCACACAGACATTGCACAACACAAGCATACGTGTGTCTTCCAAACACGAATGGAAAAAACTCGTTGAGCACGCCAAGGCTTTGTACTGGTCATGTGACTCCACTGGCGTAGTGGGGAGCAGTTGGCATAATTACTAACGTTTACAAGGAGCAAGTGCCTCTGGTAGTCTCTTCAGTACCGGAGTAGGGTGTGAAGCAGGAGGATGAAATCAGCGCTGCAGATACACCGTCGGCACGAATCTGCACTGGAGCCCTTTAGCATGTGAACGTGCTTGCTCAGTGCAAAAAAGTCTGCTCGGCGCGGGACGTGGATAAAAAAAGCGCGCAGGCACTTCGGCGGCCTAGGCGGTCGCTCACCCGCTCTCAGCGCCGCCGTGAATATGGATCTGCAACTTGTTACTTCGCTCTAAGCGGAGCAACCTATCAACATGCTTCGAGTAATCCGGTCTAAAATACACGCATTAGGGTTGGGACTGCGTGACACTGTGATAACAGCGATAATTCAAACAAAGTGATTTCATTGTATCAAGGGTCTACTGTATGTTAAAGCAGCTGTAGTACAAAGACGCACATGAAGAGACACATCCTGGAACAGTAAAGCATAGATTATCAGTCTAGCATGGACTTCTAGAAGTTTAGGGTAAGATGAAAGCTTGAAATGGTGAGAAGTGTTGAGTAGTGGATGTTGCTTGAGCCAACATTTCAGCTAGGACACTTGTCTTGGTCAGGGTGTAGGTTTGGTTGCTTTGATTAGTACAATGAAAATTGTGATGTCAGAATTGACGTGAGAGGAAGATTAAATGCATTCAAGCCTCATAATAGCTCAGTTGCATATTACATGAAAACATGTTTATTATATCCGAAAATTTCTTATAAACAAATTTTTTGTAACGCTGTCTATTGCACGACTATTTTTCCAATGCTTCTTTATAGCCGATATTTTGCTACACTGAAAGCTCGTTAATTCAAACTTCAATAATTCGATCTGTAAGTTATGGTCTGGCCAAGCTCCATACAAGCCTATGAATAAAAAGCCCGTTAATTCGAACTATGTGCCAACGCGCCAGCGGCTTGGCTAGTCACTCTATAAGGCGGCTGCGGAGTTACGAGGCGGCGTGGACAGGGAGCGGAGAAACTGGCACGGAGGCCAGAGGGCAGGAAATAGCGCCACTTACTCTTCACCCCCCTCCCCCCACAATCTCTTTCTCTCGGCGGCTGCCTGCTCTCCGTCCTACGTAACCTCGAAGATCAGTTTTTTTTTAAGCACTAATCTCAGAGCCTTTGAAAATCCTGCGTAGTTGTCGCTGTTTGACTGCAGATGGCATGACCAGCACACAGCAAATCGGGTGCGTCGTAGCTTCGCCCAGCCTTCTCTGCAGTCTCTGTCTCGGGCGTTCGTAGTACACCTCGGTTGTTGGTGCTGGGAGTAGCTTCCGACTGTCGCGATTCTTTGTGTTGGTGTTAGGCCTCGGCTAATGTTTGTTGTGGTAGCGCCAGTAGTAGCTTCCCGTCTGTCGCGATTCTGCTGCTCCGACTTGATGGCGTGTAGCCCGCGGCAAATGCCGTGCCAAAACACTTCAGGAGAAAGCTGGTATCCTGCGGGAAGTGGACGCCGGACTCTTGCCTAAGCAAGATATCGCTGAGAAAGCATGGGATACCGAAAATGACGCTATCTACTTATATAAAAAATAGGAGGACTATTGAAGATGCCTTAGAGGCAGAAGTTGCGAGCAGAAGGAGGAGGTTGCGGCCCGCAAAGTATTCTGACCTCGAGGAAGCGCTTCTCATTTGGATAAAGGAAATGCGTTCGCAAGTGCACTCAAGTGCAGTGGTGTGTGGTGCACTCACGGATGGCGACATAATATGTCAGGTGAGAAGTGCAGAACCTGTAGCTGACAGTGACGGTGATGAGGAGGAGGACGAAGCACCAGTGCGGCCCTCTGCTGCGGAAGTCATGGCCGGATTGAATGCCGCTTGTCTTTTCGTAAGTTTTGAAGAAGGCAACGAAGAGGCCTTCCGCCAAATTCGCTCGTAGAGCAAAAAGTGCTGGCTGTCGCCTTCAAGAAAAGAAGGCAGACCGCGATGACAGATTTTTTTCAAAAAATAAATTGTTATGCCCTACTCGCAGTGCACTATTGTTGTTCTTCACTTTCGTTAGTTCAAACTTTCGTTAATTCGAACTGAGGCAGCTTTCCCTTGCGGTTCGAATCAACGAGCTTTTACTGTATATCCATATCCATTTTATCGAGGTTTGAGTGTAGTTTGGCCTGGTAATGAGAGAAATTATAAGGAAGGTGTCATCACTGTAGAGCACTTGATTTTAGTGGTATAAAGAAGGAATTGTATGAATTGAAGAGGCAGCAAGAAAGATCGTTGCAAAATTTTTTTAACCATGTGAGAATCATTATAGTAAATCACTGACGTCATGAATACTCCAGGCTGCAAGGTCATACATTGAAATCAGTCTTGTGACACTTAGTGGGGTCAAGTATTCGAGTAATCTACTGTGAGCTTTCTAATCTCTTGTCGGTCTCAGTGGCCTACATTAATGCTTTATACATTCCTTTTCATTTACAGGCCTGCAAAAGACCTGTACTATGACTATGAGTCTGAAGAAAAGGACAGGAAGGTTGATGATGACTCTAAGAAGAAGCAGAATCGGCAGAGTGAGTTGACATTTTTGTTGTTTCCCCCATTCCATCTTAGTAAGAGCAATACCAACTGCCTCTAGTAAAGTAGGTGCTTGCAAACACCTGCTTCATTTCATGAGGGGCATTACATGTTGGGCAGTGCTGTAGTCATGGGCAGAGCGATTCCCTACTCTGTGCTTTTAGTTGCAATACTTACAGTCTCTGCCGTCCTTTTTTTTTTTTCAGCGTACGTGAAGCGTGTGATAGTTCATCCTTCGTTCCATAATATCTCTTACAAGGAGGCTGAGAAGCTGCTCAGCACTATGGATCAAGGTGATGTGATCATTCGTCCTAGCAGCAAGGTGAGTAGAACTGTTTTTGTAGAAAAATTTTTTACTTTTCTGGTGCGTATGGAGAGAAACGGAGTGAAATTACAACTTTTGCATTACCTCTAATGTTGTATTGCAATGGCGTGTAGTAGTGTTAGGAAGGGACTATAAAAAAGAGATAATTAAGTAGAGCTGTAATAATTACTGAATAGTAACTACATCGTCTGCTGAGGAGACCTAAGACTTAACATATCAAGCTTTAGGTAACTTTGTTGAACCAAAATAGGAATAGACTTCAAAATCTGCGACGTCTTCTGCGAATATTTCTGCGCAGAATTTAAGAATGAGACTTTAACCTTCATTTTCTGTTTCATTGAAAACTATTGTGTTGAAATTAAGAAGAGCGGTATTTTGGAAATACAGCCGAGCCTGCTTATAACGAACCTGATCCTGACGCGGCATCCGTTCGCTGTATCCCGAAGTTTGTAGTAACCTTTTTTTTTGCCTAAAAAAGTCCGTGATGCATGTGTTTCGAAGAGCAAAAGCGATAAGGGCGGTCTCTAGTTTATTTCAAACAGCCGTGTGCTTGTTCGACAAGGCCTGTGGCATAAGCTGCATGAGAGACGGGCTAGAAACTTTCGTCGTTCTCGCAATTCGATTCCTCCAAATCATCCTTCCCATGTACTTCATTCACAATATCCTAATGTGTGCACGATTCTGCGGTGTCGGCATCATCATCGACCGTAATGAGACTGTCGCTACAGATGTTCCACCCGCTCTTCCATATCGGAGTCGACGGCACGCTGCCACAAATCACCCCTGAAGTGATCCTGTTCGGAAGCTTCAGGCTCAGCATCGGGCCCGATGTTGACGACGAAGTTGGCCTCGCAAAATCAGTTTCGCTAGCATGTAGCCGTCACCGCTGCCCACGAAATATTCACCATCTCCACAGTGGAATACCGGGACCCCCGAAGCGGCAAGTTGGCTGCCAGGTGGTCAACAGCTATGAGCAAGCGCTTCGCAACGCGGCACCTAACGCGCAGATTACGCTCAAGCCAAGCAGTCACAGTTTTGACGTTTTGTTGAGCAGCAGGAAAAAGCGTGCTAGTACTCTCGTCTGCCATCCTGATCACACACGCACACCAAGAGCGAGCAAGACGCGCACACGTGACACGCATGCCAGAACGCGCGGAACAACTGTGGGCCCGTTTCTAGTCAGAAAACGAAACTAAGTCGAGCCAGAATGGCTTGCGTTGCGGAGCAGTGGAGTCGGGCGAAGGGGTTGGGATCAAGAGAGGAGAGCAGATTTGCAAGAGAAGGGCAAGGAGTTGCGAGAGGGGAAGATATGGTGGGAAAGCGACCTTGAAAACCAAAACACGCGGGAAGGAGGCAGGTCGGGTAGCTTGCTTGAAAGGTCCGCGAAACGTGCAACTCGCGTGTAGAAAAACTTGAAAGAGTGCTTCCGTGCGCAGAAGTCAAGGCACGGCCGCCTGGATTGGCGGTCGTGGTCAAAAAATCGTTTTGTTGCGCCGGCGGGTTTCCGTGGCCTCACCGACTTCGATGTTTCACTATTCGTTCCGCTCAAATTAACAGCCATTTTCACGCATCCGCACGCGTGCGAAGTGCATGCTGAGCCGAGTGTGAAGTGAGGGAGAATAGGTCCTAAACACAAAACGAATCACGAATTATCAGAGTCTGTGGGGTAGCGTACGTGCATGCACTATACGCAGACGATCGCATACAGTCGGTGGCCGGCGATGTTGGCAAAAGGTCTGGCCAGGCTGGTGACGCCAACGACAGTACCAGTGATCAGAAACTGAAGAGATGGCCGACCGGTCTTTGAAAGATCAGTGGCAGTGCGAAAACACGGGCGTCGTCTGGTGGGGCGGTGTGCTCAGAGTAGCGGGGTGGACAAAGCACAAAGGGGTGTGTAACGAAAAGCTGGGTCGGGGAGAGCGGCAACTAGAGGGGCGCGTAGGCAGGGTCGGCGTTCAATAAAAATAATGTATGGGCACCTCGCCGAAGCCTGATCGGTGGTTGAAAGTGGTTTCTTGAGAAGTCGTCTGAGCGCCGAACCCGTTCGCTGTAACCGATCGGCAGCGCTCGGAGACTTCGTTGTAAGTGCGATTTTGTGCCATGAACAAATGTATGTTTGCTTGGTCATGCGGGTGTTGTTCGTTTTGAGCGAAAGTTCGTTTTAAGTGGGGCCGTTATATGTGGGCTTGACTGTATAGTTAATCAGTCCAAACCATGGGTCAGCAACCTTTTGAGGAAGAGTGCCAAGCTAATGGATGCAAAACCAGGGCGGGGGGGGGGGGGGGGGCAGGTAGGGGGGGTCTTGGGTGGTGCGCATGCTCAGAGAAAAATTTCAGCGAATTGACGCTAATGTAAAAAACAGAAGTAGAAAAGATTATTTTCAACACGCATGTCACAAGGCTGCAGTTTACAGACGTAGAGTACAAGCAAAGACACCATGTGAGGCCAAAACTGCCACGCTGGCCTTTGTATATGAATTGACTCTGCAAAGGAGTGGGAGTTGTCCAGGGGCCGCACAGTGCTACGTCACAGGCTGCCAAACCCTGATCTAAACTGATTCGTTGTGTTAAGTTAGTGTTTCTAAATGTAGTTTTGAAGTATTAATGTCTCTTTTCGCTTCAACAATGCAGGGTGTTGACCACCTGACAGTGACATGGAAGGTGTACGACGGCATTTTGCAGCATATTGATGTAAAGGAGCAGGGGAAAGAGAATGCCTTCAGTCTAGGGTCTTCTCTGATGATCAACAACGAGGTAGGCAGCTATGAAAGGAATCACTCAATGCCTCTGCTTGCTTAAAGTTGTGCTCTCACGTGAAACTGCCAGGCTGCTTGCTTTGTATGTGCAACTGAAGTGAGAAGTAATTCAATTAATTGAATATGCCGTGCCTAATTGCGGGGCATTTTCCATTTCCAATGTTTTCAGGAGTTTGAAGACCTGGACGAAATCATAGCCAGGCACGTGCAGCCAATGGCAAGCTTTGCACGTGACTTGACAACGTTTCGGTACTTCCGGGATGCCGAAGGTGGCAAGCGAGAGGTGATTGAGAAGCTCCTCACTGAGGAAAAGAAGCGCAATCCTTCCAAGATCCACTACTTTGTATCAGCCTCGCGAGAGTTTCCTGGGAAGTTTATGCTTTCCTACCTGCCACGAGTCAAGGTATGTCCTCCCATGTGTTTTTTCAGTGATTAAAAAAAAAGGGCAATGCTGCAAAAAGTGCAAGTCTTGATATACAGCAAAATCTCGGTAGAACGAACTCAGGTGACTGTGGCAATTCGTTCTTATTTTGAAAGGTCATTATAGTGAAAGCCTTAAAAGTAACCATAAATACTTATTTTCCACTGACCAAAACGACTTACCTTTACAATGGTGATCCTTGAACTCGTTTTTCATGATAAAAAACAAATGCGCAAGTGAACACCAGAAAAAATGCACGTTTTCTTAAAAGGTTCATGATTTTTTTTTTCTGATGCGTGCGGCACAAATTTTGCAGCGCGAAGGCCTCCAGCTAATCTACACTCTCCTTAGCGAAAATTGCTTCCGCTTCTTCGTCGCAAGCAGGGATGAAATCATTGTAGTAGCACCGCAGCGCAGAACGCCGACTTGCTTTGCGGACGCTGTAAGTAATCCGCGAAAGGATCATCACGACTGAGAAGGCCTCCTCAGAGAACTCCTATTATACCCCTTTGGCCTCCTAGATCGCATATAGAAGTGACAAAGATAAGAAAAACCCGAAGCGTCGTGGCTGTCATCACCTCTTCCGAAGAAAAGAAAGAGCCAAAAAAGAAAATTTCTCGCGTGTCGTTTTCTGCTTCCTCGCTGTCTCAATTTTTTCGTGCTCATGCTTCCTGCTCCGCAACTCGCACTCTGCCCTCTGTCTCGCTGACCTCGCGTTCCCGTGTTGCCCTCGCCTCTGCGCTTGCAAACCTGCAGTGTCGACGTTTCAATAAAAAGAAAGAAAAGAAAGTCATTCTTTTGTTGTTTTTTTTTCCTCCACACCGACGCGCGTCTTCTGAGAAGCAAGGCGTTCGTTCGCTGTGTCGTCTGCTTGGGTGCCGCTCCGGTGGTCGCGACGAATTTCAGAACATGAGTTCGTAGTACTGAAGCGTTGGAATATAACGAGGAAATAAATTAGTGCTCGTTATTCTGAAAAGTTTGGTATTCTGAAGTATACAGCAGGGAAATAATTTTACATTGAAACTATTAGCAGTTGGCACGAGATTTTTTTTTTTAATTTCATTAATCTGAAAAGTTCGTTAAAGTAGTGTTTGTTCTACCGAGATTTTACTGTACTTGCGCTTTTTCTGCAGCAGATTTATAGCTATGGAAGCATAACTGCAGAATATATATCGCAATCGTTGAGCAAGTTGCACTTTAGATAAATGTCCACATATCAACTTGTGTAGCGCAGTATCTTGGTAAAACAACAATTGCTTATTAGACAGAATTGCTTCTTGAATAGAACAGTTTCCTCTAACTTCGTTGCTTTTGTACATGACTCCTGTTGAATGGAGCTGTATGATAAAATTCTAATGGACTGGTTACTGTTTAATTGCATCATTAGTCTCTATAAGTGTATAGATGTCAAGGGCACTGCAATCTTGCATAACCAGGATTTGCCTGACTGTTTGAACAGTTTTTCTCATTACACCGCGTGGTATCAACTTCAGCAAATGGAAGAGCCTTTTCAAACTTCGTTGCTCACAGGTCCGCCACGAGTATGTGACGGTGACCCCCGAGGGCTTCCGCTACCGCCAGCAGATGTTCCACTCTGTGGGCTCCTTGTTCAGGTGGTTCAAGGAACACTTCCGGGACCCCATCCCGGGAACGCCCAGCAGCGGCGTGACTGCAGTGCGCACACCGATGGGCCAGTCGTCTTACATCGGCGCCACGCCCAGCATCAACATTTCGAGTGAGTGGCCAGCGTCCCTGTCAGGCATGGCTGTCTTGTATCGTTCTGTGTATTGATTTGTCGAAGAAGTGAGGAGAAATAAGCTGTAGAAAAAGTAAAGGGGAAGCTGCACAATTCGTTGGCAATTAGCCTTTCATTCTTTAAGGTCTTAGGCCTCTCTCATTTATTTTTGAACCAAATGTGACAAAAGTTGGCATGCTTCCTCAGTTTGTTCTCCAGATTCTAAAAATGTAGTCATTTTTTGTGTAGCTTCATTAGTTCATGATTTAATTAGGATAACAATATCTATTGTTCCCACTACAATAAAAAATACCCACCAGTTCGAAATTTACAAATAGCATAGGGGTCAACACTATAAAGCACAAGCTACACAACATAGCAAGCACTTTTTCCATTGGGTCATTATTTTTTACTTTACTCTAAACTTCATGGCTCTGAATGTGGCCATTGTGTGGTCACACAAAGGACTAATAAAAACTTGCATCAAGAGAAATCAAAATCTGCTTGCTATGTTGTGTGCTCCAAACATATAGCTTCATGCTGCAAAAAAAAATTATTCTGCTATCTGTAATAGTTTCCGTTATGTTGCAGGAATTTTAATGCAGGGTGTACAAAATTGCCATTTTGAGAAAATCAAGAAAACAAAGAATTCTTACATTTTTAACCGTAAAAATGTATGTACTTAGAGTTACATACGGCAAGGTTTATTTGAGGAACTGCAAAAGTTAGGCTCAACATGCGATAGCGTGACTGATATTGTGTTTCCGCGTGGTTCCTCGATCTTCAGAAAACAAGTGTCGCAACTTCTCTTGAAATTTTTATAGCTTCATTTAGCAAAAAGGAAACCGGGCGGGGCAATTGCCTGCAAATTATGCAAGGCTAGATCCGCCAGCTACCTACATCATCCTTAACCTTAATTTAACCTTAGTCATTAACATATGTATGGATACTAGAAAGCCTAAGAAGGGCAACACTGCAAGCTTATCAAAAACGCAACGAGTACTTCAGGAATTGCAGCACAATAAAGTTCGTTACATGTAACCAAAAACAAAAATATTTATATTAAAATAAAAAATGAAGCTGCCCATTAAATATAGGCTCCCAGCATTGTTTTTTGTGCATGTTTAGCTACATTGTGCGAAGACAATTAGAGCTCTAGCTGTCCTAGGTCCACTTTTACCGAACAAGCAAAAGAAAGTGATCAAATTTTGTGCTTCGAGAAAAATGCTGTTAAAACTTTATTTCGCCGTTCCGAGTGAAAAATATTATGGCACACATACCTTTACCATGCACCGGGAATGTAATAGTATTGTTTGCACGAGCGTGTTGGTTCTTCTAGTACTGTAGCAAGTTGCCGTGTGCTCGTCTGGCGCAAGGCCGCTTATCAGTTCGGTGACTGTACTGACGGCGATGTGCGACGAATGTGCACGCGTCATCCGTGATCCATCAAATTACACGGCGATGTTTTCCGGCTTGTTCAAAATGAGTTATCCGTAAATGTCGCGAACGAAACTTGCTCCCTTGCTCATCGATTTCAAGGTTACACGAGTGCCGAGGTGTTGAGTTTTCTTTTCACTTAAGACTGCCGCATTTTCGAGCGGAGATCGCGACAACATTGCAAACACGTCGTTAAAAGCAGTCTACCAGTTGCCAGTAGCCTTCATTGCACGGGCGGCGAGTACGCTCACCACGAACGGATTGACTTTCTGTTGTTTGTCGACACGCGGCGTACTCTGACGACCCGTCGTGCAGTTCAAGGTCCTTTCGTCAGGCGGGGGGGGGGGGGGGGGGGGTAACCGCGACATCGACGCGTTAAGTGATAAGACTGCACTTCCGTTTTGTCACTACAAAGATTGACATCTCTTGTAGCTTCACTTCTGCTTTTTACTTTCCGTCCTCTAACTGATGAGGCTGTAAGACAAAGCCGCTCTCAGTAACGTTGTCGGCAACCAACGGGCTCGTACGTGAGTTAGGCCTACACCGGTGACTCGGCGCGCGGCGAGTTCGTTATCCTTGTTGTCCTGAGCCATAGCGGGGCTCTTTCTGAAGTTCACACCGAACGAACGATCGCCACACCCACTTCATAAGTTACTGTAGCACGGAACTTCTTTACTGCCGCAAGCAGACAGCAGCACCATGACAAAATGGCGCATGTCCGTGCGCGTCACGATCGTGAAGCAGACGCCGGAAACGCCACTTTGCCAATCGGATGCCTAGGTTTTGTCACGTGCCCCAAGCAGCCAATAGAATCGCGCGATAGTGCTTCTCAAAATCAATGAGCAAGGCGAGCCAGCGGTGGCGGGAAATTGAAGATGAAGAATGACCCTTCCAAACGAGACCAAGATGAACACAATAGCTTGTGTGTAACGGCAACAGTTCGGTGTGGAAAAAGTGCGATTTTAGCGTCAATTTGCGCTCACATTCATCTTAAAGGGATGTTATAAATTGATTTTGTGCCAGAAATAATGACGCGAGAAGCTAGAAACTTCTCAGATAGGTGCAAAAATAGGTACAGATTCCGAAAATGTCCACTTCCAAAAGTCGACTTTTTTGTGATTTTTGGCCTTCTAAAACCCGTGTCCCCCCTTAAATAGTCACCAAGTGATTATTTGGAAAGTTTCGAGGCACTGTTATTGACCCCATGAGCATAATTTATGTAAGAGTAATTTAAATCCTTGATTCCTTTTACTATTGTAGTTTGACAGTGTGAACTCCAGCAAGATGATTGAACTACCATTTTAAGCAGGAGAGGCAATGTGTTTGCTTTGGTGCGTTGTTAGCACACCCTTCAAAGCAAAAGTAGGAAAGCCTAGCTGACTCAATAGCACTCCAAACTTCAGATCAACCTTACACGTTGCTGCTGAATTGTAATTGCTGTATTTTAATTTCTGTTAGTTATGTGGGTTCTGCATACATTCCACTCACTATCTCTCTTTTTTTTCTCTAATTTATCGCAGTAACTTCAGCACCAATAAGGCATTGCAGTGGGGAAGTTATACAATATGCAATATTCAATAGTAACAGCAGCATCTATAATAACATGATTGCATCAGACTTCTTTGGTTCTATGAAGAACTCTTTTACCTATAATCATCAAGCAGCTTAAAATACTGCCAAGTTCACTTTTGAAGTGCCGGAATATATCCGCTGTCCAAACTGTCTAAATCCATAGTGAAGCTAGGAGAGTGCCAGTGAAATTTGTATAATTATAGCACTGTGACCACTGTGCTGAAAGGTGCAGGCATGTTTAATGTCGGTGCTTTTGTTTAAATCAATATGCGATAGGATTTACATGTATTCCTTGTGTCTCTTCTCTTTCCAACTAGATGTCGACCCTCAGGCTATTCAAAGAGCAGCAGCCAACATTTCGAGCCACATGTTTGCCTCGTTATCTCAAGTGGCCGGCCAGACGCCATCATTCCCAACACCATACGGCGGAACATATGCGAATGCGTACCCTTACCACCAGGTAATTGGACATGCTTTTACTTTTCCTCCCGTGATGCGACACCTAGAGCTTGTGATTTACGTGGAGAGATAGTTGTAAATTTTGACGGCAGACGAATGAGCACCCGTGAGAGTCGGTGAGGTGGTCGGGATGCCAATAAGTATCAGTGGAAGTTAGCATGAATGTAGATGAGTATAAGTGGGTGCTGTTGTCATCGTTAGTGAGTGTTGACAAGTAATAATTGTACATAGGGTGTGAGTGGGTAGATACTCTGCAAGAACACTGGTGTGTGGCTATCTGCTTATTCTGCCTACTTGTGGAGCAGATTCTAGGCTGCACAAGAAGACCGTGATGGAATATATTGGAATTGTAACTGAGGTTTCATGCCCTCGCTTTACAGCCAGTTCTTAGAGCGCAGTTCCCTGACAGTTGGCGTCGTTTATGGCAAACTCAAAAGTGCCATAAAAAGTGGTTAAATGTGTCAGTAATTTGTTGGGTGTAGACTTGCTTTTCAAAATATGCACAAATTAGTGACTAAGTTGAGTTTTTTCATGCGGTTTTATTACAAAGTGCTAACAACGCCTTTAGTGGCAAGGTGAGCCTTCTTGCTTCGTGAAGTCGTGCCTGCTGCATACTTACGGGTCATACTGCTTTTGTTCTGTTGCAACCAGGAGAGTATGTAGTGCACGCGAAGGAAGTTCTCTCGGATGTCTTCGAAACCTCCTCTCACTCTGTTGGCTTTTATAGAATCATCTGCACCAGGCTGAGCTTGCTGGGAGCTGTGTCGCTTCAACTGGAGAAATCTGATGTTTGAAAGGCAGTGCATGGGTGGTGTGCGTAGCTTGTTGGGTCAATGTAATGAAGATGAGTTTCCTGGAAATGTTGCATGCTCTATGTCTCTGCAATGCCTTGATGGCCCTACATTACGAGGCCGTACATGTGTGGGTTGTCGCCAAATAAAGGCCTGCAGTACATTTGGAGTAGCGCTACAAGGCTACGGCACACGTACAGCCCAACATATAGCAACAATGGCTAGCCAAAGGTGCTTATTGTAGTAGGGTTGCCTATGATAAATCATACTGGTGTATTCTTCAGAGGCCTTTATCTCGCCTTCACTTTTTTCTGATGCTTATCGTTGAAAGCACTTCAGCAATCGCGCGGGAGTCAGAATAATTGATCAAGTGGTTTTCTACAGTTACTGAAAAGACGGAAGGCGTTTTGCAACACATAATTGTTTCGGTGTGTGGAGGGACACGATTAACAATTATGCAACAAAAAGCTTCTTGCATCCTTAGGCATTGTTCAGTTCGTCGCGGGTAGTGGCAGCAGTAGAGAACAGCGTCAGAAATTGTTGGCGTGAAAAATCTGACCACCAGGCTTCGTGCCTCCTCCTCTACTTTTTTTTCTTGCAGTTATTCTGCCCCTGGAAAAACTCCTAGAAATTGAGTGTCCTCGCTCGTGGCTACAATCTGTACGGAGTGCACGCTGTTTCAAGATATTTTTGTTGCAATAAGACTTGAGCGGAGCTGGTGCTGTTGCAAGCCTTTTTCATGCTCTAGGAGGCATGTTTGTTTTTGGTACTTGCGGGTGCCATATTTTCACTGTGACAGTGTCTGAAATGTTTGTTGGGAAAGCCAGATGCTTTGAGAAATGTTCTGTATAACTGGATGCAGTTTCAGTGGGTACTGTGGGACAATCAAGTCGTGCACCAAAATATGGTTGTTATAACTGGTAGATTGTTATAAATTGATTCGTCTGTATTAATTCGTCGATCTCCATCTCTGCCACTGTATTCACAAACCCCAAGGCTGGTGAGATTGAGTCACATTCACCTACCCCCTTACCCCCCCCCCCCCTTTTTTGCATGGTTTATTATTGCAGCAGCCGTACACACCTTCACAAGCGATGGCAACCCCACTGGTGACCCCATCGTACCACCATGCGGTAGCCACACCATCGGTGACACCGCGTTACCCACAGACCCCACAGACTTCGTGGGCGGCTGCCCAGCAGACCCCACGAGGTGCGCACACACCACGGCACACGCCGGCTGCAGCTGCTGCGGCTGCTCAAGCGGTCATCCAGGCCAACCCCATACCCACCGTTGTGTCTGGTACCAAGTAAGTTCCAGAACCTTCTTTTAACTCTTTTCGGTTTTCTGAAATGTACGTTGAGTTTTGCTTGCCAGCTGATCTATTTGGGGCTGTCGTTTGAAAGAAAGCTAATAAAGGGGTAGTTAACAGTGGAACAAAGAGGCGACACAACCTCAGAAGAGAACCATGGTAGCAAGGCTCAGGTTTTTATACAGGGAAGTCATATTAATTGGACACCACTATGTTTAATATACACTCTAACCTCGATATCACAAACTTGGATATAAAAAAATTTCGGTTATAACGAAGTAAATAAAAAGTAGTCTTGGAATAGATACTGTCAGGCAATACACCTTCATAATAAATTTTTGGATATAACAGACGTTTTCATGTATGATGCAACTTTGAGTGTAGTATAACAAGTGCCGACGGAAGGACCATGTAGTTAAAAAAGACGCAAAAAAAGGTAAAGAACAGTAATATTTAGAATTTCTCTGGCACGCAAACTTGGGATGGGCTTGGTTGATGCAAGATTAGAGTCGTTTTGTGTCTTTTTCGGAAATTCTTTTATTCTGCAGTTACCTTGCATATGCACTGATGAAGATGTGTGACCTACAACGTGCAAAAACACTTTTGCAGGAGCACAGGCAACCCATCAATTGCCGACTGGAAGCGCATGGCGGAGCAGTGGGCAAAACAACGCATGGAGCAGCAAGAAGCGTCAAACCGCGCAGCCGCACGTCGTACGCCTACAACTGGCGCATCGCCGAGCCCCATGATCGAATCCACTCCAGCCGGGGATGCCACACCGCTCATAGACGAGCAGTAGTCAACTGCCTTCAAGCTGTTTTATATGCTGCTGTAACGGACTGCCTTCTTTTTTTGATGAACTCTGGATACTGTTTTCTCGTGACTATTTAGGTTCTTTATTTTTTTTTCTTTGGGATGATGCATTGGGGAATACGATGATGCCAGCCTCACAGCCAGGCTTGGCAGGGCCCCTTTGCAAGCTGGATCGTATCTAGCAACTAGGTCACCGTGGCACGCTTGGGTGCTTCTCGGAGCGAAGTGCAAGCTTGGGGAAAAACTGCATCGTGTGAAAATTGAGAAGTGATTTTTACCAGCTTGCCATGTAAATACGTTTTTCACGCACAAAAGCAGGTATTTAAACTGTGTAACTTTCCTTTATCTGCATTATATGCCTCAAGTGAAACTGGTACATGATGAATAAATATGCAATGCGAATTCTGTACCCCAGTGTCTGCTTCAATGTTTGGCTCGAAAAGCCGTACAGAGCGTCGCGCTCACTTGAGGTGCTTGTTCGTATTGGATTGGCCATTATTTAAACAAAATTCTATTAAAGGGACCTTGGAACGGTTTTGGTGATTTTGTAAAACATTGGCTCGGTAGGCGAAGTCCTAACGGTCATTCACAGAATCACGTGAGCTCTTTGCATAAACTGCGTAATTTATTGCAACACTTTCAGGCTGCGAATTGCTGCACATCGCTGCAATTCTTCCAAATGCATTTTGAACCGCCCATTCACAGAACGACATGCTCTGGTATCGCGACGTCATTGAGGCTACTGATCCGATTGGCTGTGGAATGCACAGAAGTAATATATACCTGTCGGAGCAGATATCAACACTCCGTGACGTTCATCTTTGTTTCCAGACAGCGTGCATGCTGGCCGATGTACTTTGTGATGGCCTTTAAGATTGCATGCAACCTGTCAGCGTACAATCTTGGAGGTCCAGACTGGGCAAAGCTTAAATCGTCAAGTGCACTCATGAGAGCTCTGCTATCGCCAGCGTGTCTCGTGAGTTGAGGAGGCAAGGTAGAAATTAGGAGACATGTGATGTAAAATTGTCCCTAGTGGCTTTGATTCACGGCGTGTCGCTAAATCTGTGGTGCGAATGGTTCGATGATGCTCTAGCCTGTACGCTGACCAAACTTCAAAAAACTGTTTCAGAGTCCCTTTTATAGCTGGCAGATTTCGATGATAGCGGCATATGCAAAATATCACGCACCGGCGAGTGTATGGAAATGTGGCCCTCAAAGGTTTTCTGTTCACGTGCCTATTTGCATGTGTCATTTTCTCAAGATTGGTGCCCTCTTGATCTTGGGCTTGTCAGTGATCAACCATTTATGATGTGCCAGTCTGATTTTGTATATATACAGTAGGCTCTAAGTTAATGGAAATCTGTTAAACGGAACTGCTAGAAGTGCTTGCCCTCCAGATCATCTCTTAAGTGGACACTGTACGTTGCATGGCAGTATATTTTAAAAAATTGTGACATTGCACAAGGCCTGCCTTGTAATGTGTAGGCATTCCAGCTAAAAAATTTGTCTTCTGTAGCATAGTGCTTAATAAGTAACAATTGTAGTGATGCAGAACCATCTGAGAACCATCATAGCTGGGTCACGATCGGTGGTAAAAACAAAAATTCCGTAGCTCTATCAATATTATTAAATCGATAATAACATCGATAGTCTAATAGCAACCATGCAAACCATAAAGTTGGTTCCCCAACTGCATGCTATAAGGTGGAGCAGGCTGAAGGGCAAAAATGTTGACATGCTTGTGTTCTCTTGCAAGAATGCTTGGCTGACACATGATAATTAACTGAAGTGGCCTGCTGTAGCAAAAAGGAAGCTATTGCAGATGGTGGAACTGCATGGTTTCCAATATTGAATTTTATGATTTCAAGATAAAAGTATCAAAAGCTATGCCTAATTGTATTTTAACTGGGTTCTTTTGAATACGAGTTTAATGATGGACATATTCCAGCATTTTCACTGGATAATTTATTTCTTTTCCTGAAAAAATTGCTCATAAATTAGGCAAACTAAGTATTACTGATAGTACGCTATAGCAAGTATTTTGGCAATATCACTGGCGAACAACAGGATAATTATTTATAGCACTATTAATAACATTATCGATAGCAATACTATACCAATGTCAACATCAATTGTACTTTCAAAAATTTTACCAATAGTTTATTGATAGTAGTACTATCAATGGTTTTTTCAAGCTATTGATAGTTTAGAAGAAGCTATCTATGTTATTGATAGTCTACCCATAGATTTGCATCACTGATGTGGAGGTTGGTCTTGGCAGCTTATGGCAGCCCACACCAGAAAAAAGGACATCAAACATTATCATCGTTTTATGTCCACTGCCGGACAAAAGCCTCTCCCAATGGTCTTCAACCTAACCTGCTGTGCACGAGCTGATTTTATTTGATGCTTTAAAATTTTCAAACTTCCTCCCTCCATCTAACCCTTTGCTATTCAAGACTGTGCTTCCCATCGGTTATTGTCCTTTATTATCAACTGAGATATGTGCTGTCACTGTTTGTTGTTCGTGCCAATTGGTTGCCTTTCTATCTCTTAGGGTTACTGCTATCATATTTTGTTCCATTGCACACTCGGTGGTTCTTAGATTTTTTTCAAGTTTCTTTCTTATAACTGACCAGATCATCTTGGCTTTTTAACTTTATTATATCTTAATTTGTTTTAACTAACCAAGACTCCAGGTTCCTGCCACCCATGTTTGAACTTGCAGTACACAATGGTTGTGCAGTGACAAAAACATGAGCTTTTTCTCTACAGATAGGGAGAGATTCAGGCCAAACACACTGAAAACAATTCAGCGGTACTGACATGTATATTGAATGATGCAAATTCATGGCTCGCCAAGTGTTTTTGGGCTCAAATCCACTAACTACAGAGCACCTGCCACAGTACTCTAGTAGTTCTGGTGCTCGACTGAGATCAAATTTCGTTCGCAGCGGCCGCTTTTTCAATGAAGCCGAAAATGCATGAGGCCCGTGTTCTTAGATTTAGGTGCCTGTTAAAGAACCCGGGTTAGTCAAAATTTCTAGAGCCCTCCACTACGGCGTCTCTCATAATCATGTTGTGATTTTGGGACGTTAAAGCCCAGCAACAAACCAACTCAAACCACTTAGTACATAAGGTACCCAACCCTTTGACCTGCAAAGTGTACAGAAACTAAATCCAGAACATCTCAAGCACGTAGGGTATAGAACCCTTGTCCTTGCTCCAAACATCTTAAGTTCATACCTCTTAAGCTTGTGGGTTGGTTTCAGAAGTGCTTTTTGTTGATGATCATTAAAATAAATGACAAGGTTAAGACACATAGAAACTTGAGTACAGTAGTTGCTATACTCAACCTAAACAGAACTGGAAAGGTGCTCTGAAAAGTAGACCGGCTGGCAGAGATGGAAGAATTTTTTCTCATGCAAGGTCGGTGCTACTGAGCATAGTTGCTAATGACCTGGTTAAGCAGTCTACATTGCATGGATGGTGCACTTCAATATGAAGTATAGGTATAATTGACATCAAAGTTGCAAAGAGTTGCTCACTTGTTGCAATCTGTTTAGCCAACATTGTACAGGCTTTCACACTAGAGGTCTCCTCGATTTGACCGCACTTTCTGGACATAGTTCATGAAAGTTTCATGCCAGTGCCGCGCCAGTTCTTCTAGCGTTAGTGCAGCATCACACTAGCGGCTTCGATGTAGCGATCAAATTTAGGGCAATAGTGCAGCCACACCGTATAGCTTGCGCTACCTGCACGAGACGAGACGACTCGTGGGGAAGCTAGTGTTGAAGCGCCGATAAACTCGTGCAGCAAGACATCAAATTATTGAGGGCAGAAGTGCAGCACTCTTGCACTAGTGCAGAAAGTGCAGCCAAATCTAGGAGACCTTTAAATGCCGATTTAGAGTCATTCATGCCAATCGAATGCACCTCTTTATATTGGCCTATACCAACATACATTTAACTGTGCCTCTTGTGCAACATTTGCTTAATCCTCACTTTTATTCGTACAAGTTTTGCGAATAAAATAGGTGAAATGTTTATTTGCAGGAAAAAAAAATACAAAAACTTCCCTGCGGGAGGCAAAGACTAAAGGCTAAATAGCCTGACGAGGTCTTGACCTCCTGATACAGTCTGCATCAGTGCCATATTACACATATTCACACATCAGTAACATACATATGCAAATAAGTGACATTATACATATCTTATTTAGTTACACAGCTTATTTCTACATGATATACATTCAGAATATGTTTTACATAAACAGGAAACAATTTTGGTATCAAACGATTCTGTTTAAGTATCATTGTTCACAGTAAGAAAAAAAATCAACTCAGTATACAAGTATTCCTAAATATAAAAGCCTATGGATCTACTATGTCTTTAGTCAAAAGAAGAAAGGATTTATGATGACATTTAAATTGTTTAGTTTTTAGAGTAAAGTCTATATTCGATTCGTGAAGGTTTAGCAATTGTATGATCTTATAATCAATAGCCTGCTTGCCATAGTTCGTGCGTGTTTTCTTAGTTTGCATTCACGACTCCTAGAAAATGCATTCACGACTCCTAGAAATCTTTGATTTGGCACATTTCAGGAATCTAACTGCTGGCTTTCCTTATAAGCAACATTTAGATTAATACTGTATTCCTGGTCACCGTTGTTTTTTTGACTCCGGACAATGCATAACTTGCACTCACCTTCTACGATATTTTAAGGCGATAGCATTAAAGAGCTCGTTTTGTAGGAATTCCGGAATTGGTTTCAGTGTCGTTGGTTGTGAGCGAAAAGTTATGTTTGTGTAACCGAAAAATCGAGAGATGCAAATAAAAAAATTATAAAAAATTCTGGGTCTGAGTGGGCATCGAACATAGGTCGTTTGCGTGGCAAGCGGATGTTCTACCACACAGCCACGCCTCTGCTAGTGAATACAGTAAAAATAATTTACTCTGGTTAAAAATGCAGTCAAGGTAACTTTCGTGCTTTACAAACACACGCGTCTTGTATACATGCTTGACAATGCAACATGTAATATTTCCATAATAGTGCGTAGTACAAGCATACATTACCATTGGGCGTGGAAACATGGGATTATCATAATGAAGAAGAAGATTATGTTAAGAAGAAGACGAGTGCTAACTTCCAACTGAGTTTATTGTGCAGAGCACAAAAACATATAAAGGAGACAGTAAACCATGTGACAAAAATGAGTAATGCAAGTGTAAGAGAAAAAGAAAAGCCGAGGAAGAACTCTAAGGAAACGATACAGAAAACAAAAAAACTATATAACTAGTTGCGCGCCCTGATACTTTAGAGGAACATTAATTCTTTCTCGGAAAGAGACACGGAAGGCTTGCTAATGCATGAAACCTCTTTGCGTGCCATCTAACTCGGGCGCGGTTT